TATGTCCACTTATACTCCTTGCCTTAGTCTTCAGTCCTTTGATGTGGTTTCTGTAGTGTGTCCCAATTACAAGACTGCAGCCTTCTCTGCCTGCGCTCTTAGACTTTGGAGAGCACTTTCAAATTGTTTTGGATGTGTAGAAAATCTGTCTTCCTGCAAGATTATCCAATCAAAACCCATTTGTTTTGAAAGGCCCATATTAATACTTATTTATGACAGTGCATTCGAGTTTTTTTGCTCTAATTATTCAATGTCATGAGGAAAATAAAGTCGGTGTTGGTGATATTCCCATTTTGACCAGTGGTTCATTACTTAGTAGTCACGAAGGTGCCAAACAGTAGGGAGGATGAGAGATACAGATTTACACAATGCTTCAGGATTACATGTGCTGTACTGTACGGATAGGAGGAAGCTCTGTCTGCCAGATGCATCCTGTTGTGAATAAGTTTCTCTGCAGCCATGACTTCAAGTGCTGTTACCCATTCAGTCCCCTGTTTTTAATGACTTTGAAAAAGAAAGCAAAGACGTTTTTCTTTTTGTTTTATGAGCTAGAAACTGTAATCACGTTTAAACATTCACACATTTAACATGGTGTGTATTGTGATTTGAAATAACGGGAAAATGCACTGAGACTTGCACTACATTTTGCATTTGTGGTTTAGCATCTTACGTCTTATGTGGTCTTTTTTAGAAAGTTTTCCAAAAAGATTTCCCCATCATTAAAGCACATTTAAAAAAAACTTACTCTAAATCTAATCAAATAATGTTTTCTGAGACGTGTCCCTTGTGGAAACTATACAATGTGATCTCTTACTGCTTGTTGGATGTAGTTGCAGTTTCAGATACTATAAAAAGTACAAATGTTTGGATCCTATAATTTTTTTAAACAGAAGGTTATGCATGAAAATAACAGTTATTTGTGTCAAAAACAGAATAGGGCCAGAAAAACATTAAAGAGCGGTATGTGCAAAAATGACATCCGTTAAAAGCATCATTCTGGTTTTAATTAGTTTAGCATATAGTACTATACAGAATTGATGTCATATTCCATTTAAATGAAAAAGACTTATGAATACAGGACCACTCACCATAGTAAGCAAGCATTTTTTTGAGTTATTTTTGACTTAGTTATGTGATCGGAATTTTCATAGTTTCATAATCACCTTCAACGAATTAGGTGCACATTCTATCTGGGAATGAAAGCCTTTAAAAACCCTCATTATTATCATCTCTTCACATTATCTAAAGGTCTGTTTTTAGTTCGCTTTGTACAGAGGTAAAGGCTGTCATTATAAACGGGGTAGCTGGCTGATCTGATGTAAATAACTCAGGTCTTCTTTGTCATTTTTAATGGCTTAGAAGCTTCAGTATATTATAAGTTGCATCAATATACTGTATGTTCTATGTACCTTCTGTAAAATGTAGAGTGGCAGTTCGTTTAGAAGCTGTACTGTTAGTGTTTTGTGTTATGGGCATATTAAATCCACATTTTGTTCTGAATTTTAAATATGAAATATGACAGTAGGGAGGTACTGTATCAAGCTGTTGCAAACAAATTTTCCTTTAAAATACTGTGAAAGACTATTATTATATTCAATCAAGGATCTATACTGTAGCACTATTGTTTAACCTTCGGGTTAATAATGTGTATTTGCATTGGAAATTTCAATAAGAATACCATAAAAGCATACATTCTTTTACATACAGCAGAGCCTAACTGTGTGATTTAAGAGTTTAACCACGTTCAGTGGACAGGTGTTGGTTCAGAGACAGTCTTAAAGGAATAAGATTCAGATGGGCTGGATTACATAAGTCTTATGTAAAACAGTTTAAAAGAAATGCTACTAAAACCAACCAACCAAATTCCTTCCAACCAGTAGTGAGATATTGAAAATATAGCATAAATCTTTCCTGTTCCAAGGTCCTTATGTAAACTTGGTTACAGTTTTTTCATGTCTGCTTTATTTAGGCAGCAATATTATTTTCATGAATCATTACACTTTTACATCTTGAAAAGAAATCATTAATCTCCTCTGCAGTACTGCAGGGGTAGTACTGTGTCAGTGTATACTCCATTGTTAAGTTCTCTTCAACTGACCCATAAATGAAGTGACAGAGTTTCTTATAATAAATTGCAACAAGGTGAATTTACTCTATAAATACATGACACATGAATTCGTCAAATGCCAAGATTATGAGGCAGGAAAAATAGCTAGTGTTCTTCCTGGCATCAGAGTGCTGCTTAAACCACTTTATTTCTGCCGTTAGAAGATATTATAACACAGGACAGAAGGATATGCTGATAAAGAATGTGATCTGGCTATTTTGCATTTTTAAGATCTTATTAATGACACACAAGATTTGAACCAATTACGTTTTCTCCCTGAAGCCCTTTTAATTTTTTAATCACCTAAAAATATTATTCTTGTTAAATTAACAGATGTGAAGTGCTCTCTTTAAAAAAGACAGTAATTATATCAGGATCATTTAATTTGTTTTACTTTTCGTTTCTCCATGCAGCATGCAGGAACTTTTTTTTACAGATGATCTGTGTGTATTATAAGTGGCAGAAATGTTTCAGGTTATTGATTTTGATTAAATGCTATAATGAAAGTCTTTAATATTGCCAGGAGAATTTTTGACATTTTCTCAAAACAGATTAACATTGACATGCTTGCATATGTTATTATTAATATTGCAGTAAAGTGGATTTTAGAATATTTTTGTAAACAAAAATTGGCTTAGTAGTGTAATGGTTTTTTGTAGTGTTAATATACCTAATTTGTTTCTGTTTTCTGTGCAATGTACTAAAATACATGGGTCGCTAAAACATAGCGACAAATGAGTTAAAAATTCAGTGTACACTGAAATTCAGTCTTTTCCCATGAGTCCAATTAACTGACAAAACCTGGGTGGTTGTATTCCTGGCCCTCAAATTAAAGAATTTTTTTAAAGAATTCTTACCCATTCCTGAGTTTAAACAACATAGCGGGTTACACAGATGAGCACATATGGCGAACCTTTTCTAAGACGTCGTCTTTTTAATGGAGGTTTGACCTTTTGTATTTGAAAATGAATATTTTCTTCAGGGTTTATTTAAATTCATTGAAGTGTGTCCCATTTGGAGCTCCTTTGGCTTGCTTCTACAAAATCTCAAGAGCAGTCTAAGGCAGCTCTTCTTTAAAACAGGCTAATTTCTTTATTTAGCCTGCAGTTGCTTTTGCATTAAATGTCCTGCTGTATATTGGGGACAGCAAAGAAACCAACAGGATGTCTTTAATGTGCTTGGTTGTGTGCTTTTAAACTAGTACTAAGTGGAGAAGATTAGGAAATTCACCACAAAATGTATGACTTTATATTGCACCAAATAATTTCCGCTGCCCCTGGTCCAGTGATAGCCTTGACTTGTTTATAAAAAACAATAAGAACTGCATAATGATGCAAATGTGAGGAGGTCAAATTGCCCCCGAGTTTGGGCCTCGACCGCCTTGTTGGTTTCCAAACACCTACTGTACAACCCTTTGTGTAAACAAGTGCTTCCTATTCTTTGTCCTAAACAAACTCCCCTTTACTTTTCCTCTAGTTACTTGTCTTTGTTTCACTACTAAGTGTGAAATAGTCCCCTCGGTTAATCCTGTCTATAACCCTTTATCTGTGATATACCCAAAATAGAGCTACTGTATTCCCCTGTCAGTCTAAATACGGCAGTCCTCTTGTTGCTCTTCTGTTTCTGTGGCTGTACTGTATATTTTTGCAGTTTGGTGTCCAAAACCAAACAAAGTGTTGTAAGCAAAGTCTTACTAGTGTATTCCAAAGCGTTCTTGGATTTACATTCCACACTTTGTTGGATTTTCTGTTTGCTTGTTTTCTTGCTTTCCCACATTGTCTTGATGAGGACAAAGTAGAATGTACATAATCATTCAGTTCAAGTCATTCAGATTTTTCCATGAAAGCAGTATTTTTCATGGAAAAATCTTTTACATAGTGCTGTATATTTTTTTTGTATTAAGTCAAAATATGTAGCCTTTGTAAACAAAACTTGTCTGCACAAAGGTTCTGTGTACAATGGGAACAATATAAAGAAAAAAGAAACTGCTGAACCATCCTATCCAGTTACTGTATAGGCATTGCGCTTTAGTTTCTATTCAAGTAGCGGAGAAACAGGGTTAAAACTCTAAAACTATAACACATTCTAGTGAGGCTGTTGCTGTTAATGCTACCATTTCTTCACTGCTCATAATGCTAACAGTTCTAATGATGTTGTGATGATGACTACCAATTTGTTATTCTGACATAATCCTGATGAATTTCATCGTTGTTTGTTTTACATCAGGATAGTCTGAACATAGTAGTAAACAATGTGTTTCTAGTGATTGTTAAGACTGTTCAAACCTTTGTTGATGAGAAATGCAAATTCTGACCCCGTGTCTCATTCTCTGAAAAACAAAACAACTTGAAATCACAGCCATGTATCAGTGAAGCATACATTAAAGGGAAAGCTTGTGGTGAGATCTTTGCAGGTTATTGGGCTGCTAAAAGAAAATACTGGGGCTCAGAGACAGATTCTTGAAATTGGTTCTGTGTAACATAAGCATTATTAATAAATAGGTCTTATTAAATAATTTATGACACTAAAAAGAAAGATTACCTTAGCAAGTTTTAAATTTTCTGAATCTTTCCTCCCCTAATATTATTGGGGTAATGTTCTTGTGAAAATACACTTTTGGACCTATTTCATAATAGAGTACATTTAACTGATTGAATAAGGAATGCTGTGCCATGGGATTTTAAAACAGGAGTTGTATGGTTCATTTGGTTGTCTGGTTGAAATCTGATCTGGTTTATAGTAAATTCTTAAATTGTTTTGGACATTTAAAATATATTTGTTCCCTTTCATAAAGTATTCTTTAAAATGAAGATATTTAAGGAAAATTACGTTGATGTGAACAAAATTAGGTGCTAGCAGCACAACAATAACCTTTATTATTCCTCTGCCTTAGGTGAGGCGAATGCGAAGGTGGTGCAGAGTTGGGCCTTCATTAAAAACAGGATAATGCCCTTTAATTTACAACTGGTTTCCTGAGATTCTAACACCTGAGGGGGGACAGTTCAGACATCAATGGCGTATCAACAGCGTGGCCCCCAGCTTAGGGCCATGAGCACAGAGGAGAAGACGTCGACCCCTGTCCACAAAACATCAACACCAACGCATAAGAGTGCCTCGTCCTCGTCATCTTCTCAGAGGGACAGCAGACAGGTAAGAAGCTGCATTTAAAACAACTCTCTTTGGGTTTAAAAAGCTTCAAACTTCAGTTGCAGGTGGCTGAATTAGAACCTTTCCTACTTGCTTTTTGAGAGGAAGAGAGCTGGCTTCCGGAGGGAAGACTGAAGCACCCCTTCTTTTTGTTTTGTAAGGTTACCGTATTCCAGCCAAACATTTTATGGCAAACAAGGTGTGTCATGGTAGAGAGGTGTTTGTCATAGGTGTAAGTGTTTATGTCTATGAGCATGAAAACAGGTTATAAGATGGAGTAAGAGAAAAAGACCGTATATTATGAAATGGTAGCTTGGGCTTAGAAATGGTATTTATCATGTCAAAAGTCTGCTTTATTAAATGTCTGTAGTAAAATGAAATCCATGATTTTATGCTGATTAATTCAGTAGTATTGCAGGGAAAGTGGCTTTTGAATGAATTGTTCCTAAAAGTCGAACAACAACCTCTGACAGTTTTCTGCCACCCCCCTGCCTGTCAGTATTTCCTATTTCCATTATTATAACATTAAGAAGGGAAAAGCACAGATTCTTTACTGATCACGATTGTCTGTAGCTTTGGTGTTTAAGAATTCTAAAAAAATAAAACCCAAACATAATGTTCCTGTTGAACGCAAAAACATCAGAAATGTTAGATACAGTACATTGGGAGGCCATTTAGCTTATGTTACACTTTTGATTTCCACTAGCTTTCTCATCCAAGGACTGCATTATTGCATGTGCCGGACACTCTCAAAAATCTTGTTTTAAATAGATGTCATATTTTCTTTCTTTCATAAGTATTTGTCGTTAATTCTAGTGTTTGATTACTTAAACTTGTTTCAGTTTTTTGAGGATAGATTTTTCCATTTATTTTTGTTTCATATTAGAATACTAGAAACGAATCCCTCTATCTTTAGTGTGATCAAGATTTCTTGTAGACTGGTCTTTTAGTTTGAGGCATAGGTTTCAGTCTGGGAATGTTATTGGTTTCCCTTTTTTCATTTTTTTCAGTGCAAAAAAATCTTTATTTCATGTTTGTTTTGCATTCCTCAGCTGTAATAGGAGGTCCTTACTTTCAGGACCATACCCTTATGAGTCTTATAGAAGGTTTTCAAGTGTTTGCGATCAGTGCTGACATTTGTGACAAATTCCAAGACGATTTAATATTTTGAGTGCCCATTAAAGTCGGGGAACGCGTCAAAGACAAACAGCTCGCCAGTGGAGAAACTGATACTACCAAGACATGGCTGTTGGGGAAAACAAAATCTTTTTGACTTTGTTCATACAGTACTGTATCTGCTGCTTTAAAACACACATAAGATGGTGTTATTTATCAAGGAATATACAGTTACGTTAAATGGGTACATTTGAGATATTATCTTTTTATATCCAGTCAATGAGGATAAAAGCATTGGGTATAATGTCTGTCCTTTCAATCACACTGAGTGTTTGCGGTATGTATAGGAAAGCTTCATGACAAAAACCTAGGGAGCAACTGGAGGCTTGAATGGAAGCTTTGACATCACTACTTTCCGATGTCTGTCTCTGAATAATTGATGAAGCAGCCAGAGAACCCAAAACTCATTACCATAAATTAGTAGTATAGGTTTTGCATTTCAGGTAACCATGAGAGATTATACTCATTCAGAAGAAATCCCTCATGGGTGTTGACGTGAAGGCTGAATAAACCACATCAGCCGAAGACAAACACCCAGCATGAGTGTGTGTCAGATAGTCCTGTTTAAACGAGAAAATGTTTGTTATTCCTGTTCCTCTCATCTCCTCAGCAAGTGCAGACCTTTCTGGAACCTGTACACTCTGGTGTTAGAAAACCCGGTATAGACGGATTTGAAAACCTTTCCCAGCCACTTCACTGGTACTATTTATTGAATTCTTCCACGTACGAAGAGCAAAGCCTCCAGGTAGTCAAAATATTTCAGTAATCCAGTATGCCATCTAATTAGAGGGTTAAACTACATCACAAAAGACACATATACCATATAGGAGAATTATTTTGTGTTCCCATTCGGAAAACATCAAGTAGTGCAAGCTTTCAACTTTTTAATTTTTTTGACAATTACATGTATTGACAGTACTAAATAATAGCATAGCTTATAGGTATGCTATGTGATCCCATGATTTCAGTATCATTTAGGGAATTATATACTGCAGTATAGGCTGTCATTCAGTCAGTCTTCCTAGCATTAAAAATAGGCAGCACTGTAATGACAGAAATACAACTGGAAAAGACAAGAAAAACAAATGGGTATTGGTTTACTTCCATATCACTGATGAAGTGTAGGTTTCAAGGAGGCATTAAAATGCAGAAAATCAGGTACAATTTTGGTTTAGATAACACTTCACTAGATTGCAGTATTAGACCAGCTGAAAGGATATGTGTCCTGTAGCTACCATCAAATCAAGACTCACAGGACTACCCTTTTCATCAGTTTTGTATGCTTAATCACATACTGGAGACGTTGTTACTTGTAGGTGCCATCTTCTTTTTGCAGTATTTTAGGTATAGGCAAACATTACAAACCCAAGACCCTGAATTTACTGATTGATGTGAAATGGTGTGGTAACACAGAACCAGTAATTCAGGGCAGTTCAAGCAGAAACTCTTGAATATTTCTAATGGAAGTAATAAAGACTGGCAAGGAGTCCACATACTGTTAATGTGTCAGTTGAATACCTGCTAGTAGCTCTGGTTTGAGCAGGGTGATTATGATTATGTGAAGCATGGTGTGTTGTTAGAGTGAAATGAATGTTTTCTGTCCTCAATGAACACCAACTGATGAAAGCTTATTTAAAGATAATGTCCTGAGCAAGTATACAGTAAAACCTCAGTATTCGCCACGGTCAGATACCTTGAAGTCTCAGAGAAAGCAGGACTTAGTGCCTTATAGTGGCATTCAAAAGTTGGAGATTTTCACATTTTACACTATACAATATAGAATATAGACAATTTACTGTAGTTATAATATAGAAACATTTATTTGGAATTTTTTTGCCATTGGCCAACACAACACACTCTGTAATGTCAAACTGATCCTCCTAAATATAAATTTTATATAAATATAAAATAGAACAAAACTGCATAAATATTCACCCCCTTTTACTATGACACATCTAAATAGGCTCTGGTGCAACCAAATATCAAATATAACAGTCTTCCATGGCTGAGATGGAAGAAACTATATGTATATGACATGCTTCTTAAAATTGGATTTCATGGGAGAGTTGACAGAAAAACAAATCAAATCTCACCTTTGCCAGAAGGCATGTGGGAGACTCTTGAGATCAAGTTGAAGAAGGTTCTATGGTCTGATGAGACCAATACTGAATTTTTTGGCCTAATTGGTAAGCGTTATTTTTGGTGCAAGTGTCACAATGAACATCAATCGGAGAACATTATCCCTACTGTGAAGCATGGTCATATCAGTATCATGCTATGGGAATGCTTCGCTGCATCAGGGCTTGGAAGGAAAAATGGATGCTGTAAAAGTATAGAGAAATACTGGAGGAAAACCTGCTGCAGTCTGCAGCAGACATGGGACTACTGTTTCTGCCAAAAGTACCTATTCGAAATATTGACTCACAGGGGGTGAATACTTATACAATCAGGATAAGTGTAATAACTTAAACTTGTTAACTCTGCCTTTACTGCAGAGATGGAGATATGGAGATGCTCAAGAGAGTGTCTACATTTCCTGCCCTGCTCTGCAGCCTACAAATGTGCAAATCTGGTTCACATATAATAAGTGGTCACTAATAATTTTGTACAAATATGCAGAATCGCGATTGATGAACTCACCAAGGTTTTACTGTTCTGTGCCAGAGCCACTTATTGAGGGTTCAAGAAATTGCTTCAGAACACAGTTGAATCCTTCTGAACTGCATTATTGTTAATGACATTTTTGCTTTAAAATACATGTAAATACATGGTAACATCTGTATAGCCTTTTACTTGTGATCCATAAAAACATAAATTGAAAATCTTGCCTGATATTAGGATAAACTTCATCACGCTAATACATTTTTTTAGACAGTGTAAGCACAACATAGTGTATAGTGTAGTGTTTTGATGACATTAAATATTCTTGCTTTGTTGTGTATAAGCATAGGATGGCATTTGCTGAAAATGAAGATTGACAGTGCTTTTTTGTGTTTACATTGAAACATGAATTATTTACTGTAAATTGCACTGTAATGTTTGTTATTGTAACATAAATATTATCTAATATATAGTATCTTTCAAAAGTACTCAACCCTTTCCAATGGTCTTCCATTTTGATGCATTACAAATAATTTATACACAATTTTTATAGGGAATATTTGTATATATCATATGTGGAACTGTAATATACTTTTCACTCTGTCTTTATTCAATTTTTCATGTATTCTAATCTCTTGTAAAAGCATTAATGATTACACATTGACTAGAGAATACATCCTCCATAATGTTTGCTTCAAATCGACCTTTTTTACCTTACCTTTCGCATGACTTGCTACATGAATAATCAGTTCTGTTTGGAGTATTGCCAGTTTTGTGATTTTTTGCAGTATAATCATGGATTTGAAAGATTTCATATGTCTCTGATGTTTTCACTACAATGATGATCGATGTTGTCTTAACCAAGTTCCTTACATTATGCAAGACTTGTTGTGTGTGGATCTTTTTGGTCAGTCTCATTGTCCTTTGTGGGTGAAGTTTCCGATCAGGGTTTGTAGTGATGTACAACGGTTCATAGATTTTAAGGAACAGTTTTTGCTTCTGTTCTGAATTTCACTGAGAACAGATGGAACAGTATACACACAGAAGAAAATTGCTCAACACAGCAGCTACTGTACATAAATTACAGGATTGAATTCAGAACTTATTACCAGCACATTCTTGACAAAATTAAACACTGACTATGTCTCTAAAGTGAATTAAACTGAAAACACCTTTATATTTTAAACAATCTGAATTGGTTCACTTGAATTTCTTGCCTCGTTGCTGGAGTGTTTAAAGCTTCCAGAAGCACTGTCTGAAACCGTGAGGTCAGGCACTGAGCAGCACTAGAGAGAGTTAGACTAGGGAAGGTATGAATAGAATGACAAACAGGCCCTTGCATCTCCATACCATGGATCAGCCTGGTTAAAAGCATTTGCAAAGGAGCATTCATGAACCTGTATGAAATGGCTTCTAGAGTATAAACTGGAATTCTCTGAAACTGTTCAGTTCAAAGCCACTGTTTTGTTGATCAGCCCTTTAAGGTGAAAAGCACAAACCCATGGAAAAAATATTCAATTTAGTGATTTTTTAGTTATTCCACCAGTAAAGGTATCATTTCAGAGTGCAGTCTGGTCTCTGTAATCCAGAGGATGCTGAGTCAAACCTAGTTGTCTTGAGGCAACTGTTGCAGAGAATCCTGAAATGGTGGCGGTGCTAAATCAGCTGAACACAGCTAGGTTTGGGTAAGACTTCCTGCCAGAGAAACCTTTACCTGACCTGTATGGGTTGCTAGGTGCCTTGGAGACGGCAGATCTGCCAGGGACAGCTGAAGTAGTTGTCTTTCTGACACCTCTGACGACTGCCTTAGGGCTTGCAGTGTGAAAAGGAGCGGCTGTCCTGACAGCACGCATTTCAGAGGCCCCTCTATCCTAGAACGTGCGCTATGGTGGTCAGACAGGCCAGTTAGACCTGATGACTTCCAAACTGGGAAGGTAGAAAAAGAAAAATACATTGGTAATGGTGAAGTTTAAAAAAGAATACCTTTGCTTCCACTTTAGAGAAACGTAAATTCACCTGTTTTTGTTGTTGATACCAACCATTCATTCCCGTGGTGAGCTGTTTGTCTTTACTGTATACACACTAGCCCCCTCCAGGCTACTACATCATTTCCCCCAGTTTTCCTCCATCTTTAGTGTGTAATTACTGACCATTCCTCAGTAGATTTAGTAGAAGAGACTTTATCTTTTCACAGGTGATTTATAAACGTGTCATTGTTTTACTCTGTAATTTCTTCGCATAAATATTCAACACTGTGTACTTTAAGTTGGGAGCTGCATCAGCATGCTAAGGCTGTAAAGCAACAGGTAAATGTTTATTCCATGCTGAAAAACGCTCCACAGACGAAACATTGTGTCTCTTTTCTTTTCCTTTCAGTATGGAATAAACTTTACCTGTTCCATTGTGTATTTTAGTTTTCCTTTAGTGCTTTCAGGAAGCATGTTTGAAACTATTCACTGAGACCTCCCTGATTTCTGATTTTTTTTCTCCCCCTAGAGTTCATAATATTTTCTATTTTTGGAAAAGGCAATAAGATGAGATGAAATTCAGTTTGTGAATATGAAAATCAGCAAGGACATCATTTTTTGTCTCTGTCAGTGTCACAATCCAGGACGAAATGTGTTGTTTTCTCCTGTTACATTACATAATAGAAGCAAGGCCCTCCAGAGTTCTATGAATAATCCTGCAGGCTTTGCATAAGGTCATTGTTAGCCTTCAGTGCACACCCAGGCTCCACAGGAGGGTGTATCTAATTATACAGCTTATGTTGTGGGGTTGTCAGGGCTTATTTCTTACAGCTAACTTTGGCAGAGTTCTTAAATTAGCACACGTTGAGTGTAGGATATCCTTTCAAGATTTATTCATGCTAAAGGCAGGTTGTTGGAGTCGATATTGGTGGTCTCCTGGTGTACACCGATTTTCACCTTTTTATTTTTAAATGTTAAAGTTCAAAAAACAGTGTGCAGAGTAAGGAAACACTATTGATGTTAAAATGCTGAATAAACTGTTCAGAATAATGGATCATTGTAGCATTTATTTAATAAATTAGTAAACAATAGCAGCATTACCTTCAATTTCTACAGCTGTGACATGAACTCACTTTTTGAAGAACAGTATAAAGCTTTCAGTAGGCTTTGCTTGTCTGCTGTGACTGAACACTGTGCATCAATGTTTTTGTTGTTGATTGTCTCATTTTTAAAAACTCTTTTTGGATTGTTTGCAGAGGATTCATAATTTCTGTTTGTGATTGTGCATAGAGAGAGATTAACCAGGTCCTACCTGAGTGGAGATTTGAATTTTTTTTTTGTTTTGCTTTAATGTCTTTCAGGAGGGTGACAGTTGGGAGATCATTGAAGGGCTCAAGATAGGCCAAACGAATGTCCAGAAACCAGACAAACATGAAGGTTTCATGCTGAAAAAGAGAAAATGGCCACTGAAAGGTTGGCATAAGGTAGTGTTTATAAATATTACAATATTATTTTTATGACGGCCCATTTTTATTTTAGTAAACATGGGTATTGTACTGCTGTTTTTAACGGGACTTAACTTTTTCAGCTAATTTCAGATCTTCGTTAGGTGACTTGTGTGAACCTACTGAGTCAACATTGCTATATCCAATTAATGGTCACAGAACATTGCCCACATATAAAATAATGTAAAAGCAGTGCATTTTCTAAAAAGTCCTACATATTCCTTTAAAGTTTTCAGTTGCATTTTTTGTCAGACAAGAGAAAGGAAAATACATGTACACACTTAGGTTCTGCAAAACCGCTGTACATCCTTTGCTGTTAAAGTATACACTGTATAAAATACAACACAGTATATACAACATACTGTACATATGTGACCCAGGAAATCCAATTCATTGCAATAATGTGGAAGAGTGTGCTGTAGTTTAAACTGTTAGGCCTACTGTTTGAATACCTTAAATCATAAGGAGTATCATTAAATCTATGTGCCATACAGTATTTACCCATTGGTTAATCTCTCTGTCTGGGTATGTCTGCTGTTTCAGGCTGCATCTGCTTACCTGTCTCTCCTTCTCAGCAATTATTGTGTTGAAGACATACACATTGTTTATATTGTTTATTCACAGGTGGTTATTTTAAACCATAACCTAGACCGAAATCATAACCAGGTATTCTTGAAAGTTTTTATTAAAGATGAAGATAACCTGATTAAATGTATAACACAAAGATATCAAATACTGCATAGGTGGATTCTTTAATTAGTGATCCAACAGCAAATATCCTGATATAAATAAGTACAGTTAGTGGACAGAAATACACAAAAGTAAATAAGGAACACCAAGTGCATTGAAAGCAAGAACTTCCAAACACGTTCACCTCATGTTATAAGTAAATAACATCCCAGCATGATTTGAATCATGTTTAAAAATGTTGTAATGATATTTAAAATGCTTATAATTCTGACTAGCGTGGATGTAAAAGGAGACCTTGGTGACTTTGAAAAAGAGGTCCTTGCTGGGGTGCATTGACAGAAGCTTCTTTGACCAGGACAAATGTAAAATGGTATCTAGATACCCGATTCCAGAGTACTGAGAAAGAGTCTGGAGTTTCAACCCACAAGAATATTGGAAGAACATTCTCTGGACACTTTAGTTGAATGTGAAATTTCTGGCCACAAAGAAATATTTTATATGTTCAAAATCAAAAACTGCCATCCAACAAAAGAATGGCATGTGACTGTCAGGCATGATAAAGAGATACTCTCTTTATCATGCCTGACAGTCACATGCCATTCTTTTGTTGGATGGCAGATTTTGATTTTGAACATATAAAATTTCTTGTCTGGGGGCGGCTTTGCCACTTTAGGACCCAGGTGGGTTGCCATCACTGAAGGAACCATGAATTCTGTGTTGTCAGCAAATTCTGGAGAATGTCAGGACATGCATATATTAGCTTACACTGAACTAAAGGTGAATCATGCAGCAAGACGGGGATCCTTAACATCTAGCACAAGAATATCTGAATGGCAGAAAAACAGAATGGCTACAAGGGAAGAAATTTTGCGTTTTAGGTCGGCCGAGTCAAAGTCCGGACCAGCCCAGACAAGCACCAGTGTTATGGAAGTAAGCAAAAAGTAACAAGGTGTAGCAAGGAAATCCTTAATGTCACTGATTTGAAGCAGTTCTCTAAGGAGGAATGGGCTCAGATTCCTAATAGCCAGTGCAGGCGACTGATGAAACAGAAAACATCTAGCTTAAGTCAAGAGGGTTTTGCATACTTATTTAAACAAGGATATTTAGTTTTGGATCATTATGTTTAAGTAATCCAAATATACATTGTTTTGTGTTATACATTATTTAATCTTATCTTCATCTCTTGTTAAGGCATTAATGAGGATCTCAGGGATTCATAAGCGCTTTCTTGTCATTGTATATTATCACTTTTCAGTGTTTTGTTACTCATTGACCAAATCCTTTCTTTGTCTTTCCTTACACAGCGGTTTTTTGTTTTAGATAATGGAATTTTAAAGTACTCCAAATCGCCCCTTGATGTAAGTACCTTTTAGAAATATGCATCTCTGCATGTGGGTTGTTTGCAATATTCACCTCTACTTCACAGAGCACAGATTTATACTGAGCAGTTTAAAAAGAACTTTGTTTCACAGGCTTGGTAGGGATTAGCTCAATGTTAACACTTGCAATTGTTGTCCAAGCCAAATATGTCTACACAAAAATGGGACTTGCATAAGGTCAATGAAAGTTTAAGCAATTTAGCCAATGTAATTTAAGCAATGCTATATTCTCATTAGTTGGAATAACAGTTTTAAAACGAGTAGGTCAGTTTTGTTTAAGAATCAACTGTGCATGATCCATCGTGATGGGACTCTTTTAATTGAATTGAACATTTCTAACAGTTTTACTTATTCTAATTATTGTATTCTTTATAAAGCATTTCATCTTCTGAGTTGTTCCAAATGATATCATAAAGTGATTTTAACAGTGCAAATGTCAGAGCAACAATAAATGTTTTTTTTCTCATACATGTCTTGTTATAATTAGAAACAGAAAAGTGTAGCTCAAAGCAATTTTTAAATACATTTGTAATCTCTGAACACAGTAACCTTATATTCTTTGAACCTTGTACAGCTAATTCATAGTCAGCTTTAACTGGAAATTTCTGCAATAAACTGCTATTGTATCAGCATATCTAATAATTGGCATGAGATGTCAACTCTTTCAGATCACAGCAGTTTCTAATTTTGCTTTTCGTTTTAAGATTCAGAAAGGCAAACTGCACGGAAGTATTGATGTTGGCTTGTCAGTGATGTCAATCAAGAAGAAGGCTCGGAGAATTGACCTGGACACAGAGGAGCACATTTACCATTTGAAGGTAGGTCTGTTGGGTGACGTCAAGTATTCTGTCTGAAGTGGAATCCTGAGGTGGAGAGCCAGGTGGGAAATTTATGTACGCCTTCTCTTGAACCGCATTCTGCGCTTTGTTCACAGGTCAAATCGCAGGAGGTTTTTGATGCCTGGGTGGCGAAGCTCCGACACCATCGTTTGTATCGTCAGAATGAGATTGTCCGATCGCCAAGAGATGCCACCTTTAATGTGTTCCCTCCTTCCCCAAATGCAGAATCTGCTATGCCAACTGCTGGAGCAGGACTAGAAGGAAAAGTAGGCTTGAACGAATTATTTAGTATTAACTGCATACAGCATGTGAAAAGTATTTGGCATCATCTGTCTATTCGTCTTGTTGCATGACCTTTGTGCTTTGCTTATTTCAGTTGTAGTCTGTATTTTTACTATGTGGCCTAGAGAAATATGTCTTTTAGAAATTCTTTGCAACACTTGAGTCGAGGAAGTTCTGAACAATCATTTTTGTTTTGTGTAAAAGCGTGTTTGCTCCCTTTGTAAACTGCCGGGTATTCATTATCCAAACTTCTTTGCAGTTCTAGTGCATTACATTAGCAGGGGAAATCGAAGCACAGTGGAATATACTGTAACTGCAAAATGTAAAAGACTGTTATCATGAGAGAACTTTGTTCTTCCTCATCAAATCCTGTCATTTTATACGGCACTTTTATAGTGGTTCCATCACAGTGTTAGTCTGAAGCTGTGTGTTCGATGCTAGTTGTATCCTTGGGTTTTTTGGCAATCACATCATCCCAGCTTTTTACAGAAGTTAGTGCTTGTATTTAGATAAATTAAAAGGTCATATGTAGGCATGCTTAATTTTGCACCTTTTTATGTTTTAAATGATTTGCTCAGTATTTTTACTTTAACATTCAGAAAAAACAGGATCTTTATAGTTCTACAAGTCAGCAACATTATTACACAGTATTAGGATGTATAGTGTGTAAAGTATTTTTTTTACTCATCTAATTTACTATTAGCTGGTCACACAACTAAATGACATTGACAAATGTGTACAGACATAATAAATCTGATCAACACGTAATGAAAGCGTTTTATGGGCCTCGATGTAATGCATCACGGCCATAAACATAGCTCAGTAAAATTGTCTCAGACCAATGAATGTCTGGTAAAATTCTAATTTTTTCCTCTCCCAATGTTTTAGACGAAGCCAAACACTTTGCCCTGGCAAGCCCAATCAGTTCCCAGCAGCAGTGCTTTACCAGCTACGTACAGTAATGGACAGAGCAAAGTGGTAGCCTGGCTACAGGAGTCTGAAGAGATGGATAAATGTGCAGAAGGTAATGTTATTTTCCTTTTTTGTCATTATTTTTTTTAATCAAGAACAGGATCTGTAGCAAATGTGGCAGGTTATTAAAATCAGGAGCGATACAGACTCCTTATCTTAATCCCTGGCTCCGAGAGAGGAAATAGAAAACCTGTTAGTGCGGAATACTGTGGAAAAGATTAGCTTTGCAGGCCAGAGGGCAGTAGAAAAGGTGGGAAATGACAACTTTAGTACACTTTGCAAATGTAAACCCCTGACAAAAATGAAAGTTTCCTGGTTTGGAATTCAAGGAGAGTTCCTATTCTAATAATAGTAACAGCTTGCATTTGTATAGCTCCTTTCACCACAAAGGATTCTAGAGCACATACTCACATGTTAGATGGAATCCCACTTAATCCACTATAGAAGTGTAACACTCTGCTGTGTGATACACTGTCCGAAACTCCACCAGAAGTCCCACTACACAGCGTATCAGTAGGAGAGGTGAGAAATTACCACATCACTTTTACTAAGGGGGAAATCTAGGAAGGCCAGATATAGCAAGCACAAAGTGGAATTTAGCCAGAAACTGGGAACAGCACTCCACTACTACTCTTACGAACAGTGCCAGGGGATCTTTACCACAAGCAGTCAAGTATAATATCTCACAGTACCTTTTTTCTGGTCATCATATCAAGGCATTGGATTGGATATTTTGCTCCAGATTGAAGTGCGCACCCTGCTGACCATCCAAAAAGCTGCAAACTGGTTTTCCTTGGAGGTTTCCCATCTCAATAATGATCAGGTCCAGCTATGCTTAGCTTTTGAGATTTAACAAAACTAGGCTAGAAGGCTGCAGTGCTTATTTTAACAAATGGATCTAAAAAAAGATGCAGGGAGGCCCTTTAGACTTTAATCAGGTTTGAAGAATGGTAAAATACTTCAGGATGTTGGTAAGCACTTTTCATGTTAGCTTTTATAAAAGGATTATATGACTTGTCAAAGCAATCACGTAATTGTAAAAACCCATCTTTTGTTATAATGTAAGGACATATGCTTAGAAGTCATAGCTGATGTTAACAAATACTCTCACTTTACAATGCATGTTAAATATAAAGATAAATTATTCATTTTTAAACTTTCCATTTATAATAATTCCATGAACTGTTATTAAAGTTTAATATCTATAACTTATTATATAGTATGTGTGGAAAGTATTGTTAATCATTGATGCCCAAAATGTTTTTCTTTTTTGTGTGGCAGAGCTTGGACACTGCCAATCGAATCTTATAGAACTGAGCAGATTACTGCAGAGTCTGGAAATAATGCAAAGGACTCAGTCAGCCCCCAACTTCACTGACATGCAGGTAAAGACGATAACGGAAGAAACACCTCAGGCCTCAGCTGGGAAATTGGGGGAAGTCAAGAGAATGTGTTTACATGTCAGTCCCAAAGCATTTGGAATATGCGACAGTTTAGTACTCGTACTGAAGCCCTTATTCTTGTTCTCAAGGTCTCAAAGCTTTCACGATGATTAATAGATATTGTTTCTGATTGTTTAAGGACTCTTCTGGCTTATTCATTGAATGCCCAATAGTGACACAGTTCTGGGATAAAGTATGGTGTTAACAACTAAGCAGTTGTTACTGCCATACAGTACATCTTAAAGAATAATATTTGACTTTACCCTCTGATGATGTCTGGTTTAATGTAAAAAACAAAATGATGACTGTCAGTTGCTTTGTTTATGTCAGTCATCTTATTTTGAATAGTACAAAATATAGCTATGAACTATTTGAAAGTATACATTTTTTATTTAGATAAGTTTTAGTCCGTTGTTATATTGATTGCTTCAGTTAATAATGTAAACGAATAGTTACAATGATAGTCACTTTTAGAAACAGTTATGCATGTTATAAGTCATTCCATTATGAATTACCACTAAATTCAGTTATCTAAGTTGCATTTCATTAACTTTTTGTATCATTTACCTTGTTTTGGTGTACAGTGCATACTAATTTAAATCTTCTCATCAAGCATTTCATTGCTATGCTTGCAGTATAATTTCCTTATAATACAGTAACTGCTGTTTTAAGAATGGATAGAATATACTGATGTATTCAACACTGAAAGTTTGGCTGTTTCTGTCTTATTAACCACATATTGTGTATTTTAATCCATTTGTGTAATGTAGGCTAATTGTGTAGATATATCAAAGAAAGAAAAGCGTGTGAGCAGAAGATGGAGAACAAAAAGTGTCAGCAAAGATGCAAAAATGCAGCTTCAGGTACAGATTTTGTCTGTTATTTTTCTCGTTCCATCAGTGAATGTCTGTGATCCTCAGTTTTTGGTGTTCAGAAAACATCATAGTAACCCCACACAGTTGCCTTTAAATAGAATGTTTTGTCCTAGGGTGGCATTGGGACTCCCTCTGTTCTTCAGAGGTTTGACACATAAGTCTTGTGGACTTGACAATGCCTTAGATGGACTTTACCACAAGTGACCACATAACTGAACGAGGCTGAGGAGACTGAGCTGCTCTTTACTACTAGATAGGGTTAAGAAAAAGCAATAGTGGACAACCTCTGACTTTGTAGATGTGAACACATGGGATTTCAGTTCTCTGTGAAGAGTCTGAGATTTTTGGTTTCCTTAACTAATCAGCGTCTTTCAAGAGGAAACATGTACCACCTTCCAAAACGTGATGGCTTTTATACTGTCCTAGTGATATTTATATATTGATTTATGATACAATAGCTAATATTCACAATATGATTGGTATATGTTTGCTTTGCATAGTGCTTAAGAGTTAAAAAGGAATGTGCACAGATACACCTTTTGTCCTCTCAGTTTTAATTCCTGGTTCTTCCTTAAGCCTACATTTTTTCAGTTTATCACCTTCAGGACATTAATATGATCTTACTTTTTTAACCTGTAAGTCACTAAAGAGCAAATTCTCATTTACAATGGAGACCTTTGCAAGAAACGTACACTATTGTTACACTGGAGACAGAGCTGTGAAAGAAAGAAAATAAGCAATTCAATGTAAAAGACCTAACAGGAGGCTGCAATGCTAAGTTGTGGAGGTGTGATGTTGCAAAGATTTAATAATACAACTGAAAACACCCTCACGTACAAAGCTAGATAGTTTGCTCTGAGCTGGTTGTTCCAGTCATTGGCAGTTGCAAATTGAAAAGACTTTTAGCCCAAAATCACTAGTTGCTCTTGGGAGGTTCCGTATGCTAAAAATACATCCTAAATTGTAAGAACTGCAATACATCATGTAAATGACAGGGAGATCTGTAAATTAGCTTAAACCAGTAAAAAATCTAGTATCCACTGAGTGCCACTAAATTAAGTAGTTAAGACACATACTCTGACCATGGTTCCGTGCTATTTGCACATCTTAGATATTTGAGAGGGATAATAGTACATTGTGGTAAACCTAGGTTGAAATGGCGTATTGTTTATATTACATCCTCAGTGGGCGTGCTTCATCCACTTTTAAATTTCCACTGTCACACCCTAGCTGGATTTTCATTCATTAACTATGTGCTCCAGCTGATATAGATTGGAATACTTTAGAATTATTTCTGATTTTATTATTTCATAAGTATTCTTAAACCTTTTAGGACTTCATTGCATTTTGAATTAGCAGTCATTTTTGTTATGCCCAACCTTTTTTGTGCATTTTTCACATCTGGGCTCAGTGTCAGCTGCACCTGCACTCAGGGGAGAATAAGGAAATGAAGGCAGTCTCTTCTGACACATCCACCTTCTAGCCACTTGTGTTATAACAAGTGATGGGCGATGCACTTGTAGAGCACCAGGTGGGAGAGTTGGTTTGTCCCTCATCGACAGTACTGCAACCCTGCAAGTGCCTGGGAATAAGCAGTGTTGCTGTGGCACAAAGAGCCAAGCACTCCTGGGGGAGTCCTGGTCACAGTCAGCTAGTAACATGACCCAGGGTTGAACTCTTGATGACAGAACTCAACCTGTGATCATGTAGGCACCTCCTCTGGTTCAGCCACTTGGCAGACCATGAGATACTTTATACATATTTTTCCTGTACTGTTAGAAACGTAAAACCTTTATTATGCCATTTGGATCCACAGTACATTACAGTGAGGAGATAAATAAAAGCACTTTAAAGTTTTGACTATGAGTTCTCATACTCTAAGCCTATTTTGTTCTTAATTAAATTCTTCGTGAATGATTCTGCTCCAGCACTCACCTAGAAAGTGTGGCCGTAATATACGTCTGTGCCTTACTAATGTACTAACATTATAATCCCTAACTCTCATAATTATTTCCAGGTTTTTCGTTGTTCATTTCCACACGCAAGAACTGTAAAAGTAAGCAACTTCCACACTCACGTTCATTTCTTGCTTCTAGTATATGTAAATCTGGGGCTAAATAGTAAAGAAGAATTTGAGAATCAAAAGCTTCCATAGCAAAATGATGGATTTCAGTATAATCTGGCAAGGTATTGGTAATGTATTAAAAAAACTAGTGTTAAAACTACAAACAGCATTTTCATTTTGTGTTTGATCATGTTTTTATCTTTTGATTCTCATTTGTAATTCTTAAAAGGTTTGTAGGTACTCTTTTAGAGAACTTTCTTAAGATCCCAAGATGTAACCACCCTAAATTTGTTCATGAAGTCTAGTTTGTTGAATATTTTACTTATGTAGTATGTGGTCACAGAGACAAGCTATTTTGAAATAAAAGCCATCCCTAGTGGGGAAGATAAAAATCTAGAAATATTATTCTAACCAAAATGGTAAAATATCTATTTCCTTACTGTAGTTATGTTTTTGGCACCAGAGGCACCAGCTATTATGTATAAATACAGTGGCCATAATCATTATAAATCGTTCTGAAATGATTTGAAATCCAAATTGTTAATAAATTCTTTGTTAATTTTTATGTCATAGCCATTCAAATTTGAGGTGACAGATAAACTTTACTTTAATCTTGTTTTAATTTTAAAAGTAGTACATTAAACGGCTGTTCAAAACTTCATCAACATTTCATCAGACACATCTTAACTGTTTTTTGGCTATCATGCAAAACGCAATATATTTACTGTTTGGAGAAACTTGATCTTGTTTAATCCTTGGGATTATGAAACAAGACTGATGACAATGTCTTCTGTTTGAAATGTCATTTGTAATTGTTTCACCCATTTGTAGACAAAAGGAACAGCTGATGTTATGGATCTGGCTGGAAGCATACGCAATTGACTTCGTCTTTTAAATTCATTTTCTGAATGTATCTGCTTTTTTATCAATTGTCATTTTGTCCTCCCTCACAGGCCATCTGTAATTGTAAAGTGAAGTCAAAATATGCATTGCTATAAATCTATTTTGATGATAAATTATTATGCCTCTTTTTTTTGTTGAATAGGTTCCTATAAGTGCTTCAATGTCACCAGTCCGTTTGCACTCTTCCAATCCCAACCTCTGCGCAGATCTTGTAGATTTTCAGACTCCTGTGAGCAGGCTCGCTGAGACAATTGAGTGTGCCACTGACTACATCAAACTGCAAGAGGAGTTCTGTCACATTGCACAGAAAGGTAAAAGGAACATCAGGATTTTAGTTGCTCCTTTTTTGCTTTAACCAGCATATTGTAAAAGTACAAGCACAACAGCTGTACAGTGCGGATAGGATTCATCAGTTCAATGTCATGAAATTGAACCGAGTGGGACAGGTGACTTCACAGAAAGCCAAGCATGAAGAAAATCATTAATTATTTTATGTTTCCTCCAAATTGAAATCAGCTCTCTCCTGCAACCCTCAACATAAACACACCTTACATGTATCTTCCATGAAGTGGTTTGTCCTGTCTGCTACCCCACTGGATCAACAGCAGTGCTTAGTTAAGAGAAGAATTGCAGATATAGGACAAAAAGTGGCAATTGTTTTTTAACTTAAAATACTGGTGGCTCAAAGACACAAGGATCAGTGTTTTTAGTCACTGTGATTAGTCAGTGATAACCTGACACACACTCACCCAACTGTGGTGGTGCTGTGCTTAGCTCAGGTGCTGGGATCCCATTTCTGGCTGATGACACTGCCCTGAATCAAATCAGTAATCTCTGATCTGGGACAATCTGTTCTTCCAGCTGGGAACCTCTCCTCTGTGAGCCATTCAGAAATTCTTTTCTTACTCAATCTGTCTAACATGGGACAGAGAACAGATTTGTTTTCTGCACAAAACTGAAATGCCATCAATTTCCCTTTGAAAAATCTAAAGAAATTCATACTGGGAATGATCACAACAGACCAAAATGTGTCTGTATCACTTTCATCTGTCTGTGGTGTGCCATAGTTTGAGGTGCAGCTGGCTGAATTTCATTCCAAACACATCTTTTGGATCAGGGGACCCTATCACAGAACCATAACCAAAGTATTCTGAACGTTAAGCTGAAAAAAAGTCTTTGTTAAGGTCTATACGTTATGTACAGTAGCTTTCTTTGAGCTATATACTGTAAAAAAAAGGGTCAGAGAGATGAGTTGTTATTCCTTTAGTTTTGTTTGTTATTTTCAAAACAATTCACAACACCTCAACTATATACTATAACAGATGTGTGTACATCATAACTAATTTTATTTCTGTCTCATTTCCAGTCCACTCTCTCCTGAAGTCTGCCTTCAATACAGTAGCAATAGAGAAAGAGAAGATAAAGCAGCTGCTCTCTGAGCAGGAACAGTCAGACCACACATCCCAGATTCTGTCCCTCAGAAGGTCTCTATCACAGGTAACCACTTCTCTCACACTGCCTTATACAGAGGCTGCTGGGTGTCTGTGTAACATAACATATGGAGCTTAAGAGATCCTACAAGGTGAAGAAACATTTCTTGGTTAAACCTGTCTGGAGGAGCATTTGAACTGTTCTTGTTAGCCTTTTGTTTAAGAGTGTTGTTTGCTGTTTTGTATGCAAAATCGTATCACCTAAAAAGTGATATGCAACAGCCTTCACAAACAATTACATTACACTTTTAAGTCTAATAAGTTCTGTTGTAAGTTAGGGAGCTTGTACAAACTAGGGCAGGTACATCTCACCTAATAAACTCCATAAAACCATATGACAAATACAGTTTATGGTTTAATTTGACATCTTAGTGCATTCTATCTGTCTATAAAGAAAATATTATCTTCTATATATAGCAGATAGAAGATGTATCTATATAAATTTAGAAGGTATTAAATAATTCATCCTGAACAGGTGGTGAAGTGTAACGCCATTCTATTCATCAGTTAAACACACCGCCAGTTTCTCTTGGCAATGTGAACACAAAAAAAGCACAATTTTTGAGGTGTGAGATAAGACCAAATGATTTTTGACAGGTTATCACACAGTATGGTTTTATTCAAGGCCACATCTACTATTCCTAAATAAATAAGGCTTGAATATGATATTTATTTAGCTTTTTAATGAGTTTTACATATGTAGTATTTAGCAAATATTACTTAATTAAAAACACTCATGCATTTCTTCTTAAAGATTTTAGAAGTTGAATTCACATTCTGGAGTCTTTTCTATTGACAGGACTTATAATACACCCTCAATCCCACGTTTTCTTAGTGATTCATTGCTTCTATTCTTCAGAATTCAATTGAATCAAAGACCTCATGGTTGGTATTGCAGGCGTATGTCTTGACATTCTAAGAACAGAATAAATTAATGTCATTGGTTTTTTATTAGAAATCACGTTCTGCTTCATGTCTTACACAAATTATTTTACTGTAGAAGTCCTTTTTTTCCAGGGTTATAAGTTCTGCTGCAGAAACAATCACTCTTGTGTGCCGTGGGTAACTGCTTTCTGAAATGTTCCAGATTGTATTTTTAAAAGTCTCAGTAAACGTGAAGTGATAATATTGTTACGAAAATGGTGAATTTCAGGAATTAATAGCGCGGTTTAGTCAATATGTAAAATAATCATTCATAACACTCAACTTGTGAGTGATTTCTCTAGAATATACCCAAGCAGTTGGTATAATTACAAGCACGTGAATTCCTGGTTCTCTGGCACGGCTTTGGTGAACAGAGTAATAATCCAGGCACACTTAGTTAAACACATTTATTAATGATGACTAAACACAAACTACACACAACAAAACATACAAAACACAAGTTACTCTGTGTACAGTATTTACAGACAAAGCGTTTCAGAGGCCTAACATTCTAATCACCCTAAACAATTCCCAGACTTCTACTAAGTAAGAAACTCTTTAATAATGTCTACAGTGGCCTAATAAGGCATAAGCTTCCTTCTAAATAAATGCAGTACAACCTGCAGTTAAATTTCTCTCTCTGCAACCCAGATGCCACAAAATAAATAGGAGGCTATCTCCCTATTCTAAAAATGCACCCTAACCATGAATGACTTTTCTATTGGAGGTTAGATTCTTTACCCAGGAAACCAAGGTTCCTTAAAAACACAAAATCGTAAACTCTCTCTAGCAAGGTTCAAATACTTAGCTCTAGTCAGGTTTTGTTTGGATGATCATAAAGTAGAGGCTCTCGCCTGGCGCAAGCTTCCAGCTCCAACTCCTCTGGACTCCTGTCTCTCCTCTCCTCTGCTTGTCCTGTCCTATCTTTGTTGTCCTCTGTGCTTTTAATGTGATCTTATGTTGTGTGTTTCTGTACTGCTCATTGACAATCATTAACCCACAACTTACCTAAGTATACCAATTTATACTTTACTATGATTTTTGATCATGGGATCCCCCAGACCTCAGCAAACATCCTCTCTGCTTTGAAGCTAGGAAGTATTTACTTTGCCAAGTGTCACAAACTTTATCTAAAATCTAAGAGAAACTTCTCAGTCACCAAAAGCTATAATAATAATAATAATAATAATAATAATAATAATAATAATAATAATAATAATAATAATAAAAATACATCACCCATCCTTATTTAGTTATATATATTTTATTATGGAGAATAGCTGGAGGGTAAAACTGGGTACCAAGGGTTTACATCTGTATTCTGTGGGAATAGTTCTGTGTGATATTAAAAAAAAATAAGTTCATTAACTCCTGTCCTTTGGGCTTTCTTTGCATTCCTGTGATTAAATTTGAACAAGTCTCTCGAGCATTGGAAGAGTTCTTTAAATGTATGTCTTAAATCATTGTTATTGTGTATTTTATTTATGCGACCTTAATGAGAATTAAGTTTCGAAAAGTTCAGAGAAAAAACAGTATATGAAATAGTACCTTATGAATACTTTTTTAAAATATGTTTGACCTTTTGATCACACTGCACTAAAATAGGTCATTCATAGCTGCGTTGATATGTTAGTTATGAAATGTTGAAAATAGAGAAAGCACATACATTGCGAAATGTACAAAAAAAGTGCCTGAAAAAATAGTAGTATTGAGGCTTTTAATGTATAAGCTGTGCTTAATGAATAAGAAAAAGCCAGGGGGAAACGCAAGAGAAAATGGCCTTAGTGTTGTCTTTTTGTTTTATGGGTTGAATTTGCTGCAGTTTACTGTTGAAAGTTGGAATAATACAACTTAATGGCTGGCAGTGTTCGTGTTTAGAAAATTAGCAGCCATTTGTCCTTCCCATTGGAAGTGAACTAAAAGATTAGAGTAAAATATAACGGTTAAGAAAAGTGCACTTATAGCATTCTTTAATGTGTTGATTTTAGGAGTGTCAGTACTATTAATGCTTTTGAACTCATTTCTATGGACTAGATTTGTACTTGTTTTTGACAGCTTTGTTCATTTATGTTAAATATTTACAGGGTAGGGCTTCTGAGTAGCTCAAGCTCTATTTAGAGTATGCAAGTTTGGAGTCAGGTTGAGCTCTGTGACCTAGATGTTCTCATTTCAAGCCTGGCCCTGTCGGACAGCTGGGATACAGATACAGTATTTGGCACAATTTACAGTGTGTAACTAGGAACAGTGGACATACTGTATTATACTTGTATTATGGGAGGTGTACTGCTCCTCTAGTCGGCATGAACTCTGCTGTAGTGCACTTTGGATCTTGCAGGCAGGAGTTGCGACTCTGAACTGAAGTCTTTAAAACCTGATTTTTAAATAAGGGGATATATATTAAATAAAGGGCAATCCTAAATTAGAAAAGAAAAAAAATATCAGAAAAAGCCAGTAATGAAAGATACTTTTTGTTACACAACCTTCACAGGTATTGTGTCAAAAGTGTATTTGTAGCTGGCTGAAATGCAGTAATCCAAACAATAGCTTGATCATAGTATCTTGGGATGATGATGAATTAGGCTTTTTAGAGATTGTATTTTTATAGGTATCAGTAATGAATAATTGCTTGTATTAGTACAAGACCTTTCATCACGAAGGATCCCAAAGTACCTTACCAGATAGGAGGAGACTTTTAACTTATATTAATTTCATCCAGCACTGAAGTGTAGCACCTACTTGGGTAACATGCAGTAGCTCTTATGCATCTGCTGCCTCACTACACAGGCTGGAGCAGGTGGAAAAGAGAGAAATTGATTGAAGAAAATACTTTCAGGTTAATTGCATACACTCAGAGAGAAATGTATCTAGGACCCCAAGGCTAACACCTCTTACCTTGCAAACAGTCAGGACCTTGGTTTACCATCTCATCTAAAGATGGCACATCCTAAAGCCCAGTGTCCCCTGTCACCATGCTGTGGCAGCTGGTTTAGAACATTTAGTCCTGATCTATAGTGCCACCAACTGGTCACCCAAACATTTGTCATTTTGCAGTTCCAACATGGGTTTCCTTAGAAGGCCATCAATCTCAATTCTGACATCCTGAAAATTAAATTTAGTTTCTGCTCATGTAACATAAGCATGTATTTAAAACTAGTGATATTTGGTTGTAAGTGAACTGTTGGTTTATGTTTTAAATTATGATTTGCTGTATTTAAACAAAGAAGTCTATCTGAAACAAGTCTATACTGTATTATTAGGAGACTGTGTTGTTCTGAGCTGCAGTTTATAAATTGCGGGTTATAAATGTATTTCAGTTCTACTCTTAACAGTTTTTTTCTGTTAAAATCAAATAATAAAAGGACAACAGTCATTGTCAATGAATGAGAGGATAGTGATCATATCACTGTAAGGCAGACGAAAAGCTCAAAGTCTGTGAAAATTATTTAAGCAGCACTGCTTATCTCAAGTGCGACAGATAGAAAAAGAGTCAATGTTTTTTTTAACTGCCTCTTGTCATTGAGGGCAACACAAGACAGAAGGCCTGAATGATCATTGAATATGAGAGAAATTGTTGTTGATCTGTTTTGTTTCTTGTTTTTTCATTTTGTTTCCAGGGATCATACTTTATATTAGTGTATAACCAATATCTATAAGAATAACCATTTTTATTATAAGAATACATTTTGTTTTTTTGCTTTTCGTAGGCTTTGACTCAAAATACAGAGCTTAGAACTCGCCTGAACCGGATCCATTCAGAGTCTGTCCTGTCTGACCAGGTGGTCAGTGTAAATATCATCCCTAGTCCTGATGAGGTATGTGGTTATTATTCTGAACTCCTTCTTCTATGCCAGAATGGTTAAAACAAAACCTTTCGCCTTTGTACTTGCTGACGTTAGGTTAGGCACCAATAAGGAATAATCTTTTTCTGCAGTTGTTTTTTTTTAAATTTGGTAAATAACCTGCATGGAAGCCATCCAGAAGCTTCTAAAGCAGCTGCTACTGAATTTGTACTAAAGAACTAAGCTTGTTTTTTGGATACATTTTTAGAGGTTTTGTGTTAATTGGAAAAGGATGATTAAAAATAACATTTCTGCACCTGCATGGTAATTCTAGAGTCAGGTGAAGCAGACTTCAAAGTATTCTGATTGTGGATTCTGATTCTATTTTGATTTAAATGGTAATTAGGCAGTTTCTACAATATTTTCATGTGATAGGAAAACACGCACGTTTTCTGTTATTCACATGTCTACCACACGTCTCATTTTCCTCACCTGTGGTGCTATAATACTGCACATGCTATTATCTGAATATGTTGTTTTGAGTTAATTAGATTCCTTACATAAAATATTTTTTGACGCAGCTATTTCAAACTTTAGATAATAGTTCATGGGGGTTTCAGGTTTGTTGCACTGTACCTTACTGTTTAAGACAATTCTAAAACTCGATGAGGTCTGTTTTAAGAAAGTTCTGTGCTACACACAAGGATTTTGTAAATGAAAAGGTTATAGAATATCCAGCATTCTTTTGATATTGTCTTTACACTGAACTGTTATATTTAAATGTGTGTTGCTGATATATTTAAGCTTTTTAATCCAGTCTTTTTCACACTTTTCTGATTAAAGGACACCTTTTAAATAATCCACCAACTTTGAGAAACACAGTTTAAGTATAAACAGATACCTGCAGACTATTATTATAATATCTAGTGTTATTGTTAATTCTATACTTTAAGGACAGTTGCATTGTGGTTAGCATTGCTACCTTGCAGTTTTGGGGCCCAGTGTTCAATTCCAGACCTAGAGTGCTGTCTGTGTGGAATTTGTATGTTCTCCACATGTTCGTGTTGTTTTCCTACGGGTGCTCTAGTTTGCTCTCACAGTCCAAAAACATACTGGTAGGTTAATTAGCTTCGGGGAGATTGTCCCTTTTGTGAATGGGTGAGTGTGTGTGTCCCGTGATAGACTGGCGTGTATTCTGCCTTTCTCCCCTTGCTTGCTGGGATAGGCTCCAGCTCCCCTATGACCATGAACTGGATCAAGCAGTTAAAAATGACAGATGGATGGAAGAACAAAAACACACATCAACGAATCCTAAATATTGTAAATAAATCATGACTTGTAGCAGTAACTGTCCAGCATTGTTAACTCTTCCAACTTTACTGAATAGTCTTTTTTGGCTTTCATCTTTGTAACATTTAAGAGGATGAAAAGCTTATAGTAATTGAGAATAAGGTATTGATTCTTGTGTCTAGCAGAGCAAATTATTTTTTGGCAGATTCTGGTTATCAATATCTGGGTTAGCATACTAAAATGCAAACATTTTCAAATGTCATAAGTGCAGTATTATTTAGAAAAAAGTTTAATATCTGGCCAAGCTCAAAGAGTATCTAAGGGAAATACAAAGATAGACATAGTTGGATGTGAAAATAAACCAAAAGACAACTTTGATTCTGTTGGATTCATCCAAACCCATGCTATTGCATGCTTGTGGAGAGAAAGAAAGCAATCACCATTGGTTAAGGATCACCAACAAGGGACCTTTTCATTAGAGTGACAGTTTCAGTCCTGATGGAGACTTAATATTTGTGTAATCTTGTTAAAGCAAAGCTACAGTACATATACAAGCACAGAAGTATCACTTTTCAGTTTGGTACCACTTGTACTCTGAAATAAGTACTCTAAAAAATGCTTTGATATTTGTGTTGTATACAGAGAGAAATCATATACAGTATAATCCTCTGGAAACGCATGCTTGTAATAGTCAATACATTTTTATGAAAACCTAAATGAATTGATATTCCATTTGCCTTGTCTGTGGACAATAGTTTAGTGTGTGGTTGAAATAAGAAGCTTTAATGAGTTCAGATTTACTCTACTTAAAGGCAAAAATATCTTTACTGCCGCCTTTCTTTGAGGTGTTACATAATGTTTTGCAGTAATTCTGGTACCTAATATGGCTTCTTCAAGTGTGCCAAACCAGCATTGCATGTCCTCCCTGTTAAATTGCTTTTATTAGACTTTAGCTGGTGGCAAGGGCAGATTAATTAAAAACATCTTATCAAAACAGATACTGCAGGTCTTTTGCAGTATCTCTACAATGTACGTGGCTTTAATGGAATGCGAAATATCCAAAATTGTGAACTGTGATGGAAGCAGAAGGACCCTCCTCAGTAAATATTATGATACACCCTGTCAAAAAGCACTGTTTCGTGTGAGTAGAGTCTAGAAGTGTAAGTGGAATGTAACACAATTGCATTAAGTGAAGAAATTCTTTAAACTGTTTTGCAACGTCCAGTGTTCAGTTAGTAAGCTGCTTCGTCTACATTTGTGTTCCTCAACTGCAACACAATGTTAAAAATGTTGATTTAATTAATCGATCAAATGTATTTAATTGGTTCTGTAATTTTATATGATTAACTGAAATTTGCCTTTGTAGTTTTGGATGTCATTGTGATAACTGTAGTAAGATTCAAGGTTACTGCCTTGTATCCTTGATTTTCCTTGATTTTTACTATCCTATTGCTCAGGGAGATCACTTAATGCCCAATCAGACATAGACAGGGTCCATTTTAAGAAAAGAATCCTATCTGCAGGAATGAGCTTAACAAGATAAGAAGAGACTCAATGTAATGCATGAATGTAAACGGGTCTCACAGAGATATGTGTCCTGTTTGGTCTGCAGCCCAACGAGCAGATTCACGTTGGCATCCCCCTGACACAGCAAGTCTCTAATGAGAGCAGGCTCTCCATGTCAGAATCCGTTTCGGAATTCTTTGATGCCCAGGAAGTGCTTTTGTCAGCAAGCTCATCAGAGAACGAGGTAGGTAGATGGGGGAGGGGCTTGGGTGTTCAGACTGCTGCTGGCTGACCAAATAAAGATTTTATGGTGGCTCATTTGTCCCTGGGTAAGTCAGTAAGTAAATGAGAAGTCCTTGAAAAACCAAGATAACACAAAAGGATTTAATAAATTAACATGGCTGTCAAAAATGATCATTTCCGTTAATTTTGTTAGAGGCTTCTATTCAAAGTGCAGTAAGAATGAAAGGACATTGTTTTATATTTTATCTATTTTCATGTTTTTATGGGCCTTTCTTTGATGTTTCAGTTCATTTGTATTCTGTAGTTAAATGAGGCATAGGGGTTATTTCTGTTCTTTGTATTAGATCTTAAAGTCAGGTCCTTGTTATTTGGTTATTAAAGATCCCAGGGCACAAGGGATGTTAAGCACAGCAACCTGGCTAAATTCAGCTCTGGGTTTTCAGAATCTGGCCTTCATCAAGTTCCTCCTTAAATTGGTTGCTGAGCTTGTTTCTTATTTCTCAATCTTTTCCACTGTGTAGTGGGGATGCTGGTATATAATAGCTTCTGCGGGTCACCAAGGTGGGTGAGTGCGTGCTAAGCTTCAGTGATAGATGAAGTGGATCCACTCGTATAAGCAAAGTGCTTTGGGATGAAAAGCACTATATAATTGCAAGGAAGTCTTGTTATAATACAATTATTATTCTCACCAAACTCATTTGCTTTAAAGGTCAGAATTGAATTACACAAAGCATGCAACTCTTGGCTTTGTGCAAGCACCACAGCTTACCTATCAGCCTATACTGCTCTCTGAATGCCAAGTATATGTTAATATGGATGCACTCTCTAATTTTGTCAGAGAACAGTTTAGGAAGTCAACAGAGCTGCATTTAAATTGTTTTCTTCACAAGCTGCATAATTTAGTCACTTTATTTTTAGGACTAGTTGTTTTTTTTAGTTTATAGTCTGTGTAGCACAATGGCGTGATTTATGAAAACCAAAAACCATTATTTAAGTATGTATTAAGCATTGAAAAAATGTAATTTTTCTGGATTAATGTAATGTAATTACAAAATATTTTAAAATGTAGTGAAAATGGTTAATGTGTAAAACAGAATCACAAACTAAATGTAGTTTGTATAACAGCAGGATATTAAGACATGTACAGTATACAGTATATGGTTTAAATGAAAAAAATGGCAAGGCTGCAGATATGTTGCACAAGTTAAAATGTAATAATGTTTGTGAATGAAAAAAATTACAGCCTGTAAATGACTGTGCAGTAATTTTAATTTTTTGACTAACCTGTTTTGTTTAGATTACTACGTCATGTTTTAGTAACAAGCTATGATTACAGTGAGCCTTATGGAACTTTATGTATGTGCTTGATGTTTGGAGAACTATTATGTAATGCACTGGTGAGATAGGATCCAATTAAATTGGGTGTTGAAGTAAACCCCCATTCCTTTATTCTCCATCCCTTTAGGCATCAGACGACGAATCATACGTCAGCGATGTCAGTGACAATATTTCCGAGGACAATGCCAGTGTTACAGATAACGTTTCCAGGCAAAGTATGCATTACACAGCCACGCCACCAATTAGAACACCTTGCTAATTTAATGGGATTCATGAGCTGTGTGTATTATTCAATTCAGTGTCTGATGAAAGGGTTATTTCTCAGGCATGCTAAATGAAAATTAACAGAATTAACTGTCTATGAATTTCACTATTTAATTTTTATTTTGTAAGGTGTTCAAAGGAGCAGGACTGGGTGTAAAAGCTGTTATATTCATAAAGCTGCTTTTCACATTTGTGGAACACACTGAAAAGACTGTAGGATTCCTCCAGATCATAACCAGATTCCATTGTACAACCATGTGATTTACTATTATATTTCAAAGATAACAGATCATAAGTAATTTCCAAAACAGTTCTGGGTTCTGTTCTGTTGCTTTTGTGCATGTGTTTTTTTCTCTTTTTCCAGGAACTGTTTTGAGTAAATAGCAAAACGCCTTGAAACAGTGTTAGTACAATTACAGTTCTGTTATTGTAGGTTGTAGCTGCAGTAGTTTTAGCATTAGCACTAGAAACTAGAAAAGCTGGTCAGCACAGCAGTTGACATCACTTGTAAGCAGGTAGAAAAATCTACTAATGTTTAGTCTAGTTTCTGTCAGTTACATATCTGTTCTTATTTAGGTTATATCCCTTCAATGTGATTTTAGCACTCTGCATAAAACTGATACTGAAAAGAAAAAAACAACAAAACCGCCAAGGTGTGAGTGGGGAAAAAAAAGAGAAAACAACCTCATTGGAGAGCCTCACTGTGTAACTGTCATGTGATTTTAGTGCCCAATGGAGACCTGGTTGGAGGTTCCTTCCGAAATGGTAGACGGACATGCCTCCCTGCCCCTTCCCCAGACACCAGTAACATCAACCTGTGGAACATCCTGAGGAACAACATTGGCAAGGACCTGTCCAAGGTGTCCATGCCGGTGGAGCTAAACGAGCCCCTCAACACCTTGCAGCACCTATGCGAGGAGCTGGAATACACTGAGCTGCTAGACAAGGCTTCTGAGACAGACGACCCATATGAGCGCATGGTAACACTCAAGCCAGAGTTTTCAGCTGGCTACTTCATTACCTACATTGCTTAGTTTTGGTTTATTTGAACTTGAACCTCGGTAGAGGGTGGCTGGTGTTTCATCTTCATCATCGTTTTCTAACCCCTTATTCCCGATGAGGGTTGCGGTGGTAACAATCTGTTAGACCCGACTTTCCTTTTCCAGCTCCTCCTGGGGGACTACCAGTTGCTCCCAAGCCAGCGGAGAGATATAATCTCTCCAGCGTCTCCTGGGTCTGCCCCCAGGATTTCTGCCCAGTGGGCAGTGCCCTGTACGCCTCCAATGGGAAATGCTGGCCAGTGTTGGTTTTTTGTTAGTCATCGTGTATTGCAGTATATTCAGCTTGGAGCGCTCAAGACACAAGCTTTTTCTTATTAATTTTAACAACTTTCAGGAAGCTTCCAGTATAGGACTGCAAAACAAAATAAATGATGGTGAATAAAATTCATGAGTTTTTTTCTGTCATTACTGTTGGGACCTCTGAATTCTGTGCTGTAGCTTTTCTGTTTCATGTTAATCTGTGCAGCACAGTTTAAAGATCTGGACTGCAACTGAATATGTTATCCTTTCCTTCTGACTAATTTCCATATTCCATTGTCGTACTTAACTGCAGAGCATGAAGGCAATGATTTTATTTCTATACAGGGACGTTTCCAATCGAAAGGTGATGGTTTAAAATGAGTCAGGTCCTTTTTTATCAAGAAAAAAAAGAAATCAGTGCACCACAAAACCCTTGGCATTTTCTGTCTCGTTCTACAATCTGGTTTCTGATTTCTCCCTAAATGGAAAAATGGAAATTCCCTTTATATTATTGTGTGATGTTAATGTTATTTGAATTTCCAATTGTATGTGGAAATTTGGGGAATGGACCTATTGGCATATAGACAAGGACTAATAAAAAGATTTGAGACAGGTTTGGGACAGGTGTTTATAAAATAAAGGATTGCTATTATACTGAATGATGTACAATTGTGATATGGATATCCATTGCACCAAAGAGGTGCACATTTTGCGTTGGTGTGGTGTTGAAATAAATGTTAAACTGTTATATTAATTAGTCTTTGACTCTTATAGTCTTGAATCATCACTCACAGCTGCTTATTATGAGGAATTCATAAATAGGATGTTGATTTGACTTCACAGAAAATGTGATACAATTTGTACTTTGGTGATAGCTTGCACAAAGCAGACTCAAGGTTTCTATTCAGATTGTGTTATGTAATAGACCTTGCAGTTTGTCAGGTCTCAATGCATAGGCTATTTAACAAAAGCTTTTATCGGCTATATTTGGAAGGCAAAAAAGTTTAATTCAGCTTTGCTTCATTGTCTTGCAGTAATCTTTATCAGTCAACAAATAAGGAGGCTTGGGCCTGGTATAAATGATAAAAGTCAAGGCTTGTAGATGGGGAAAATCAAGACATGTTTTATAAGTGTCGTGATGCGAGGAGTCACAGTGCAGTTCAATGAAGGTTTAAGACAAGTTTAATTGTGACAAAAAAGGACATTTCCAGAAAACACACAAAGTGTATTTCCCACAGTGCCCCGAATTAACAGTGTTATAGAAGGTTTTATGGTCCGAGCCCAACCATGATATTACCGTTAATGGTGGTTCATGAGTGGCCATTCCCAGTTACTATTCCTGATTATATTATCCCTCCTTTCAGCTATTTCTGAGGTGTCATATATGAACCAGGTCAGGAGTAAAGAACTGAGTCAGATTTTTACAAAAGTCTTGGTTAATGTTTTCTTTACTGTAATACTTTGCTGGTAAATTAACTAGTTCTTCCTCATTAGTGTACCTCCTTCTTGTCGTTGTGTTTTTCTCAAAACTCTCTGCCTTCGTAGATATTCTGAAGTGAACTTAAACTAAAGCAATATTTCCATACATGTCAGAGATGATAATAAAACCAAAAATAAAGGTGATGTTTATCAATCTGGTCTGGAAAACATTTTCTCATCATTGCTCTTTAGTTGGTAATATAACACTAAACACCTGATTATTGATTTATTTTGTGCTAACGTTTATTTTTTAGGTCATAGTTGCTGCCTTTGCAGTCTCGGGATACGCTTCAACCTACTACAGAGCAGGAAGTAAACCATTCAATCCTGTGCTAGGAGAGACCTATGAATGTATAAGGGAAGACAAAGGACTGTGCTTTTTTGCAGAACAGGTGTGTTTTTATTTGTAATTTGGTCAAATGTAATTTGTTAACACAGGTTCTAATCTGTTTGAAATATTAATAAACTGTAATCTGCTAGAGTTAAAAACCTACAGTATAAAATGCAAAATTCTGTGCTAAATAAAGTATGTTAAACTTTGATAATTGTGAATGCCAATGCATTAATATGACCCAGATAGGGTGTTAAGAAACTCTTGTATGCTTCTTTTCTGGAAAATCCTAAAAGATATATTTTTTTAATTTTACATGTAATTTTACAACTCTGTATTCTTGGTTTTCAGTTGATTTCAGCAAAGGTCTCCAACACTTTATTTGGGAAATAAATCGCAGCACCTGTGCCACCTAGTTTAAGTGGTAGTATCATCTGGTCATGGACTTCAGATCAAGAATATTGATACATTCTATGGCTTCAATCCTAACTTGTATTTAGAAGTGTAGTCATTCCTAGCCACCTAGGCTGAATTCATCTGGTATGAAGAATAACAGTTATTTTTACATTTGTAACATCTCCAGATATACAGTAAAATATGTTCAAATGTTGAATGGATGCTGAAAGAACAATGAACACTTACACAATAATACAATTGCAGGATGAAATGTGCAAAAAAAAGTTAGAAAAAAGAAAGTGCTGGATAACAGTTGTATCATTCTTTATATTAATACTTTATTGCATTTTTTAGGTGAGCCACCACCCACCAATATCGGCTTGCCACTGTGAATCTAAGAAATTTACTTTCTGGCAAGGTAAGGTACAAAATATACTTTTTGTTAATTCTTATAGCCTACTAAGCTACTCTGACTGTTATCTGTTAGTAATTAGATCAAATGGCAAAAGACATTTGTTGTTACGTCTGTATAAATGTGAGGGAGATCAGATCACACTAAATCAATATTTTCTAGACATACAGTGGATTTTATATCTTTACTTTCTTACCTTGATAAATAGAAATGTGATTTAAAAAGACCTTCCTTGACCTAACATGAAGTGTGTTTAAATAGTATTGATTGAATGGGTTATTTGCTGTTAATCTAAAAATTTGTTTTGTTATACACACCGTGTTACAGTCTGAACACACCTATACAGTAGCTATATACAAAAATGTGGGAACCCCTGGTCAAATTGCATGTTTCACAGAACCTTTAAGTGAAAAGAAGGTAACACAGCCTCTGCAGGATACAAACTTAAACATGACTTATTTCTGCACATTTTAATGCACAATTACTATTTATTTGCTGAATCTAACAGACTGGAAAAAAATAAAACAGTAAATGTGCCATGTGCAATAGTTTGGGGACCCTGTTAGTCAGTACTTAGTCACTCAGGTGGGTAGCTGCGTCAGCATGAATAGGTTGTAAAAGAACAAGTAATAGGTTTATTTCATGCTGAAAAGAGAAGAAAGAAAACACGTTTCAGCTGTGGAGACTTCTTCGGGTGTAGCTTACACCCGAAGAAGGCTCCACAGCTGAAACGTTGTGTTTTCTTTCTTCTCTTTTCAGCATGGAATAAACCTATTACTTAGTACTTGGTACCCTGCAGAGGCTGTGTTAACTTCCTTTCAGTTAAAGATTCAGTGAAACATGCCATTTGAGTGGAGCTGTTTTGCAAACAACTGTAGGTGTGAGTTTTAAACATTTTTAACCTATGCCAACCTAAACCTTTACATTTTTAGATATAAGATGGAAAAATAAATTCTGGGGTAAATCCATGGAAATCCTTCCGATTGGAACCATGAATGTGACACTTCCAAAGTAAGTCATCCAAATTTCTGCACTGTATTTCTGCGGAGATGCTTTTTACCTTGTTCTTAAGGAAACATGAATCCTACCTATTTTATGTTTCTTTGTCCTGTTTGGTTGGGTTCGGTTCTGTTATTGTTGTGACCACTGCCTTGTGGCTCCAGGTTCCTGGGTTTGATTCGGGCATTTGGTGTCTGACTGTGTGGAGTTGAAATGTTCCCTCTATAATTGCTATGGTTTCCCTTCACCTCTGAAAGATATGTTGGCTGTATTTGATTGACTTTTCTAAATTGTCCCTTTCTCAGTGGCCCTGTAATGCCATCTAGGAAGTGAATAGTGAGGTACTCTCAGCCCTTTCCCACACCTTACACTTTAGGGATAGGCTCTGGTTTTTCTTTCCCTCACCAGGATAAGTGACATCCCGATTAATGGTTTTCCAATGTGTGCATTTATTTTCTTTCTGCAATACTTTGTATGCCATCGAACTGATGTGTTTTCATTTTATTTTCTTCAGACTTAGCAAGTGGTGAGACTTAACCTCCTTAATCTCATTAGTGACCTTACAACACATAATTGTTTATCTTTTATTTTACCGGTTAGGGATGTACAAGTTTTATCTCTTTTTAAAAAAAAATCTTAGCCATTCCAACTGAATTGTTATTTTTAAAGTATTTTTTGAATCAGAGTTATTTGTGCCTGAAAAAAAAAAACACAGCAGGAGATTATTACAGATCATGGCTGTGCCTGTGTGTGATTGTAAATGAGATCCTAAAATAAACCCTGATTCCCCAGCTGTCTGGATAACAAGACAATGGGTTTGTCTGTGTCTTGGCTGTTGCATGAATGAGATCGGTGGTGCTTCTTCTAAATTTCTCCAGAGATTTTCCTTGCATCACAAAAATATCCACTAAATTGGGTTTCGTTGTTGCTAAACCTTTGAGTACATGGACATTCTGGTCTCATGTTTAATATGCTGTATGTGTGTGTATATATATACTCATCTTGCTATCTTTAATTTATATAACTCCTTCCAAATTAATTAAATCTTAAGTCATCCTTCAATTAGTTTGATAATTCTACATAATTATTCATTTGTCCAGTTAGGGGAAGGGGTTTGAAATCAAACCATTTAAGTACTGAGTTTTTTTGGCACAGGAAATGATGGTTTTTGCAAAGTCTTCATGGTTGTTCTGCTGTAATTTAGGTATGGCGATCACTATGAATGGAACAAAGTCACCACCTGCATACACAATATTCTTAGTGGAAGAAGGTGGCTAGAGCATTATGGAGAAATCACAATAAGAAATACAAAAAGCAGCTTGTGCATTTGCAAACTCACGTTTGTTAAGGTAAGATGCAAAGTGAAACTGGTTCTAAATGTTCACTGTGGTATAGCTCACACTTCCAAGTGTCCATGATGTTATTATTCATTTTGTACAGAGTTTGTAAATTACTGTAGTGCTTTGCTCAGAATGAAAATGTAAGCCCACATCTGTCTGTCATTTTGTTGAGTTTGTGTGAATGTTGTAAAGCATTGTAGGAGTAAATATTCAAACTTTGTGTCGTAAATTAGCTAATTCTCTTGAAATCTTACAGTGCGTAGCATTGATGAGTGCCGAGTAAGATTAGAAGTATAATTGTCAAACAGTTATTGTATATTATCTATTATGAATCACGTTTCTGGAGAGAGACAGTGGCTACTGTATATTTGCAGCTCTATTTGCATTTTGCCATCTTTCCAGGGGAACTATTGGAGTTCAAATGTAAATGAAGTCCAGGGGTTTGTGATGGACCAAGAGGGAAAGGTGGTGCACCGACTCTTTGGGAAATGGCATGAAGGACTGTACTGTGGTGTTGCACCATCAGCTAAATGTATATGGAGGACAGGTGAGACTTATTTCTGGGCTCTTTAGATTTTTTTGTTCCATAAAGATATTTAAATAACACAAATTGTCCAGTCTGGTGGGTTATAGCAATCTTCTTAAGTACTTAACTTAATAATTGGTGCCCGTGAAGTAATTGAGACAGCTGTCTCAGTAAAACTCACATTTTCTGTTATCCTGCAGGATCAGGAATTAAGCTCCTGGTCCAGGTCATTCATTTCTGTGTCACCAGTGGCTTTCTTTTTGTTGGTGTGATGCCTTTTTCATATTGTAGTAATTCTGTTGGTAGAATACAGGCCTGCTGTTCATTTAGCGTGTCTTTTTGGATGAACTGAAAACTAAGGGGGTTATTGCATTGGTTGATTCTAAAAACCCATTTACACCAATCAGTTCATTAAATAGCTTCTCTCTCCTTATTTTCCCATTTCACTGAAATATTACATGGAAACGTTGGGAATGATTAAAGTAATACATGCTGTATATTTTGCTGTTAAACTTGAATCTACTCTTTTTTTAGAGACCCTCGTCGTGGTGTGTTAACTGTCCCCTTTGTTTTATATTATATTATAATGGTTATGTACTATATGGTTATGTATTATGGATTTATGGTAAACAAAAATCCAGCTCACTTGTTTTAAATGTTTTTTTTCTTACAAAACATTTATTCTATGTTTCTCTCAGAACAAAGCCACACAGTCTGCATAATATTTACATTTATGTTCCCAATACAAATATGAACTTTTTGTTTTGTTAGGTTCAATGCCCACCGACTATGAGTTATACTATGGCTTTACAAGGTTTGCTATTGAACTCAATGAACTGAGCCCTGAGATGAAGGATCTGCTTCCTCCTACAGATGCCAGATTTAGGCCTGATCAGAGGTTTGTTTGTGAATATGAATCTTTTAAATGAAAACTTCACAGTAGGTGAGCTTTACAGGCAAAATTGTAAAAGCCTATCTACTGTATTCTGATTCATACCAATGGGCTTTTCTTTACTGATCTCAAAAAACGGTCTTGTAAATATTTTATTCTTGTTTGTAAATGTACAGGCAATGCACATTTATTTAAAGGGAAAGGCTTTAGGGAAACGAAAATAAAGGTAGCCCTTGCTTGGAGGCAGATTTATTTTAGCTAGGAACAGATAATGGGTTTATTCCATGCTGAAAAAAGAAAGGACACAATGTTTTGGCTGTGGAGCCTTCTTCATGAACTATATTTTAGTTAGATTAAACTCTTGTGTTTTTATCCACTATCTTATCACAACTCTTTAAAAAATGTACAAACAATCAAAGTAAATTCCACAGTTTATTACGGCTGCTTGTTTAATATCACAGACCTACCCCTTACATTTTTCAGAAAAGACCTCTCTGCTAAGCATTAAAGATATAAATTACTGCCACCTGCTGGACACCCATTTTGAAATTTTAAAGAAGAAATGAAAGCAGAACAAGTATCAAGTGCAGCTGTATGTTATCATTGTAATACAATTTTATTGAATGAACAGTCACTATATTGTTTGCACTAGTGTAAGGGTTACTAAAACCTATGTATTAACAATAATATTTGTAATACCTAGACTAGCTGTGTAAAATTCAATTCCAGAAGTGTCTTTTGGTTTTTGTTACAGCAAGAGCTGTTAACTGAACATCTGTTCATCCATTTTTGCTTCATCCAATTCAGTGTTATAGGGGAGGCATAGCCTATCTTGGCAAGTAATGAGTGCATTACAAGGTGGGGTATACCCTGGATGGATTGCAAGTCCATCGCAGAGCGCACAACAGACACACTCACACCAGGGCCAATTTTCCAAAAACCCAATTAACCTACCAGTATGTGTTTTGGACTGTAGGAGGTAAAAGTAGCTCATGGAGGAAACCCATCCCATGCACACACAGGGGTACATAAAAACTCCACACAGACAGCATCCCAGCTATTGGAATTGTACACAGGGCCTCACAATGTGAGGTAAAAATGCTAACTACTGCACCAACAAACTGCCCACCAACTAAACAATTCAATCTAATTATTGTGGTAAATAATGTTTCTTTGAGTCTTTTACAATTGATAAAACATTTCATTCACTTCATTGAATGTACAGTCATCTGTAAAACACTTTGGAGCCAAGTGAGGAGTACAGTTATGCAGTTAAATAATTGAATTTTCTATGTAACTGAGAACTCAGATGGAGCTTATACTAGAAAACACTAGGCCTCCCAAGAAATGGTTTTGAATCCCATGACCTAGGCTTTGAGAAAATACGCTAATGAGTTGAATTTGACAACTTCAACACAAAGTTTCAGTGTTCTCATTCTCTCTTTCTGCATCGGAGACTATGAAAACAAAAACACTTAACCTAAATGCCTATACTAACAACATAAACTGGTGAAGCTACCAAAAATGATTTGTGATCCTTATCATTGATCTTAAACACCATTAATTACAATCATACCGTTATACACAAGGGAACATCAAAGGCAAAGATCCTTCTCAGACAGTTTGGGACTTTGAGCCGGGTTCATAACTCCCAAGACATAGTTCATAATCTTGTAATGGGCTGACAGGCTGACATTGTTGTCTGTGTTGACAGACAGTAGCATGACAGCAAAGCTCAAAATCAGGAGCAACAGAATTCAGTGTCTTTCTAAACAGATACCTGGAGGAAGGAAATGTTGAAGCTGCAGCCACAGAGAAACAAAGGATTGAGGAGCTGCAGAGAACAAGAAGAAGATGGCTTGAAGAAAACAATATCAAGTATCAGCCTAGGTTTTTCAAGTAAGTGAAAATAATGCACACTCTCCTCAATCAGGCCCTAGAGAAGTCAGCCTGGAGAAAAGCTGATCAGCTCTGTGATTTCTTGATGGGAATACAGGGTCAGGCTGGTTACCTGCCTGCGTGTCTGTCTGTGCTCAAAATCAACCAACCATGAAGGAGCTAGGAAATCATTCTATACCAGGGTCTGATATTTTGTTTTAAAAAGCGAACTCACAATCTTTGACAAGCTGACACTTTATGGTAAGAAGTAAGCTGCCCAGAAACGTTGTCAAACCTGAAGCCCAGGCTTCGTTCACAGAACCCTGGAAGAGATCCTAATTAAACTACTTGGAATCAAATGCGCTAGGTGGTATTAATGGCCTCCTCTTGTTGTAATTTTTTTAATGTTCTTATATGGCGACTACAAAAATTAAATCCCGAGATACAGATTAACAGAAAACGTTTTCCTTGACTTTGAATTTTGTTGATAGGAAAAACACTTATTACATAAATTGAAAAATTGTACTTATCCATAAATGCTGTCCTTTAACATGGTCTTATACTGTAAGTAGTACATTGAGATTAGTGTGAAGTTACATTTTTGCCAAGGTGTTCCACAAAGAATCCCTTTTTGGACCAACACAGCAGAGAATTTTAAAACGTGTTTAGATTTACCTTTTTGTTTAGTTTTTTCTCTCTGTTCATATGTAACCAACAGGAAAATCATTGATGCCAATCGGAGGGAAAAGTGGGTGTCCAACAACACATACTGGGAACTGAGGAAAGACCCTGGCTTTAGCAAATTGGAAAACCCTGTTCTTTGGTAACATTTGGGTAGCTGCGCTCAACATATCATCATTTTTAACAAAGAAGCTTTTTACCTATGCACAAATTTGACCATTTCCGTTTTTCAGTACAGAATCAAGCTGGCTTTTTTTGGGGGGGGTAAAAAATATCTTTATTCTGTGACCTTTTGCTTTTGGAGATGGATAATTAGGAGCTGCAACATCAGAAGGAAACTACCATTGCCTGTTTGTGTTCTGCTGGGGCAATGCTTTTCTTACACTACTATAAAGCCTTTTCCATCACAGAGTGCTCTATAATGACTTGCAGAGACCGGTTTGTGAGAATGATAGAAAATGAAGATCTATCAGATGCTGTTATAACTTTAAAGAATGTCTTTGCCTTAAAACGCAGTGATTGCTTTCAACACACTTCTTAAACATGGCTAATTTTAAACTTTAGATAGAGCCCAGATGATTTTAAAGGTCCAAGATTTAGTTGATTGTCTAAATTGGGCTTAGTTACATAGTTTACTAGAATGCCAAGCATGTCAATAAGATGTCTTTCATTGGCTTGAGTTAACTTGAGTTAAAAGTGTACAATGACAAATATGAGCACTATAAAACTTTTATTTATATTTATAACACGTCTTAAACCTTTGCTTATGTTTTTTTTTTTTTATTTAGGTGATGGGTACACAACAAAGTCAACATGTTAGGGGGATTATTCATCAATGTTTTAGAAACGTGTGAAAGGGATCTTTTAGTTTTCATATAGCTGAATATGTGTCACAGTTATATTCTCTCTGGGGGCAGTGAATTGCTTTGTAAATATTTTATACAGTTTTGAAAAAGCATAATGGATATTGTTTTGGATTATAAATCTAGAATTACTCTGGAAAATATTTTATGATGATTTCAGAAATGTAGGATTATAAAATAATAATAATTAATAAGGTGACTATGTAATGCTACTTAAGGGTAGAGAGAAATCTTTAAAAGCACAGTGCAAGTCAGTCCTTGTAGTGCAACATGTACTGTGATATTAATGCATGGGCCAAGATTACAAGTAACTATTTGATTTTAGAGTGGTGGGTTTTTAGCAAGTGACGCACTGAATTTGTGATCCAGCTGACAGGAACACATAACCAGTGCTTCCCTTAAAAGGCAATGACAAAAATGTTAATTTTTAAAGATGTAAATACATTCATATGATTTCATTAACTTTAAATTCTTTCCGGTGATCAGAAATTATTCCTGCCCAGACGTTTTGGCAGGATACAGATTGTCCTTCCCACAGAGCCAGCCTATTTAAAACTTTGGCACAGTTTCCGAGATGGAGCAGTAGCTTGGGCTTACCCTTACTGCTTTTTCCCCCTCTATTTATATCTAGAATAAAATCCCAAATTTGGTGCAGCATATGTCCTTACATTTAACCCCTGATATCTGTTGTTTTCAGTGGATTTCTCCTTTTGCAGGCCAGTGGGTATTAGTTGCTCTTCTTTGCTTTTATTTCTCTTAGTTTCCAAAGGGGATCCTGGTACAATCCGTGTGTTTTTTATGAGAGCTAACCCTGTTTATTCAAAATAAACAGACTGCTTGCTAGTTAATAATTCCATTCAAGGAAGGGAGTTCAACCCCATAGTTAATGGATAGATTTATGAGAACAGTCCTCTTCATGTTACAAATTGATCTTGCAGTAAGCAGAGACATCTACTGACCGGGCAAAAATGTTTAGTTGCTAAATTGGAAGCTAGGTTTTAAAAGTAGTATGATGCACATTATAACTGCAGTAGTGTAAGATAATGGTAGTTGTATATACTATTATTGTACTTTAAATAATACTGTTAATTTATATAATGCCATTAATGCTTTTGAAGGGAATGCATGAGCAAATCCAGAAACTTATTTTTAAGCAAGAAGGCACAGACAGATAATCCCTGAACAATATGTTTGTGTTAAAGCAAGCCAAAGAAATGCATGATTGTATTTTGTGTTTAAAATTACCAAATGAGTAATTTCAAATACCCTGGAGAGTATATTGCTGTAAGTTAATTTACAGTGGAAAAGCGGTACTGTTTATACAGTATTTAAAATATTTTTGGAACAGACACTGCATTTCTGGCAAAACATTTAAGAATATTTAAGTTTTAATATCCCCTTAACATATTTAAACAAGCTGTAGTATGCGTCATTTAACTGCTGTGTATTTATAATGAGCTCAGTAAATGAGTTTTTTTAATGCTATTCTGTATTTAGTTTGCATAATTTGAGCTTTTTATCAATTCACGTTGACTTATTCAATAAGCAGAGTACTTGCTTCTGAATTCTAATGAACGTGCAACATTAGCATTAAAAGCAGAAAATCAAACAACATACTTTATTATCAGCAAAATGACTACAAAGAAGAGTCAGCACATTCATTTATCAACACACTTTTGTTTCTATCTGTATAACAATATACAGTACATATAATCTACATTATATTTCTTATACAACAGATTACTCTGATAGTCTGGTAATTATTTTCCATATTTTTCCATTAATCTTGCAATTGGCATAATTTAGCACTAGTTTGATTTTTTCAATAAAACATCTCCATTACTTTATTATGAATATTATTTAAAATACAGTTGTGGCTTTCTCAGTAACAATTCCACTTGCTGTGCCTTAAAATTTAAAAAAACACCCCACATCCACAAACCTCAACAAATAATTGAAAAGGATTCTATGCGTGGCTCATTGTGTATTTGCATTTCATCAAAAAAGGGGGTTTTCATTTTGTTACCTTAACATTAAGGTTACCTGAACTGTGATGTTCAAAATTGAGGTGTTGTTCTGCAAAGTGAGGAAAATTATCTAAACTATTGGCTATTCCGCATAGTGCTCTGTAGTACAGCCTTTAGTTATAATTGATTTTGACAAATACTGTAATGAACCTGGCTTGTAATGTTGAGCTTTCTGAAGGATTTGATTCCATCTGATCATGAAGATTTACCTGAATGCTTTTTTCCTCCAACTAGTAATGGAATGTTTTGAGAAAGGAGAGTAGTGTGCTGTCCCACGTTTTGCGTTGGAACAGTCTCAGATTTGCGTAAAATAGTAAATGCAAGGAATGTATAGCATGCATATACTGTATTTATCCTTTTACTTCACGGAACATTAATTTATCCTCTAAGGGCCCTCATGACTTCAGTTTTCTTTGTAGAATGTATTTGAGAAGGCTTTGTCCAGTAATTCTTGTTCTCTGCTATGCTTATACAAACCATTACAAAGTGAGTGACTTGTGTATTGGCACACCACCCTAGAATGGAATCATTTCAGCTTCATTGGCTGCTGTATTTCACATCCAAAATGCAAAAGGATTCCTGTGATTTCTCACCTACAAATAAAAAAGAACTTCTTGAAGTATTCTAGCTTCACAAAACAAGGAAATGCTTTGAGCTGGATGCTGTAGCGGATAAATAGAGCCACTTTCCCGTTGGCATAGTCTTAAGACTGTTCTCCTTCAAAGGCACAAAAATTAATTTACAAGCAGGGGGTGTGTGAACCAAAACATCCTGGCCTGGATTGGTCAAAAGTTTATAAATGTAAACCAGATGAATTATACATTTTGCTGTATCTCAGGCTTAAATGATTTTGGAAATTTCCCATATTTTATATGGGACTAAATTTATGCAATGAACTACAATGAGAGGCTTGAAAACATAGTTTGTGGTCATTCCAGTTCAATCACTAAAATAATAATTGAAGACCTATCATACTTAGAGTCATCATGGTAGTCACCATTCATCTGTGAAAAGGTAGGTTTTCCATAACGTACACAATATGTACTTTTTCCCTAAATGAATTGCATTGAAGGCTGACTGGTTTAAAGGCAAAACTCCTGTCTTTTTAACTTCAGGGCAAACCCATGTTCTGTTCCAGTAGCACAGAGAAAACATTAAGAGCACTGTGTAATACCTGTTACAATGTTTATTATAAATGCATGTGCAAATGACATTAGCCTGCCAATGAATGTTGCAAATGCCTTATAAAAGGTCATTTTTGGTACTTTGGATTATTCAAGTTTTAAGACTAACATGTACCTCTTTGGTGCTGTTGGGCGCTCAGCTTACAGTTACTTAAATCCAATCTCCAATGGATTTTTCTGAAGAAGTGCAATTGTATAATTACATATACATATCTTCTCATGAACACTCTGTACACTGCTGCTAAATAGTGCTTGTTCTAATAAAAAAAAGAATACAATGTCTGGAGTCCTTAATTATGGTTGTTTGTTACTCAGGAACGACAGAAAGTTACTGTATTTTTGTCACATCATTGAACTGTATGTAAAAAATCCTGGACCATATTAAAAAAAGTACAAACATACAAGTTAGCAAAGCAGGGTTATGCCTATTCTGTTAACTATTCTTTAAAAATTACCAAGTGGGTAATATTCCACATTGTCCATTCATTTTGGCCATAATGCTAGAGTTTTTGGTGTCTTTGTAAGAAGTATGATCAATCATGTATAGGGAAGAATCAACAGACCGGACAGTAGATTAAAATGTCCTGCTCAGCATCTTTTTATTTCAAAATGCCCCAACAGGGTGTAATAAACTGATAGACAAATGAATAGTTACATACAAGAAAAGAGATCTTAATATTGTCTGATAAACAAAGGCTGTAATCTTACTACATTTCACACTCTTAACGCCTGTCAAATGAAAATAATCTCAAACACTAAATTCTGCATTCACAGTTAACACATTTTTTTTGTTTGTTTTCCAAGGATAGACTGAAAATATTATCCCACTAAAATTATGTCCGTTTCTACAAAGAAACATCAATTTAATTTAACTTTTTCATCCTGTGGTGTGCTGCTTCCTTGGTACACAACAATTAAAGCAGTCTGTGCTGTATATGGCCTTTAGTTATGCACTCTGATATAATCCTTAATATATTTTTCCAGTTTAAATTGGCATTACCTTAAAAATGGAATAGGAGGCAAGTAGGATCCTGGTTAAACTGTCAAAGGAAATGACTTAAAAAGCATTCATTTTTCAATTTTTAAATAAATTTCCTCTTGTTCCTCTTGTTTGAGCTTCTGTGATTAAATGCTTTTCAAGTTTCACTGCTGGACTGCTTAACAAAAGGCCAAGATAACCTAACTTTAGGTTACCAGCAGGTGGACTCAAGGCTGTGTCCAAGTTTAAATCCAAACCAGCACCCACCAGAATAAAAAGCTAAGATACAAAACAGAACTCTTTTCCATTCTGTGCAAAAGGAAGTTAAAATGAGAGTACAAAAACACAACAAGTATCAATGCTGTGCTATTACTTAAATATCAGGCATATGTCAGTTGCATCAGCCAGACCAGGAACCAGCCAACAAAATACGTTTCAAATCGGCTTGCTACACAGCTTTGCAAAAGACATGTTTTGTGCTTCTAGCAGGTGTTTTTTTTCATTGCTCTCAGTAGCTGCTTGCAATTCCCAGAATGCATCAGGCTATGGCTTTCCTTTACAAATCCTTTGGCACCTTTGGTTATATTTGATTGTTAAAAATATGGGAGAGGCTACAAACTGATTCAATAACAAAAAGCAAAGGTACACACTATGGCATTGTTCTCCTTGACACAATTTCATATGACAGGATTATAGAAGCACCATTTTCTTTTATTTGGTGAAAAGGGATAGACATTTGCTAAAAGGCTCCGCTTTCCGTTACTCTCACTCTTTTTTGTGTGAAATAGTTGTAGTTTAATGGGGGACAGTATTGGCATACATGTTAAAAGTCCTTGACCTACTCAAAGCAAAGAAAGAAATCACTGCAATTAAAATCACTTCTGCAAAACACTAAGGAGATGTGCAGTTCACATTTCCACTGCTTCTTAAATGGGAGATGTTTTCTTCATAAAATTGTAAACAAGTCCTTTTAAATGTTTCAATAATCCCCGATTACATTTCCATATTCAGTATTTTATTTCCAACCCACCTGGAACACTTATTGTGACTGAATGAAAACGTAATAGCTTAGTTAGTCCCGGCCACAATTTTGACGTACTGCAGTGCACTGTGTGCTGCGTCGTTGTGTGCATTGCCACAGGTGATTCCAGTGCCATGACACACAATTACCGGAGAGGTGGCAAGCTCTGCCAAACACTGGTACTGCCCGTTCACCGTCAGCTCATCTGCAAACGAAAAACATTCACACACTCGTTGAGCTCCGTTGAAAAGACAAAAAAATCCAGTCCGAAACCTCACTAAATCTGAAAATTAAAATGACAGTTGACAATGTACGGCACCCTCTCTGCGAATTGAACATGCCAAAAATGTGTTTATTCACAAGTTGGTCTGGCTGATGGGGTCTTGGATGGAAGATCAGCGCTGGATCAAACCATTAAGAACAACTTGCAAATTAACTGCGCAACAAACTAGGATTGCAAGACGAACCCAGCTAGTGAGTGAGCCTCTCCCTGCCCCCTGCCAGAGTACCCATTAACCAGCATCCTCATTTCACAGTGGTCTTGTTTTTGGATTGTAACAAACACTCCATATTGCTGGTGTGGGAAATGACAGGCTGAAGATGATTTGACATGCTCACAGTTTTATTGTTGCTTTCAGTCTGGAGGCAGAGAGAGAAAGTGCAGGCATCCGCTGGAAGCAGAGAAGGAGGGATTCATGTTGTTTATTTTAGCAGATGACTAGAAGTGTGAGATTACTATTGTTTTAGTTTATCAGTGTTATTTTAATTATCTTAATGCCAACACATTAATGCTTAAATGATCACGTAAGTGAGGGTTCTCTGAAGAATCCATACAGTGCCTTGAAAATGTTTTCACTTTTACCAACTGTCACAGTATTGCAAACGAGGTTTCAATTTTCTTTTTATTTTAACAACTGATGAACAAACCGAACACACATACCATCATACGAGCGTACCATCTTATTAGTGGGATGATGTGTAGTTTGACCAAATTGCCCTAGGTTCATTAGGGATTGCTGATGAGATCTTCATGTAAGTCTTGCCTTACATTTTCACTTTTTAATTCAAGATTTTGACTAGATACCTCAAAGCCTTTCACTCTGTTCTTACCAAACCACTCCAGTATGGCGTTCGGTGTGTGTTTTGTCCCTTTGTCCTGGGTCATGATGTTAAAATGTAAGTTTCTGAAGCAGTTTTAGATTCTTGGGTGACTCAAGCAGGTTCTAATCTGGGATTCAAGCTTCCCCGGCTCTGCTCATGACAGTGTAGCATCCTTATAACATGATGCTGCCACCACCGCCACACTTGACCAAAACGTTTTGATTCTAGTCTCATTTGACAACAAAACGTCCTGCCACAAGTCTGCAGTATATTTTACATGCTTTGTCACAAACCTCATACAAGAAGATGCGTCTTTTTCGGCACTGGCTTCCTCCCTGCCATTTGTACATATAGCTCAGCTTGCTTACTGACTCCCATCACAGACACAGAACTTTGCACATCTTTCCGAGTCACTCTCGGCCTCACAGTGGTACAGTAGCTTTACTAATTAGTTTCCTTCATGCCCGAGTGCTCAGGTTAAAGGGCAGCCAGATCTGGATAGCTTCTGGATGGTATGACACACATTCCCCTTATTAATGGTGGACTTTATCGCACTCAACAGGATATTCAGTGACTTTAAAAACGTATCCCTAATTTAAGTCTAAATCTCCTTGGTCATCTTGGTTGGTGTGTCCTAACACTATGCAAATTGTGGCTTGAAATTGAATAATTAAGGGAACTTCAAGAGGGAGCTGTGTTTACTCTAACGTCAAGTTTAAAACACTCAGTAAACAGAGACCAAAACCCTAATGTTGTGACTTTTTAAACTAATCCCTTTCACCTGAATTGATTTAATAGCTGGTGTAGGAAAAGTTTGGATCAATAGACAAATAAGAATCTTCTACATATCTTCAAAAATTATTTAAATACTCTCAGCATGTTTTAGCTTTATCTGTTCGTATTGGACTGTGTCATTTCTAAATACACAGCAAAAAGTCCTTTTGAAAGTGTCATGTTTGCAATTAAAAAAACCCGTACAAGGTAAAAATGATCTGCTGACATTAGCAAAGATTAACTCACCTATATTAAGGTATGTGATCTCAAAACCTTGCTCTTCACACAAATCTGCCATCATCTGCACATAGTCTGTGTTGGGAATGCTCAGGGGATTTCTTTTCAACATAGTGATTTTTTCTGCAGAAGAATTCCGCAGAGACTCCAACCTGAAACCTGTTGTCTTAGGCATCTGTAATGAAGAAAATGTATGAAAATTTTGGTGTTGCAACACTTCCATCCCGGAAAACAGGAATTCAAGAGTTAGGACAAACCCTACACCTGATTAAATTAGAATACACCTTTCGTAGCCTTCATTTTGCATCCCTCTGTTCTCAGTATCACTGCATTTGACAGCAGCACCATTTCTATTCCTCCTTGTCAGAGTAAACTTGATACACTTATATAAACCAATAAGTCTGCATGACCAGGCTTTTGTCCCCTTTCTATAGCTTAAACTGCATACACAGGAAACCATGCTGGATAAGACCAAAGTTACTGAAATAAGTAATGCAAAGTTAAAAATGGAAAATAACATAATTGAACAGATATCTTTCATACATCTAAACAGATGCAAGTCTGAAACTGTTGGACTTCAAAAGACATTCTAATATTGAACAATACAATTGGAATACCAAGAAAAGCTGTGACTTACACAAAATGAACAATATTCACAATCATGTTACAAAATGATACCACTGTGGCAGTTTTGCATTCCACAAGAGTGCACATGTACAGGGAAAATAAAAATCATACAGCAAGGATTCACTAACAAGTGTTATACCTTTCTAAATTTTGGAAAGTGACAGCAAAGAAATTTGAATGTCAGTTCACATACCATGGAGATGACACAACTCTCTGACAAACTCTGAAGTTTTGCAAGCATCTTTTCAGCTGCAATCCTTTTAGCTACCTTTTTGGAGCTTCCAGTCCCTGTAGAAAATCAAGGGTTCCCATCATTTACAGAAAACAAAACTGACTTGAGTTGACAGAATTTCACAGAGAAATTCCTGCAAGAGTGGGAAATGGTTTAAAAACAAACACATACCCATTTCTGTAAATGCCTCTACCTTGCAAGTCACTGTGAACTCTTTCTTGTGAGGGGGGCCAGCTTCCACAGAAACAGAGTATTCTGGGAGTCTCCACCCTTTATGCACGGACATTTCCTGTTGAGGAATTGTAAATAATGCTTAGGCTGTGGAAAGTGACTGAAAATAACATTGTTGATGATACAGTCCAGTACAAAGTCTAACGTATGGTCAGAAAATACCTTGCTCAGATCTACCAAACAATAGCTTGCAACTGTAATTCTGAACTACAAATAAGGTAAAATCTCTCACTAAAGATCAAAAATGCAAACGTCAATTAACAATCTAGTTGTTAGTGAATGACTTACACAGGAGTACCCAAAACATATAGGCAGGGGTGACTAAATTGACTCTGATCACAATTATACTAAGTAAAATAGTGTCTTGACTAATTGCATGTGAACACGAATTTGGAGTAGTAGTTAAGTTTTGAACTCCTAATCTGACGGTCATGGATTCAGCACCCAGTTGGGGAACACTGTTGCTGTAACTTTGAGTAAAGTACTTTACCCAGACTGTTCAATAAATGGGTGCTGATAATTGTAATTCAAACAAAAATACCCAATTGGAATCTCTATAAGTCACTTTGGATACAAAATTACAAAAATAATGGGACACATGCACTTGTACAAAATTACATCACATTTCAAACACAATCTGAAACACTCACAGCTTTTCTTTCCCTTAGATACAAAATGCAGTACTGCAGAAATGTAGTACCTGTAAGACTCCTATAGAATTTGTTTGATTTTGAGGGTGTTTGGCTATGATACAATCTTCAGTCCTTGGCAAGGAATGGCTGTGCACAAATTTAAAAAGCACAAAGAAATTAAATTGCATTGTATACAGATATATTTAGTTTTATATCTGAGCTTATAAGTTTCCCTCAAAGGTAGTAGTTTCACAAAATTATACATACAAAAACATAATACTTTAATTATTTTATTGTACAACATACAGGACCTCAGCAAAAGGATTCATGGGGGTTCAATCTGCTGAACAAGGTTAGAAAGTATTCTTAAACTACCTTACATGCACAGTTGTGCATCACTTGTACTCATATGTTAAAGTAAATTAACAAATGTTAATGAACAAAAACAGAGCATGCAAGGGCTCTGAGAGAGTTAGCCATCTCATTTGGAGGACAGTTTGAGTCCGGGGTTATTGCATGAGCCTCAACCACAAACTGCTCAAGTATGTGGCCAGTGTTGTGGGCTTGAGCAGTTTAGGGTATCGTCAGACTGCAACACAACGATAACCCCTGTATCTTTCTGGAGGCCTCTGAGCCTGCAGGTTAGTCAGAAAGTGCCACATCGCTCTTCTGCACTAACGTAGCTGTGGGCCTCACAGTGAGAAAGATGACAGATCTGGATGACACAGCACAAGCTGTGCACTGCGCTTGACAGGACCAGTGCTGGTCGAAGCCAAGTTGATTCAAAATCATCATAACAACAAAATCATAAAATTGATTTAGTAACATATTGCTCTGCTTACTTGCTCAAAAAGGCAAGTTAATTTAAATTACCTTAAATTAATCAAACCTATAACCTGTCAGCACTGTTAAATCAAAACGGAGCATAAGGCTTTTTCATAATTTCATTAATATTGTTATTCGTATGGGTTTTACTTAACAACAACAACAACAACAACAACAACATGTATTATCTTTTCCCCAGCAGCTGGCACAGTATAAGAAAACTCACCCATCACCATCAGGGACTTCTTTTAAAATGTTCAGAGCTGCTTCAGCAGCGGTATGTTTTGCTGCCTTCTTACTGTTTCCTTGACCTGTGGTTTGTAGGGGAAACAAGTTGCACTGAATGCAAACACATTGTAGATTGCCTTGAATGCATTTTAAATGATTCTGCTGAAAGCTGTTTTAAAGATCAAAGCTTGTACACAAACGATATTTTAATTTTAAAAAACGATAGGCCAGTAGAAGCCTTCCAGACGCTGATGGCATCATTGATAGTAATATGTAGTGAGACGTGTTTGGAAAAAGAATTTTTCAAAGAGACAAACCTGTGCAGGTAATACATCCCACTGTTACACTGAAAATGAAAGTTGGGAGGTGGGCGTCTCCCTCCTCCTTTTCCATAGCATAAACAGGCATTTTACCCGTCTTTGTGCCATATTCATGAAGAATCTGAATTGGAGTTTTTCCTGGACAGCCAGTGACCATTTGTTTTACACTAAAACATACACGAAACAAAAACCAAACATACCTTTTTTAACGTGCGTCTGTAAAAGAAATGTCGTTAACATAGACTAAACACATAACAAAACATAGACGTCCATACTAATTTTTATTTTGTTTTTATATATACAGTATGTATAGTCTAGCACAGAAATACCAGATGTCCCCAGTACACATGCACAAGTCTGCAGAATAAATGCTTAACAAAACGGAGAAGAAATCAGTAGCTATCACGCCTTCTGAAAGTTCACGAGTCATAAGAGAACATCTTAGGTTGAACTTGCTTCTTATTTAAAACTTAACATGTTTAGTTTACTACAGTAATACTGACACCGTTGTCGGCGAACAGGTCATGTACTCATGTTTTTAAAACAGGCACCAGTATCTTTTATTTAATCGCAAAATGTTGCCGTTATTCACCGAGCCACTCGAAACCTGAATAAAAACACTGACCTATCAACAGAGCTCCTTTTAGACGCGGCAGGAAACCTCTCTTGGGACATGTCGCAATTGTTGCTTTGAAGGGTTGAAGTCGCGCTAAAAAGGCTCTCTGCTTATATTTCGATCAATGGGTTAGCTGGCTGTCTGTCACTAAGGTCACTACTGCCGTTTCTGTTCCGCAAATAGTTTCCGGGTTAAGTTTTATGTATTTTCCGGGAAAACAAAAAGGAGAAGCATGCGTAATTTTTCATCCATCTTTTTAAAATAAAGAATATAAATGTTTGTATAAACGTACAAAGCTGTTAGGAAAAAAAGAGTTGTTGACAAGTCATTGTATGTTTGTATCATAAATAAGTCAAATATGTTGGAACACCTATACGCTCATTTTTTGTTCCTAGAATAATTTCTTAAATGTTTACTGAACATTCACTGAAAACCCAAAGATTCCAGTCTCATCCACGCAGAAAGTTTGGTAAACTGTGCCTTGGTGATGTGGTTTTTGTAGGTGAATTCCTATCACCCTTCCCTGGTCTGAGAAGGAGATCCCCTTTGTATGAAAGTGAGTTTCCTTTTGTGGGGAACTTGATTTTTTCCACGAGATTCAAGTTTTCATCTTCGGACACAAACAGATGCGTTATTAACAATATAAATAAATGAAGATCATTTCAAAAAGTGTAATTTTTCAACCGATTTAAAACACTAAAGTCTATGTTTATGCATAAAGGTAAAGTGGAGAAAAAAAGGTCAAAACCAATAAACAGAACCAAGATGCCCCTTTATTTAAATCCCAATCTCAAACCATAAATACAAATCAATGAACCCATTACACGAAATTGTAAGGGCAATGACATATAGAAAAAGATACATTTTTAAATGGAGTGATCATTATGTGTGCTTCATAAGCAACTGGAAATATTTTATAATATACAACTGGAATTAATACTGTATTAAGACTATAACACCAGAACAGGTTTAAATTTACATTTTAAAACTCATTTTAGACATTTCACAATGCACTGTCCAATTTTCTGGGTAAAACCAGTGATTTCCAAAACAAGTCTTGGTATGAAATAATTGCCAATTTTGGCAAAAATTGTACATCAGAAAACAGATGAAGAAAATAAAGAATTGCATACATGTTCATTAATTCTTATTTCAGTTTAATCTGGTTACTTTTCATGATCATGGTAATGTGACATTATTTCCTCATACTTGAAGGTTCAAAGAGAAAAAACAATGGGGGTAAATCAAAATTCAACAAAATACATTTGTTAAAGAAACCAGGATATTTGCTACTGTATTTTAATAAAGACATTGAGAAATTAGTCAAACCCTGACAAAAGGTTAATGTAAGAGATAATAAATAAAGCAGTAATAAAACCATTTTAAAAAGCAAATACAAATTATCTGTAATCCACAGCTATCTACCACTTAATAAGAGGTTTTGTGTTGCTCTGTAATTTTAATTTACTTTTAATTTCCCAACTGCTGTACAAAGTTGAATTTATTTTAACCCACCCTAATCTATTCACCCAATGTGGGTGACTAGTATTTAACACACCTAAAATATAAATATATGTACTGGAATAAATGTTTTTTGTGTGCAGTTGCACAGACTTGTAGGTACTTAACAATGAATATAGATAAAAGTTGTATTGTTTGGGTTAAACATTCACACCCCGATGAGCACTTGTCTTAGTTTACTATTTTGTTATTTTAATGCTATCCTAAGAATGTACAAGCATATTTTTCCCCCATTGTTGTTATGACTTTAATCATACAGTTTTATTTACATTTTGCATGTGTAAGTATATGTGTGCGTATGTATATAAAAACAACATATCTGAGAAGGCAACTGCTATGTCAGTAATAAAAGAAATATTGTACTTAAAATATTTACTGCTTTGTTACTGTAAATTAAGAGTGCAATTGATCAATGCCAGGATATTCATTTGACATTTGGTCTGAATAAGATGAAAACCAGACCTACTCCAATAGTGTTTTATGTATTTTTCCAAAGTATTTTTTCAGCAGTTTAGGGTCTATACTGAAGCATTTTAGAAACACAACACATCATATCTGTTAATTGGTTCACCTGTTTGCATCATATTGCAAGAGATTTGATGAGCAAATATGACAAATGATGTTGGAACTCATGCTTCTGTGATCTCAATACCTCTAAAATGTTAAATGGCAAAATGTGCAAGAAAACATGCCCTTAAGAAACATTCACATATGAGTTTGCACATTCAAAGGTAATGTCTGCATAAATAACTTGTACAAACTGTTTTTCACTGTTCTTAATCACCACACCCTTTATTCAGCAAAAATAAGTGCAAATTATCTCTGGGAATGTTTTGGCAGTAATCGCACACGTTTTCTGATGAATCTTGATTCTGTTTCATATGGCAAATGCAAACCACATTCAGTCAGAAGAAAACACAAGACTAACAACTTCCTCAGTTCTTTGTGGTAGTAGCATAGCAATGTTATAATTGCTGAAGTTGATACCAGTGCTAACACCTTTCGCACGTGTCAAGTGTCACTCGAGTTTTTGCTTCAATCATTATTAATCAGTGTCATGCAGTGGCCAGCTGTAAATCAAGTTGTGTAGATGGCACATAATGTCCTTTCTACAACACCGCCCCTTGGAGGAGATGATGTAATAGCATTACATAAACAGCACAACAATTGTGATTGGTTAGACTGGTGGTATAAACAGGAAGTGCAAGAGCTCCTGATGGTGTACTACATCTGCTGCCTAAAGAAAGGAGCAGATCCTCTGGCTATGCAGAGGGGCTAGAAACTGGTAGTAAAGGAGATGAAGAAATATTGGTAGAACCCAAATAAAAGCTAGTTTTGTTTCTATTTCCTTTTTGGCTTTTAGCACGATTTCTGCATTGCATTGTAAAAGGTTTGCACTGCATCAGCTTGTGGGTAACCGTTTTCCTAGTCCCTGCCTATTTAGAGTCCATGACACACTGCCACCTACACTGTGTCTCTGCTGTTAGACCCAGAAATATCAAACACTTCAAAGTGAGTTTAGAGATTTTGTGGTTGTTTTTCAAGCTTAATATAGGAACCTCCCTCTGATTTAAGTGCTATGTCTCTCAATCTATGCTTTACTACTTGTACCGTAACAGGGGACCAACTTGAGTACACTGAGACTTGTATGATTCTTGACTAACTGAATTTTACTGCCTGAAATTCTTTTACAAATGATGAGGTAATGTCATTACCAAATCTTAAAATTATAGACCTAACTTTCTGCATTCTAAGGTTATCTTGATTCTCAGTTTGTGTTTCTAAACATTTTCAGCATACTTCCAGCAACAGGGCAGTATATCATGTAGTTCATCTTAACAAATAACACGTATCAAAAGCATTATACTATAAGTAGATATTTATCACTACATCTAGAAAAATAAACATTTTCTATAAAGCAAGGTGTCCAGTCCTAGTGCTTTAGGTTCTGTCTATGTGCAGGTTTTAAATTTCAGATCAGCTCTTGATGGCCTAATCAGTCCATTGATGGCTTAATTAGACTGATTTAACGATTTCAGTTGCTGCTGCTTTAAAGAAACCTAAACAATTTGCAGACATACCAGCTACTAAGGTTCATAATTAAGACACCCCTGCAACAACTGAAAATAAACTCTTGTCATAGTAAGCACTGTTATGGTATAAAATGCTGAATGCAGATACTGAATTAGCATTCTATTAGTTTTCTATCTGCAATTACTTAACTTGACTTTAAGTTAAGTTGTATGTTATTACAAAATTCTTACTTGATAAATTGACCTAAAATCAATACACACACACACACACATATGTACACATACAGAGTTTTTGCCAAACTCCTGATATTACGTACCATTAAATCTAGTTGTTCTGATCTGCATTGCATTGTAAGAGCAGTAAGGTTAATGCTGACAAGAATACTCACTCTGTTCAGTAAAGCATGGGGTGATCTCTACTATACATGTGTAATCTGACAAATCACTGCAATATAAATCAGCATCAGAAAAGCCTAAAATAATACAGATGAAAATGCAATGGAGAAGCCATTGAAAAGAAAAATTACTGCATTACATTAACCCACCATATAATCTAAATGTTAGAATTTTGTTTTTTTTTAACAAAACTGTGGTCTTGCAGAACCTTTCTTTTCATTCTTTATCTACATCAAAAAGAATCAATTTATGTACAGCCTCCCCAGAAAAGTAGGAGGTAGGATTATTTTATATTCTTTGCTACTCAACATAATGCCAAAATTAGTCTTGGTGAACTTTAAACCTATTTAAAATTTAAGTGAAATTAGTTGACAACACATCACCAATTTTTAGTCAATTTTAGTTTGGAAGACCTTAACATTTTAAAATATCTAGAATCACTTTTGCACTTTTAATATTCAACAACATTACTGTAGCCATTGTAATGACAAAAATGAGCCCTGAAAAAGCCCTCCCTTGGTTTCGATTTTTCCACATACACAGAAATTTAATTTTCTTTCATATTGCCATGTCAAAACACTGAAAGCTAAGACCTTAAAACACTTTCATCAGAAGTCACAACATAATATAAAAAAGGTTAGAAACGAGAGCTATTCATTCACACTGTCTAGCTCATTTGGTTGCTATCACCCAGCTGTCATTCTAATGCCTTTCAGCTTTTTTCCTACCTTAATAAAAATAATAAAATAATCTATAAAAGCATCAGTGCACTGAGTTGCATAGAAATAACCAGCAGGTAAGCAAACAGTAACAAGGACTGTAAGCATCCTCAATCACACTGGGAGTCAATGTTTTAGAATAAATCACAGTGGTCTATCTTTAAGTAATCTTCTCTTACTTTAATGTTCTGACTGCTTGTTCTGGGCAGTTCTGTGTTTGGGAACGCAAACAAAACAAATCTCAAATGTCGGCTTAAATACACTTTGAGAAACTGATCACGATTTGCTTCTGAGTTCTGCTCTCCTACTTAAAAACTGAAGAAAAGGTTTGAAGTGTGTCCAATTACAGTGGTTACGGCACTTTTTTGTTGCCCTGGCTACTAAATAATTTTTCCAATAGTACAAAACCGTGAGTGGACACTGCCTGGGATTGAGAAACTCTGTAGCAAACGGTTTGGCCACACATGGTCACATGTCCCCAAGTCCCAGGAGTTTTTCAAGCTTCTGTATTTCCATCTCCATTCTCCTGAGGCTGCAATTGCTCTTTCTCAGTGCCATCTTCCTGGGGCGGGCGCACACGCTTAAAAAAGCCAAACTGAGGAAAGAAAACAGAGCACCAGTGAACGAACAGTAACCACTCATTTGTGCCTGCTTATGGGTCTTCTGGTGACCACATATAGACTGAAAATTGACTGGAAAAAGAAATTAAGCTGAGCAACTGTCAAGAAATCTATGTTAATTTAATTGATTTAACTGAACCCCGCTTATCAAAGCTTTTTCATCACATCACATTCGAAACACATTTCTCTCTGTATTTTGCAAAATGTGACAAACTTATTCTGCCGCTTCTCTCATATCAGAATTTATCACAATTCCGATTCAGATTCACCATCTCTAGTCAGGAAAGCACAAACAACTGTGTCATAAAATAAATACCAGGTACTTAAATAAATGACAGATTATACATTTTTCTAATAAAAGCTTTAAACCAACAGACATTTAATTAAGCAACAATTCAAATTTACCTTATACATGACAAAGATCAACAGAGCCAAAAGAAGGAGCCCAGCAAGAACTGCTAGTGCAATTATCCACCCGGGCACTGGTGGTGGGTTGTCTATTATAACCCACATAATAGAGGTGTTAACCTTTGTAAAGAGAGAAGAGTAAAAACTGTTATTATTTATGTTGCTGGAAATCTGTGGCTTGCATCAATGCTATTAGTGCTTTTCACAAATGAAGATTAAGAAAGTAAGTTTGTTGCAAAAGTAAGGGTATTCTGAAATTTCCCTATTTATGCAGGCAGCTTAAGCACATATAAATCACACATTTTAAGCTATTGCTCTTGATTATTGTGATCTCTATAGTGATAACTAATTTAACCATATTTCGCATCACACATGACACTCTATTCATAATTTCTAAAATCGTTCAAAAATGTCACTATAAATGTAAACTGAGAAAAAAAGAAGCACATCTAACCTAAGCAGAAAACAACAATTGTATGGAATAAACACTGCAGTATTAACTTCCTTGATTCCCCCCAAAAAATAGGTTTCACATCACATATTTCCTTTACATTTTAAACCTGTTCCCTTTAATTTCACAATGTTTTCAAGAAAGAAAATACACATACCACTGTAGAATTGGATGGTAACTCATACTTAAGGTTTTTGTATGGCATTTCTATGACATTAAAAGAGGCTGATGATCTTGCAATGTATGACCGGTTCTGGTTTTCACCCTGGGAACATAAAAAAAGAAAAATCTTTTTCAATCTAAGTAAGACAACAAGCTTTTCTACTATCTTATGTTACCACATCAATTATAAATTAAAAACACAAGCTTTAATTATTTAAAGAAAGGGTTCTTACGCTCAAGAAGGTAGCAGCCCACAGTCTGGACCTGATGAAGAGAATTGCACTCTTTCCTCGCTCTAAGCGACCGACCTGACATCTGATTTTGAGACATTCTGCTTTCTCACAGTTCTGAATAAGAAGAACAGAAAAAATTGTCAAGCAATTTTTCTCTGATAAAACATGTACTGTACTATGTATATTTTGCATCCCCAAAATAACTTTAATCTGGAGAATTTTTACATATTGTCGCCAATGTTTTTATGACCTTAGTGTGGGAATATACAGAGTATATCAGGAATACTCATAACGGTGCAATAGGACCAAAATATACCAAAGCTTCCAGGTTCCCTTCCATCTGTGGGGCATCTCTGCGACGGCGTTTATTTTTTCCTTCATTCCGAGAATCTCCACTTATAACTGTAGTATTCTGCTTTGGTGCTGCAGGCATCTAAAAGAAAAGTGTAGCACTACAATTACCAAAATAAACACACATGAGTGTTTTTTCTTAATTAAATACTGATTGATATGTTTTGTAGGAAATATGTTCACATGCAGTAGTAACTACATAGTCATAATACTTACTGTGACATTCAAGGGATTAATTTCCATATCAGTAGTACAGTTCATTGGTCCATCAATTTCGTAATTAGTAATGTAAAGAAGAGACCCGTTGTTGAACTTGTAAGGCCAGTCAATGTCTAACATTGCCTTGCTAAATGTGCTTGGACCATTATTTCGAAGCTAAAAAAGAAAGAACACATATTTGTGTATTTTAGGGCAACTGCAATGTCAAACAGCCTTTCTTTTAACATGAGCAATGGCTATACTGAATTCAGCCAGTATCTTGGACAGTCTACAAAGTCATTAACATAAATGACAAAGATTTGTCATATCTCTTCCATATAAAAAGTTCAAGTTGAAAAATACCTGGCTTTAAATAAATATGAAATATGTTACAAATAATTGTAATTTGCCTTTTTTTAGGAAATGATGGCAGTTGGCCATTAAAATATCAGCAGGTGTTAATACCACTATTGCATAATAAAGAAAGTTCTTTAAGAGGAGGCAGAAAGAAATAAGACCTCATAGATATGCTGCACAAGAGGTCCAATGTCATCCTCTAACACAGGGTTCTCCTTGGGCTGCCAATTAGCGATGGGGAGAAAGATCTGATCAGGTGCAGATACACTGGATAAGAGGAAAAAACATGAAACACAGCTTGAGAAGACAAACTCTGTCTGTAGTCATAGCTACTTTCCTGGCAAAAGACCAATACTAAAATACAAAATACCAATACAAAATCTTCAAAAGATCCTCATTACAGGATTCTGAATGATACAATTACTCCATCGACCTGCAGGTAATGAACGCTTTTAAAATGGACAACCCCACGTCCAAAATACATATTAGACAGGGCAATGTTTATTCTTTAACTTTAGGCTGCAAAATCATTTAAAAATCATTCGAAAACCTGTTTTTGAGAAAATCAGTACATGCAGTACTAGTATCTGTACTAGTGTTTAGGTTAGGTTTCCTTAAGTAAGTTATACTTGAAATGATCAATTGGACTCAAATGCAAGAAGGCTAGGAATGTAATGCAGATGCTGCAAAAAGTCTACAAAACAGCTTGTTCCATTCACTCTGTAACACGACTGATCAGCAGTGATACTGTATGTGTGAAGCAGGATCCCAGTTTAACACAGAACAATTCATGCCCCTTGCTTTGTCATGACAAGGACAAACACATTGAAAGATTAATGGATTACATTGATGCTGGTATTGCTGTAACAATTGTGTGGACCACACACCTGAAAACGTAATGCCTAATAAAATGCAACACAGTGAGACTGCCATCATCAACAACTGTTAAAATTGGTATTAATGACCCCTTAAAACACATTTCTACTGAAACAATGGTTCTGTTTTACAATGAACTCAGCAACCTTTCATGGTTTCTGGTGTAAATATATGCTGAATTACTTTAGCTCTGAGTTGTCCAAGATTGTACACCGCTACAGGATGATTAAAACTGGAAAACCTGCGTGACCTTTATGCACAATAATGCACACATTATTGTTGCTCATGGAGAGTCGCATGCATTTCCTACCACTTATTAACATGCTCGTTTTTTCACAATCACTTATTTTTAAACAAAAGATTATATAAAAACAAAGCACATACACGGACTTCTTGATTAGCAAATATGAGCTCTAAAATGTTCGGAGATTACATTCAAACAGGTTGTGACATTTCTTCAGGTATCTCAACTTATACAAATCATTTTAAAACAAATTAACTGCTTTCATTACTCAGAGTTCAGTCTTATGTTAAAATCAATCAATCAAAATGTTAAACAGTAGGAAACAATTACCTTACCACACGTGTCCCTTATGTCAAGATAAAATCAACAGCAGACAACCAGTAGTAAGATAAAACAAAAAAAAAAACAAGCAGCTCATACTCACCCTCGGATTTCTACTTTTGCCAAGACTGCAAGATCAGTGACTGTGGACACCAAATTGCTAGTATTATCAAACTGGTTGGAACTGCAAAACATTTTGAAAGCAAATGATTAAGAGATACGTAACTATGAGAAAAACTAAGAAACTTTTCGCTGTGTAACAAAATTAATGTACGACTGAAGGTGGCACTGTAAATCCAGATATGGAATTATAGTGTTATTCTGTTGGTAAATGGATGAGATTTGATGCCAGAGTTTAATCAAAATCTTAACAAGCCTTATGACCTGGGGAAAGAAAGAGCAGCACATATGCTAAAATATACATAGAAGAACAGTAGAGAGAAGATGTCTTATCAGATTTTTTTCTAGTAGCAACATATTCTTTAACACACATTGCTAAATTATACTGTGGTCTGCACTGCACTGTAGAGCAGACTGAAAACTTTAGAGACTGATAACTTAGAGATTCTGTGAAACATGCAATTTGACCAGGGGTGCCCCAATGTTTGCATACAACTGTAAGTGAAAGCAATATGCCATATACTGTAGGAGCAACCCAATATTCAAGTATTTTTTTAAAAATGTCTCCAGGGGGCTTGACAAACTTCCTAATTACTACATCTTCTATTTAAAGATTCAATAGAATCACAGAAATCTCTGCCTTTAAACAAGACAAGAGTTTCAACTCCTGGATACCCAGCTGTCCGAGACAGTAATGCTCACTTTACCTCTTGATCTGCAAGTCAAACTTCACTGAAGTGTCCTGCTCTGAAAGCTGATGCACACTGAACCGCAGACCAGCCACAAGCTACCCAGGAAAAGAAACGGCACCACTGTTAATATCACTGTTTGCAGTCTGGCAGATTGTGACATTCTTCCATTTCAGAAAGGAAACATCCACTCTACCACTGCATTAAGGCAAACATTCTGAATAGCATTATGCATCACCTCAAATTCATCTTTAAAGTTTGATGATTTAGTTCTTTTTCAAACTTATCCGCTTATCTGTTCATTTAAATTGAAAAAAAAATATTCAGTGAAGAACCAATTATTTAATGTAAAATTGATTTATTTTACACTATATTATTATTATTATTATTATTATTATTATTATTATTATTATTATACACTTTACTATATTATTATGAATTATTCAGCCACACATTATAATCATCAGGTGGTCATTTTCCCTTTGAATTTGTAAACATAAAGCATCTCTGACAATAATCTGTCAGGGGAACAAAGAAAACAAAAACAATTTTTAAGTATTTTAAAGAGTTCAGGTCTTAATGATACCTAATGAAAGTAACTGATACTAACTGAAACTAATGACAATGATACTTACTTTTGTTCCACCTTTCATTGGATTTCCAAGGTCACATACCACTGACCTGGTTTGGTTTTCCGTCTTATAAGCACAAGACAATCGTGACAATACCTATAAAAAATGAAAATAAGGAAGTCAGCTGTGCATTCATTTCTTGTTCAACAAAGCTGGGTCGGGTCAGGACTGGGACTGAAATATCTAAGGAAAATCAGGTGCTGTTTTAAGTGGCGCTGGTGGAGGAGACGGTGATGGTCTTCCCTTTGGAACTGAATTCCCAAAGCAATGTTCCAGCATAGTGGTGAAGGACACTATGCCAGAGGAGGTGTCATTCCTCAGATGAGACATTAAGCTCCTTCCTACTTGGTTGTTAAAGATGTCATGGCACTGTTTGTAAGAGTAGGGGTGCTCACCCTGCTGTTCCAGATAAATTCTAGTCTGGGCTTGTACAATCTGACCTCCCTAAAGTTACCCCATTAATTCAATTGGTGAAGCAATTTCTCATTTGTCCACCTAATGTGTAGTGGGGTTATACACTAAGGGCTGTCACACATCACCCAGGTAGGTGCTGTACATCAGTGACAGATGATGTAGGTCGTTGCACCATATGTGGAATGCTTTAGTGATCCTGTGGGATGAAAAGTGCTACAAAACTGGTAGGAACAACTGTATTGTTTCCCTGGCAAAAAAACAAAACAAATACATCCATCCATTTTCTAACTGCTTTATCCAATAGAGGGTCATGGGGGAACTGGAGCCTATCCAGAAAAAAAATGAACGATACACCCTGGATGGGACACCAGATACAGACATTAACATGCACACACTCACACCAGGGCCAATTTTCCCCGAAGCGAATTAAGCTAGCAGTATGTCTTTGGCCTGTGGGAGGAACCTGGAGCACCTGGAGGTAACTCACATTAACAAGGGGAGAACACACAAACGCCATGCACATGACACCCCAGAATTGAACTCAGAGCCCAAGCATTGTATGGTAGCAATGCTCACCATTATGCTGCCCAACAAAAAAACACACAGATTTTAAAAATAACTCATATTAAATGGTCAAAAACCTTGCCCACATAAACCATAAATTAATATCATAGTTGCGGAACACAATTCATGACAAACATTAATATAAGATCATTTGAGAGTGTAATTACAGCATAAAGGGCAGGTAGTTTCTAAGGCTGACTTCACTGGAATTAATCTAAAATAATAAAACAGAGGGACACGTTGATCAGTGCAGGACAACTTTACCTCACTATTCCGTACTACACCGATGAAGTCTGCCTGGGGAGGCATGAACACATGCAATTCTGCCTCGTATGCCCCCTCTCCATTGTTCTCTGCAGTGACCTCTAACGTCAACGGGCTGTCATCCCCAATAAAGATCTGTTTCTGGTCGCTGCTCAATATTAAAAGAAGATAACTGTGTTATTCTGTAGCTTCAGCTCATGTGGTCACTGAATTGTGTCTTCTTTGTGTATGTGACTAATGTTTGCTTAAATAAGTCTGAAAAAAATGAATCCTACTAATAGACAAGGTCACTAACACATTGCTATCACATATTTCTCTTCCTGTCAAATGAGCACCTCTTCTATCTGAAATTTCTACATTGTTAACCATTATAAGCTGCCAGAATTTAAAACTAGAAATATTAACAAATACTGTATATATGCATCCAATTTTTAAACACACAAAATACATAATAGTTTCTGAACATATCTTTTAATCCTCACAACACCTTTATACAATCTATAAATCTTTTAAACAATCCTAAGAAATTTTGTTGTAATCACTGTTGCAAGAGACAAAATGTGATTATTATTATTAGAAAATGTGATTATTTTTCACATTTCCAAAGTCTGTTCTTAATAATATTGTAAGTACTGTACAAATAATTATTGGTTCTTCAAATTTGATATAAAACATCCTACTAAACATGGTGAGCTTTGCAAAATTTGAATATTTAAGTCCATTAGACACAATGGTAGAAATGAATCTTTAAAAAAAATAGCTGACCACTGATCAAATTGCCTTACATTACTTTTTTCTTTAAAAAACAACCATTTTTCCCTTTGCCCCTTTTCAAAGTGAACAGATCCTACGTATGATAAGTTGATACATTTTCTACTTCACTGAACAAATTTTACCAGTTATTTTTTTTAAAGACAGAAATAATATTTTAGACAATATGAAATCTGTTTCTGTTCTGGGCATGGGTGTGTTACAGCAGCCTTAAAAGTCTTAAATCATATTCTTATGACCACATTTATTCACCTGTATTTAAATATTTACCTATGGCTTTTGATACTACGGACTACTCAGTACCTTTTAATAAATTGTGTAGTACTGATTTTGATCATTCTCCTGCATGGCTTCAGGATTTACAAAACAGCAGTGTGTAAAATCAAACTTATGCTTAACCGTCTAACCATTACTAAGGATTTCCACTATTTTTATAATACATACTACCAGTACTGTCCAGGTAACTTTCATACTCATTTCTATGCTGACAACACTATTTAATACTTAGTTGGTCATTCTTTATTGTCAGTAATGGCTTATCTGCAAGTCAGCTTTGATCAAATTCAGTAGGTATTTCATGAATTGCAACTTTTGTTTAACACTGTAAAAACAGAAATAATGTTATTTTACAGAAATATAACAAATTGCTCCATTGGTAATGATTGCAATATATTTACTTGGAGCAAGATTAATTTAGAGAAAATAGTGGTTTCTAAATATCTAGGTGGTTTAGATAGCTCTTTCACTGATTTAGATAAGTTATGCATTAAAATCAAATGTAGACTTACCTTTCTATAAGACACAGATCCTGTTTTACATGTACTTCTAGTTATAAATCAAATGTCTGTACTCCCCATTTTGGTTTATGGTTTGGTTTATTCACAAAATGCCCACTAAAGCTGTACTTGGAAATTTATTTTTCCACATCATTCTGCTATAAGATTTATCATTGGTGCTCCTTATCATACTCAACACTGGGATCTTTATTCTTTAATGGATAGATCTTCTCTGCATATGAGAAGACGGACTCTATGGTTTAGGGTAATTTAAAGAAGCATGATTGGGAAAAATCATTCTTATTTGAATCATCTAACAATTTACAATCTAGTACATTTCTTAAATTGCATCTTCCTAAGGTAGTTACTGCTCTAGGATGCAAGTCCTTTCAATGTACTGCAGCTAAAGACTGGTAAGAATTGCAGAGTTAAATCCGTTCAATTCTGTATATGCTGATAATCCTCTGTTGGAGGGTTAATTTAATAATTTTTGATACTTTTATTGCTAATTCAAGTTTAAATGATGGTCTAATATAAAAAGTCACAATCAAACTCACCTTTTCACAGATAGTCTGAGATCTGGTTTACAGATATTATCATCACCGCAGTCCAGTAAAATGTGGGCCTGGAATTTATTAAGGTAATGATTACTACCACTCCAATAACTCCTAACCTTCAGCTTTTTAATTTGTTTAATGGAAATCTTTGATTTATTGATGATCTATAAGATTAATCAATCCTTTTAAAAATACTGTCGCTATAAAACAAAGAGAGAAGTCAATTAATCTGTTGTGATTTACTTGCTTTATTGACCTAACTTATCACCGTAATTAATTTTATATTTGTTAATATAAATTTGATGTGTAATATATTCAAAGGAAACCAGATATGAAGTAGAAATGCAGGCTGTATTTTCAGATCCTAAATGATATGGGATATAATGCTGTTTATTTTATTATTCTTAAACAATTAAAACCATATATTTTACTATTCGGTATACAATGTAAATGACATACAGTATACCCTAAAATAAAATCTTTGTCTGATGTTCAGAAAAAAAAAATTAAAGTGTTAACTTGTTTTTTAACCTCTTCCTTTAAAAACAGCATGTCCTTCGAATGCATAACAGATCAATTCTTTAATATTTAAACATTAAAGCATTCATTCTCAAACCATGACAAACCTGTTGAGCACTAAGGAATACTGTACCTGTTTGGAGATGTTAGCAGGGGTAAACTGGTCCAGAATAGGCATAAGTCCAGTTTTATCTGCAGCAGTTTTATAATCTAATTTGTACTCCATAAAGATGGAAATTGGAGTAATCTTGTCCCTGAACTCTGAATCATCCTATTTGAAGGAAAGGAAAGCAAAGATGTAAAAAATATCATGTGAACTCAAAGTTGTTTTTTCCAGAATAAGAAGAATTTAACTTGAACACCTTTAATTTGAAAAAAAGCTTAGTAGAATCCAACGACACCAGCGATCGGAGACTCTGTTTTATCATTAATACTATGAAATATGATGTGAACCACACATGATATATTTACAGTGTCTTTCACTAAGACAAAATAGGAGGCTAATTGGCACACTCACTCGTAAATATGCATCCAGCTCTTCACACGAAGGGGCTTTGCCAGTATTCACAGTCATGTTTTTTGTATGGGATGACAAACTGCTGTGCAGAAACAGGGCCCTCTTTATTGCTCCTTTGTGTTTGAGTCTGTCTAAGTGCAGGTCCACCTGAAAGTCTTAAGTCAGAGACAAATGTATTAAAATATTTTAAACATCCCTTGCCATCTCCTTTTTAGCCTTCCCTTTTTGCTTCTTGTTTTTTTATTCAACAGAAATGCCAACATGAGTAAATACATTACTAAAACCATTAAATCTTCTCACTAAATTAGCACAATGTATAGTTTGGAAGGCTGGCTGTACAAATTGAGAATTGACACTTGAAATCCTGGGGAAATACACATGCAAATAAACATTAGAATAGTTCATTGGGCTGGGCTCTTCTGTTTATTTGTGGCAATGATTAGAGCAGAGAAGCTTGATATGTTGTGTGGTCACAGTTCAGGTGATCAGCAGGGAAACATCAGAAAGTTCAAAACTCTTACAACAGCAAACGAATATCCTCATCATTAGAGCAAAAAAAGTGACAGGATTGTGACTTAAATTTCTACACTGTGTGGGAAAAAGAGGAAATGCTGCATTAATAAACTACTAAATGCAATGCTTAATATCTGGTTATACCTATTAAGATTTTAACAATGTACAGGTAACAGCACAAAAAGATGCTCTGTATTCCCAAAATATAGAAGTGTTTCAAAAATATATTTTACAAATTCAGAAAGGACTGCAATATTCAACGTATTTTGAAGAAAATCTTGAAATAGAACATTCACTCTTGCTGTATCTGTACTTGTTCTTTACATTTGGATTCTATGTAAGCAGTGGAAGTACTCCCTTTGCATCTGCTGTGTTGCTTTAAACATTATAGTTTGGCAGAAGGCTGACTGGGTAGTGAGAAGGGGGCCGAGCCTGTTTTTTTTAAGTCGCTATGATCCTGTTTTCATGCCACCCGGAATTAAAAATGACAATGAAATTCATAGGAACTTACGGAGCATTGAAGGTGCTCCCTTCCCGTTTGCCTTCAGACAGTATTTCACTTTAAAACTGCAGGGAGATGCAAAACAAGTCAGGATAACAAGTAAGTAAAAACACGCTTCTTACACAGTCTGCACGCTCATGTAGGAGATAATCACATTCTATCAAATGTGATGGGGAGATTTGTTTTCAGATAGTCATACCGCTTTGTACGTTGTCTCTTCAGACTCAAAGTTAAATATTTTTTAGAAACCTGCAAGAAACCATTAAATTATCTAGTGGAAAAAACTATGCATCACTGCATAAGACTGTCTACTTATTGATTATATTTCAAAATTAAGGTATGCTAGTGTAATGTACACTGGTAAAATGCCTATTTTGTTTTAATTTAATAATACATTATGTGAATGTCCTCAAGCACAGAAACATTCTGGTGTTCAAAGTGCTGATGCTTCCTAATTTATGTTACAATTATTAATCTGAAAGCTAAAATGACAGTTACATGTATGGGCACAACTAAATAGCAAAAACTAAACAACATTAATATATATAGATAATGTTCCAATATAACAGTTTCTTAACAGAAAATCGGTGGCTAGGAGTTTCAAATAACAATGATCACAACTATAGAACATCCTACAACAATTCAATCTAACCACAGCATACTATATACAGTATGAAACTACATACTGTATGCTATGCCCAGAAATGAACTTCATTTTAATTATTATTTAAATTGTGTCAGGCATGTTACTAGAATTTCAAAGGACAGATTACAAAAACTCCCAATCACTGTTGTTAAGCTTGTTGGAAGGGGCAATTGAGCTGTCTAAGAATTTGAGACATTGCTAAACACCTGGCTGGAATTAAGCCGGAGTCACACTACAGGACTCGAGAGCATGAAAAATTTAACGACTGCAGTCACTGAATCTCGCTGCTTTTTCTGTCCTAGAAGGTTTTATATTACACAACTAGCAATCGCAGGGGGTGACTAATCACGACTTTTCATCAAGCTCTAAATCTCGTATTGCGCCATGAAAGTACCATGAGGTCGCCTCATTCTGACAGCCAATCAATGTGGAGCACACCAGAATAAGAGGAGGAGCACCACACGAAAATAAACGAACAAAATGGAAAATGTTTATAAATATAGAACAAATTTAAAACCTTTAAAACAAACATTGTTAACAAATTAGTATTGCGCTATAACGTGTAATATCATGGGAACATTATCTCACAAGTACACATCTGGCTCACTGCCCACCCCTACGACTTGCGACTCGCTACGAGAAAATCAAACCAGTTTGATTATATCGTAGCGAGCCGCAGAGAGTCATAGGGGCTATTAAGAGTGCTATGACTGAGTTGCTGGGAGTATCACACTACACAACTGAGGGTAATGGGCATCCACTGCAACTCTCTACAACTCGCAGTGATTTTCTTACGATTATGTAAATGAAGGCTAGGACTGAAAATCCTAGGAAAAGTCGAGTAGTGTGACACCGGCATTACCATTTGCAGTTCTTGGGAGCTTCAAAGCAAGAAAGTAACTGAGGTGTCTGCAGAGTAATAGAGGGCCTGAGAGACAATGATCACAGGAATGGTCTGGTTTATCTTGGTTATCTTAAGTTCTGGATCAATGATTAAGTGTCATCAACAGTTGAGGAACAGAGGATAAAAAAGGCAGGTAGACAGAGAGAGAGGGGGAAGGACAGGGGAAGAGACAGAAAGACAAGAGGGAAAGTGAAAAAGGGTTGTGGTCTTTGAGACGTCACTGTCCAGATCATCTGAATTAAGTACTGAACCTTGTTAAGGGAGCTTGCCATTCTGTTGTTTGTAGGAAATGCTCAATTTCCTATATAGACAACCTGTTGTTTAAAAGTGGCCTTTCTTGGTTAGAGGATGCTTTTTTTTTAAATGGGGAGATAAGCTTCCCATTCACTTTGACACATCCAGATCTATTCTGCTTGGTTTAGAAGGCAGGTTTATCTCTTGTGGACCTGTGTAGGGGTTATAAAAGACCTCTTAATATTTGGTAGCAGTCTGGGGTTTTTCTGGTTGGTTAGGACATAGGCCTCTAGGATATGTTGTATGTTTGTGTTGTGTACTGTTTAGCATGTCACTATTAACAGTTTTGTCATTATTAACAATATATTTGTTCATCCCAGTGTGCCCGATATATTAATTCAATTCACCAAAGCTGTGCCAGAGAACAAAGATCTCAGGTGCCTTTAATTATACCAACCCCATAGGTTTATTTTGTAATTTAATCTTTACAATTTAGGGGTTATGATTAATTTACTTATCAATTATACCACTCAGTCTATTTCAGATATTTTGTGGTACACCTCCTTTTTTCATAACTCCTTCTTTGTAACCACTGTATTACAAAAGGATAAACCACATTCTTCCTCTTTAACCTCTTTTTCTCTTTTTTTTCTTCTAACGCTGCAATGATCACATATGGAGTGATCAGTGGGGAAAAATATTTCTTTGTCAGTGGAAAGATAACTAAAGCAAATTGAAACTGAGTGTTCACAAACTGAAAAACTTGTGTTAGGATAAGTCAGATCATTGGTTAAAGTACAGGTATTCAGTCAAGAGCCATAATCCAGATCTTCTACATTTCCTTAAATCTTCAACAACCCAAAAGCTTTGAAAAGTGTTAAATTGTATTAGTTAGCTAATACTTAACGTAGTTGAGCTAAAACATGAGGTGAAATGAAAACCTGCAGACATCCAGGACTGTATTACGTTCTGGACTAAATTTTCACTGAAAAAAATACAAATGTACTTAAAAATATGAATGGAAAATTAAAATAGTTAGATTTGACAGTAAACATAAATACAAAATATACAGCGAAGAAACAATAGTCTGCATTTTCTTGAACATAAAAGGCATTGGCTTTGTGATGTACTATTTTCTCTCAGAAATACATTAAAAACAAGAGAGTAATCCTGAACCTCCAGTCAAAACCTGAAGTAGGGGATTACAGAAAAGCAGACACTGACTGACAAAATCCAGTAGTACTAACACTGAAGGTTTTTTTTTTAATGACACTGCCTGAAGCTTTTAAATTTTTCAATGTTTGAGAATAAGTGCTCCCAATTATGGGTAACAACAGGAATGCAAATTAAATTTTGCTAGGAAGCAAACCTTGTCTAAAGGCATTAAAAAGCTGTACAAGCATTGTGTTACTTAACAGTGCACTATTTATACTTCCTCAGTGCTGGTGAAAATGGTAAAGCCAGTCTCTTCCTTTTGCAAAGAGCTCCCAGATGCTTGGGCAATGACATGTGAAGAATGTTAATGTACCGCCTCCATGATAGAATTAAAACCAAACAAAAATCTGAGTCACTGGAAGGCCTCTAATTCCATTCTCATAAATAGCTTTAAGGGAACAACCCAGTTAGGAATACAGAAAAGGATATTGATTTTTAACAGCTGGAAAAAAAATAATAAAAATCAAGGCCAAACAACATTCACTACTATTAAACTACTTTAAACAAGTAAACTGGGTTTAGGAAGCTCTGATAAAAACTCAGGCTGCTGTTTTATATGTCACAGAATATAAGACTTACTAATCAGTAATGATAAATACAAAAAGAATTATTAGTAGTCAGCATTATTCTGATCAATAACATCTGATTCCCACAGGTATTTTCTAGAAAATGTATGTATTTTCTAAAATGACAGTTAAATCTCATAATTGTCATTATCATTATCTTCCAAAATTGAATGTCATATAAAAATATTTTTAGTACAATGGGACACAAAACCTTTTTTTAAACCAAAAAGCCTTACAACTGTAATTTGCAGATTAAAAACACTTGAGCTAAATACTCCTTCTTGATTTGTGATAACAGTGATCTGTGCAGCTGCTTATTATAATAGCTCCCTCATCAGAAAGACTTACCATGACACTTTTTTTGAAGAATCAGGTAACAAACAGCTTTTATCCTCTGGGTTGACAATTAGGGGGTTGATATCGAGTGTAGCGTTTACACTTATAACTGGTCTTGCTCTGTCAACAGATTAAATATACGGCAAATACCAAAACTTACAAAAGCAATGAAATACAGTTGGGACTAAGACAGTCAAAAATGTAATACTAACTCTAATCTAACTACCAGGTCACACACAAAATTCAGTTTTATCATGCATAGGAGCCTTGTCATTCACAGTCATACAGGCATGTTAATGTATATGACACTGTAAGAAACATACCTTAGACTAAATAATATGCATCTGCCATGGCATTTCTATTTACGAAGAACATGACAAATCTCACAACATACATGCATGTTTTTTAAAAGACAAGGTAAAAACATCTAAAAGGATAAGTGTTTAATTTCAAATAATCTTATGATATTTTATATTTTAATAATGTCATCTTAATGTGCATTATTTTATGCACCATGCACATCCACTTGCATTTGGTGTGTGTGAGAAGAATGGAGGGTGAAACCACAAATTATTAACTTTCAAATGTAATACTATGCAAAACAGAATAGTAATACATTAATCAGCTGCACACCAACCATCAACAATTTCTATCTGGATGCTAATGCTATCTGCAGATAGAAATTGTTGGACCGTTTTGAAAGAGGAAATCATTTTGACAAGAAACACAGGTACTGGCAGAACAACATAAGAGATGAAAAATGAAAGATCGATTCTAAAATGCTACACTGAAAAAAAATATTTTCTTTATAGACATGTATCTCCAACAAACGTGTCAAACCTATTTGTCATGTGACCAACGGTATCATAAAGGAAGAGTTAGTGCAAACTGAAGAAACAGCGCAACTCTCCCTGACATCACTGAAGGTTTTCAGGCACTAGGAAACTCCAACTACCCACCTAATGCCCACTCAGCTTCAGTGGCATTCAGCCAATTGTGTGCCACCACTTGGCAATTTTTTTGGACAATTGACTAATGACATGGCGCAAATTACAGTGAAGACAAAGATGTTTAGAAACAGTAAAACACAAATATGCATCTTAAAGAAAGATTAAAAAGGTTTATCAGTACCTGTATAGTACTGCCTTATCTGCTCCAAAAACACCAACAATCAAGTCTACAAAAAACAAGAGAACACAAAAACATTCAACCTAACAACCCGGTATGGGGATCTCTAGATGTAATTATTGTTTTCTGTGAATCCATCAAGCTTTACCGATTCTTTTGCTAAAATTCATTAGTCATTAAAAATTCAGAAGTTTAGTTTCACATCAATAAAACAATACCTTTTTTTATTGTGTGTTACATAACCTTTTAATTATACAAAATTTGTGTGCACAACATTCATAAACTGTTTTCACTCTGCTAAAAGCAAATAGAGTAGCTGTAAAAGACTACAATTCCTGCAAATTGAACATTTAGAAAAAAACTGTATTTATATCTTTTTTTCTAACATAACAGAGAGTAAAGAAAATAATTCATCACGGTCCCCATCCGACTGAAAAAATGTGATGTGAAGTTGAGAAAAATCCCCACCCCCAGCCAGGCCGAGATCACATTCAGTCAGCTTAAAAAAAAAAGGAAATAAAAACGTTCCTTCTTCGTTCTGGTAGTGTTTGCATTTGCAGATTTAATAATGTGCTTATTATGTGTAAAGAAAAATCCAGGCCTCTCCTGCAGGTGGAAGTAACTTGTTTAATCTTGTTTCTAACGCGAGAGAGACTCATGCCCTTCCCAAGTTTTAAAGGTTTGAGGGGCTGCTTAATGGTTAAAATGCACATTTAGTGTTAAATCTCAGAACATATGTGTAATAGCAAGCGGCTATAACACCCTACAACTCACAACTTGCAACCCACTGAAGCTCAGCAGGTGTGAGACTGGCCTGTACCTGGATGGGAGACCTCCTGGGAAAGCTAAGGTTGCAGGTGGAAGAGGTGTTAGTGGGACTAATATGGAGCGCTCTCCCCACAGTCTGTGGGTCCTAGCGCCCCAGCATAGTGATGGGGAAACTATACTGTAATGAAAGCAACATGTTTTGCATAACGATGTTAAACCCAGCCCCTAACTTTCCATGGTCATTAAAAAGCCCAGGGCATTACCTTTGTGTCCTGGCTGGGCTGAACATGAATTGGGGAAGTTAGAGGGGAGTCCCTATTACCTATAAAGCACTTTGGGTAGAGATGTCCACAATAGCGCTATATAAGTGTAAGGAATAATACTACTTTGGGTGTGGGTCAGGCTTTCTTTTTGCCTAACCTGATCCGTTAGATACATTAGATTAAGAATGCATCTGTTTGAAAGTGTGCTATTTTTTATTATTGCTTATCACTGCATATCACTTCTACAAGATGAATAATGCAAAAATAAGGGAAAAATAAGGGAAAGCACCCATTATGGTAAACCAGACATACTGTACCTGGGTACCCATTTAAATCTATGTCCGTGGCACCATGCATTGAGTAGCCAAAGCTGGGCGGCATGGAAGTAGAAGCCCATTTCCCTTCTAGGACCTGGGATGCAGAGGGATCAGGGCCTGTAGCTCTTCCGTTGTGGATGTAAACAAGGCCCCTGCGGTCAGGCCCTCCATAGGGAGCAGCAATTGCAATATCTAAAATTGAAATACAAAACAAGATGCCTTACTTTCTTAAACCACACATTGTGTTCCATTTAATGAATAACACATTTAATGAACAGTCATTCTGGCAAACTGATGTTTTCTGCCTCTTAATGTTTTTTTCTGAACAGCAACATGCCATTTAACGTCATTTTACCTTTATTTTTAATGTTATTAATGTTGCCACACAAAACCAGAAAAAAAATTATACGCTTCATATTAAACTGAATGCAAAACCCTCCTAAGGAATTATTTTCCTCAGGTGAAAAAACTATCCTGGGAATCCATAAAACAAGCTTCATATTTGATTTGGTTTTTCCCTTTACCAAAAAAACAAACAAAGATGGAGGCAGGCTTTAATTCACACTAATCTGGTACCGTTAAATCCATCCATGTCAAGGTCTCCAAGAGGAGTGATGGCGCTGCCAAATCGGGAGTAGATTTCAGTGCCAGTCAGCTTCTGCAGTTTAGGGAATGTGAACTGACCCTTTCCCATGTACACATAGACCTGGCCAACCTCTCTTAGTTTCCCATCTGAACCTCGGTCCATGAAGAGAGGGGCTCCAATAAATAGATCTACAAAACTGCAAAGAAAGTCTATCAGCAGTTTGCGCAGAGCATGAAGGAAATTAAGTTTTCATTTTAGTTATCCGAGAGCTCACGTCATAGCCTGTACTTATTAAATATTGTGTACACCAAAACTGCTTTTATGTTGTTTTAATGCAGTTTTATAGTGTATTAATAAGTCCACTGCAAACTGAATATGTTTTGGCATGACGAAGAAAAGGTTTCACATCAGAAGGGAACAGACTGGACAAAGACATTTTCCAAGTTCACAAATACCTATTTTTAAAGGCAAGCTGCAAGACTATTTCTATATTTTGGGGTAGGAAAAATATCGGCAAAGATGAATGCATTTTAAACTGCAATGAAAGTATAATGTACAGAGTAACATGTAATCCTCCAATTTACATCACAAAATAGATCAAATTTCCGGGTATATGCAGAGCCATATTGCTGTCATTGTATGCAATTCAGAATGAGGCAACAAAACTTCCAGTGACATGAAGGGCTGGTTCACATCACAATTCACGCAGACTCTTGTTCCAGTGTTTTGTGACAACATGGAGACTCTACAAACATTCACAGAGTTTACGATTTTGTACATAATTCAGAATTTGTGAAAATTTGCAACACCATCAGTTTTTTTTTACCGAGATTTAATAAGCGTCTGAGAAATTGGGACTACAGTTCTCCTTTAATACAGGTTTCTATGCTTCAGAAAAAGCTACAAGAAAACATTACAAGCACTATATGGTCTTTTTTATTGTATTACATCATATATTACTTTTCTTTTGAAGCCCTTTGAATTAGATTTACACACAATTCTTACCCATCATTATTGATGTCAGTTGCACCCACGGAATGACCAAAGTAAGCAGCCATCTATTAAACAAATTAAGAATGAATTTAGCCATGGATTTGTTCAGAGTACTATATTCCCTAGAATTACTGTTTTATTCCCAGAACAGCAATGGCAACAACAATAATAACAATTATAAATTCCTAAAAACTTAAATCACAGTTACCACTGTGCCAGTTCTGTGCATTCTAATCATTCCTACAGACCCATTAGCTTCCACCCTCTGCATTTGAACTGAAACAATGTCTCCACAAAAGCCATGGCCTGTTAAAACTCTAGTCTGTTTTGCTTTGCAGTCATGTCAACACATATTATGGCTTTCATGCAGCATTTTTCATTTTTTAACAGGTTTTGTCCTTACCCCTTCAGATAACAAGTAAAAAGCTTATTCTTATGCATTATAACACTGATATAAGGCCGGAGACACATGTTTGGAGGTGAAGAATGAAAAAAGTCATTAGTTATCAGAACACCTCTATCAATCCTTTTCTCTGTATGTGTACTATATAGTAAACTAGGCTACACAAATGATAAACTGAGCCACTCACAACTATAAAGCAGAGTTAAACCATAATAACTATCTGAAACCTATGATTTGCAGTAAACATGTGACTTGTACAAAACCCAGCTTGGTTGGGGCTGGGAGACGCAGTGAATGTTTCAAGCTTCATATTAATGAAGAATAATTTGCAGTGGATAACCCTGGTGCCATTTTCTATGTTAAGTCTAGAAGACCACTATAGGAAGAAAATGAATTCAACCTTAAGCCATGCAACTTGAAATAGCATAGAGAGATGTTGTATATGAGTGTAAGCATACTGTATAAGTCTACATCCTCCTCACTCCTCTCTACTCAAAGAATCAACAAAAAATGTCTGTCATCGAGTAATACCATTACAGTATACATAAAGGCTTTCTGAACATTCATGGATTATTCTATAGTGGGAAAATTACTCAAAAGACAGCAACAAAAAAATCTCTTGATCTTTACATTTTATCGCAGTTCTATTTCAATGTCTGGGAAATGTTGTATATTGCAGCAGCGTTGCTGTGGTGTCTGATACAGTACAGGCACCTCTGTTCAAGAAGTGACCAGCCACTTTCCAGAGAACATGAAAATGTACGTCAGCCAATCAGACTGAAGCTTTTGCTATCCCTCAGCTCCCAGTAATTCCTTTCCCCAGCCAAACTGCTTCAACCCCTGGGCTCAGAGAGCCACATGCTGACTGTGCACTCTTCTTTCCTTTCTGCTTTTCTGTAATGTTTGTGCTGACAGGGCTGTGTTGATGAGTTCCAGATGGGGAAGTGGATTTAGGACATGAACTCCTGGCTGGTAAATAAAATGCCATTAAAAAAAAGGCTGAAACCACAATAACATTGTGTCGCACTTGCCTATCAATTATATATGCATATTTAGTCTGGATGACCTTGAAGGATAGGCATACAGTGATAAATACATATTTCACAGAAAAAAAGCAAACTTTCATGTTTTTTAAAAGTATAATATTATCAATCAGATTAACCAACACCGAATGTGTAGTATATTACTAGAATGAAATATTAAAAGTATTCAATGCAGATTTTCCGTCTCAAATTATGATGGATTAATTAAACTTGAATGTTTTGGAGAAGCTAGAACCCCAAAATGTTTACTTAATCCATCATTCAAATTTAAATAATAATCCAGACAAACTTCCTGCTTAAATCATGCAAAATGTTACATTGTAATATGTTTTTGCTTTACAGTTTCACTTAAAAACTTGTAACATGTTAGTGTTGTGTTGCCAGAGAAACTGTTGCCAAGTTTCTCTTAATTACATCATGTACAACTTATTTCACATATCTGTTTGTAAATAATTTATGTGGAGAATTTAAAAAAGCTAATCACCTTAAAAGATAAACATAAAGCAAACAAGAAAGAAGGAATCTACCTGTTCGCCGGTGAAATTAACCATTGATTCCATGTTTTTTCCATTTAAAATGGTAACCTGCACACAAAAACAGATTATTATGTGAGCTTTTTTTTTCCTAAAAAGGATAAACGTTTGCTCTATAAAGCAAAGTATACTTACATATCCAAGAGCCTTTGCACCTCTAGGAACTCCTGTGACAAAATCTGTAGAAAGAAGCAAGACGGAGGGTACTGTTATTGAGCCCCGTCTTATCTTAAGGAACATAATGGTGAAAAACGAAGGTACTTTCATAAAGTAATATTCAGAAAAAAAATCGTAGTGTTGTTGAATGCAGTCTTTACAAGACACTAAAGCACCACTGACAAATACTAGTATACGGCCTTACCAACTGAAACTCAAAGTTCATTAAGGAGATAAGATGTGTGAAATGAAAAATAAAAACTCTCTGAATGACTTGGTTTTGGCCATGAACTATAACAAGGGAGAAATTGTAAAGCTTCCTTTTTTCCTTGACAAAAAATGAAAATCATTAAAAGTAATTACTATAAAACCTCTAACTAAAGAACAAATGCTTATCATACATGATGACTTATCAGACTCCAAACCTGTAAAGGCGCTAATGTCACTACCTCACCAACTTCAAACACTACCACATAAAAGACTCCTAGTCTTAATTACATTCCTAAATGTTTACTATTTTTCCATAACTCACCAGTGTTGTCTGAGGAACAGTCATATTAGCTTTCATCTTTCAAATTACAGTTTATAGGTGTTCTATTAATAGAAACAGATTTTTTCTGGTCTTCCTTAAATTGGCAACACTGATACCTAAATCGACTTGCATACAGTTTTCATATTTTATATCTGTTGTAGAAGAGAAATCTCACCATCTGTTCCATCATTGTTAAAATCTCCAACAGTCACAGAGTAACCTAAAAAAAACAGCAGAGCAGAACTGTAATTATGAAGGACCCAAATTCTGAAGAACAAAGCAAATTGTAGTTCTGCAGAACAAGACATACATGTGAAACAAAATTAAATAACTTTTTTTTATTTCTTGACACAAGACTTTAATGGTACAATCAAAAAACATTTAGAACACATATTGGTAGGGAATAATACAGCTTTCATCCCCAATATACAAAACTTTATGGAATCAGTACTGTAGAAAAAGTACAGTTAACTGGTGAATTATCATGCAGTTCACATTTCATAAGGAAAAATAAACAGGGCATAGGCTTAGTCTGCTAAAGCAAATATTAGTGTGTACATCTTTCTCTTTGTTTATACTCTGAACAATGAGAATGGCCCACAGCTCCAAAAATACCCCACACTTTGGTTTAAACAGCATGTTATGCTATTAGGATACAATGCCAAAAATGTAAACAAAACTTAAAATGACATTTAAAACAAAATCCCTTACCTAAATAGCTGTCATCAAACTGGGCACTGGCTGTTTTTGTTGCAAGCTGATTCTTGTATGTTATGAAGTAATCAGGTTTGTAGTTGTTTATAATTTCAGAAATCTCATCAGAGATCAGCTGACCTGAAGGAATGAAAGAAACATTGACAAAAACACTTTTGTAGGTACCGAAAGGCACAGAAGAAAAATAACTCTATAGATACATAAACAAAGGGACAACTCATTTGCTACATGAATGATAAGCATTTAAATGAACTTTTTTCCAAGCACCGTTTTGGGTCTTTCATGAACCAAAGCCAGAGATGAAGGTGGTTTAGTGATGTCTCAATTGATTCCTACAATTCTTCAGTACTAAAAAGTGGTCAGGGTTGTATTCTTTCAAAATAGTGGGAAACCAAAAGGATATACAGCAAATGACTTTTATCTGTTAAGAATATTTACAGAGGTCTAGCTGGAAATCTCAGAAGCATTTAAAAATAAATTAATCCACAATAATTAAAGTGCGCACAGCAAATCATAAGAAGGCCAAACAATGTACACTCATGTTCACTCGTGAATCTTAAAGACCACCTTGTATGACCTGATAGTGATGATGAACCCGGTACAAGAATAGAGATGAACATAAACTGATCTTACTTACAATTAAGGTAGTATTATGGTTTTATGGTTAATTCAAAGTGTATTTTCTGTTACATCTTTTGATTTAATTCTTTTTTCTGGGATTTATTAGAAGTTCTTCTCCCAGTATGATGTTGCTCTCCTAAAGAGCTGATGTGTTAAAAAAAGGATGAAGGTAGCATTGCAAATACTGAAAGCTACAGTGCACAACTCTTTCTTTCAGGTCACAGTGTAACAAAACACATAAAGCTGAATTTATATATTACAATATCAGGTCAATGCCACTTCTACCTCTTACAATTTTGTTAAGTGAGCATAATTATGTGCTGCACTAGTGATCTAATAAACAGCATTATGGGGGGCAAAGTCAATATATGATTTGAATAAAACAATAAAAAAGCAGGATATTATCTTGTTGGGCTTTTAAGGCAGACATTGTGAATAATACCAAAGGTTTAATATTGTAAGCAGTTAAAAACAGTAGGTTTTAAGGCCTTCTTGGAGTTCTAGATCTGACTTGATCTTGTTTTTGAACACCAGCCAACATTTCATTTATGTTATCACAGGTAAGACCAGATCCTGAAATTTCACCTGGCTCTTATTCCTTCTGCAGTTTTAAGATTTGTGCATTCATATTCTCAGCACTTTCAACACAAAACATTTTAATTATTCACTTGGATGGGTAGTACAGACTGAAAAACAACTCCTTTTTTAAATTAATCTGAAATCCCCAATTGCTTCAAACTTGAGCTCAAGGATGTTTCCTTTACTGCATGGGAAGATTAAGGGGCCTGTAGAGTCCTCCAATATGCTCAACAGTTACAGCTATTCAGCTTTTACTATAGCGCCAACTGCATGGTACCTTTGTTAACATCAAATAGAAGCAGAGAAGCATGTTTTACTAACATCACTGCGTTCCTGCAGTTGCCCAACAGGCCACAGGGGCCACTGTTTCACAAAAACCTTGACGAATAATTCCAACCCAGCCCGGTGGCATTCTGTTACTTGTATGCTGCTGCCAGGTTACAGCTGGTTAGCCAAATGACCACAATCAAACAATCACCATTTGGAGCACAGAGCTCAACTTGCACTCTGAGCAAGCAGCATCACTGCCGGTGCCTGTCTAAACCTTTTACTTTAAAAATCTACCTTGCTTGAACGACTTAATAAAGATATGTTCTTTAATGTCAGCAGCCAGCAGCCATATCACTCTGGAACTCACAACTGGCAACTCACTGAAATTAAGCAGGTGTGAGCCTGGTCAGTACCTGGATGGGAGACCTCCTGGGAAAAACTTAGGTTGCTGCTGGAAGAGGTGTAAGTGCAGATAGCAGGGGGCGCTCACCCTGCGGTCTGTGTGGGTTCTAATGCCCCAGTATAGTGACGGGGACACTATACTGTAAACAGGCACTGTCCTTCGGTTGAGATGTAAAATCCAGGTCCTGACTCTCTGTGGTCATTAAAAATCCCAGGGCGTTTCTCGAAAAAGAGTAGGGGTGTAACCCTGGCGTCCTGGCCAAATTCACATTGGCCCTTACCAATCATGGCCTCCTAATAATCTCCATCTATTAATTGGCTTCATTAGTCAGTTCTCCTCCCCACTGATAGCTGATGTTTGGTGAGCGTTCTGGCGAACTGTGGCTGCTGTCGCATCATCCAGGTGGGGTTGCACATTGGTGGTGGAGGGGAGTCCCTACTACCAAAGCACTTTGGAGTGTCCAGAAAAGCACTATATACAGTAAGTGTAAGCAATTATTATTATAATGTATTACCTTGCCAATAAAAGCTACCAGGTCCTCCAACAACCACACGGTTATTCTGCTAAAAACATAAAAAAGACAAATGTTGGAATGGAGAATGTTCATTGAGTTCCATTTTTAAGATTAAACAGTTCTGACAATGGGCAAATTAATTTTGAGGAATGAGGTTAAAATAACAAATGTTGGAAACTACTTTGATATGAGGAAAACAGCCATTTTTACATGCTTACGTCATAAGAAATAACTAGAAAATGGCACAAGACACATGATAGAGTCTGGTTAAAGCAAGAGAGTCCTGAGGCTATGTTGCATTGTGAAACATTCCATACCTTTACAAAGTCTATGCTGAATCCTGCCTGGCAAAATCCTTGTCCTTCAGGGTTGCCCAAGGCTGGAACAAGTATACAAACTTACAGTTAGGCAAAGCAGAAACAAAATAAAAAAATCAAATATGTCTTAGAAAGACATGGTGCTAGCAAGTTTGCCTTTAGCATATGTTACAGTTACTGCACGAAGGCAAAATCAGTCCTGAATAAAGGTATTTGACAAGGAATTTTTTAACCATATTCCAAAAGAAAAATGAGTGACCAAGATATTTAGGACTATAGTCTTCACACCTCTCAACTGAAATCTGTCAAATTAGATTATGTGGAAAATAGATTCTTGAGACTTATTAGACGGAAACTGGTTTTCAAACAGGAAACAACAAATTCCTTAAAATGCAGTTTGATGCCCACTTTAATAAGCACCACAAAAGAGCAGGGACAAACGTCATGTAAAAAATTCTCCTCCTTCTATTATGCTTAACAGAAAGGTACAATAGTAGTGTTAGATTCTGTGAAATCAGATTTACTAAACTTTTACTGAAAACTGAAGTCATATTTAAAGTTCATGGTGAACAAATCCTGTTTAAACCTCCCCCAGGAAAAAAAAGTATTTCTTTTTGTGAAACACAGCATATGTGTTATGGTCAATTATGGGTGTTGGCTACACTATGTGGACATTACAGGCTTTCACAAACCAGTAAAAATCCTCTGCTATGATTCAGTATGAATAATATACCTTTTCTCAACTCTCATTTACATTTCACAATGTTCCAAATGTCAATTACTAATAATTACATTGTGAAAGAAACCTAAACTTATACGTAAAATCATAAGTTAGTCAGTTGTTGCACCTCACAGAGCTTAAACCATCGGAACAGTGCGACAGTATTTCACCTTTCAGAACACATGAACTCTTTCAAAATCAAGGTAGGTCCAACTAAATATTTTTCTTTCTGGATTAACAATACTGTAAACCTTAGCTAAATTTGGAGGGCAAAACTCACACAGAACCTTTAAACCCAATCCTGATACTACGCAAAATAAATACCCTTTGGAAACATTGAAATCATTGAAATAAATAAGTAAATAAATAACACCAAGGCAAGGTTCACTGTATTAAATGAAGTATGATAATACCGTGTGAGAACATGCAAAGATACTATATCGACTGAACTGCAGATATTGGAACTGGGACATTTCTGACAGAATTCAGTTAATTTGCCTCCAAAGTGAACTACTGCTTGTCATTTTGAAATCGTAACCAATAACGGTAATCACAGTTTAATTAACAATTTTTACTAAATAAGACATTAGTGAGTACACATGTAATAAATGAGGTCCCGATACTTTGGTAAGCAACTGTAGATTCTTTTCATTTCATCACTTTGACTTCAACAATGAACATTACAACACACTATCTTGCTAAGACAGCTCCCAAGGGCTTAATATTTCACGATGTCTAATAAGCAAACCACAGGAGTGCATTACCTGTTCGACAAGGTGAGTATTCCACTATTCGCCCTCCTTTTTTCAGGAAACAGGTTCCAACGGGCTCTCTTTCTGCATTCCCAAATGTCCTCCACTGATAGAGTGGAGCACATGCCTAGAAATAAAAAAAATGTTAACAGCGTTGGATGTATTTAAAGCCTAATTCTTGTGTAGACTTATGAATACAGAATACAGCAAAAAATGTTCATTAATTCAAAAAGAAGAAAGATTACCAATGGCTTAGTGTGCTCAGTTGAACCTAAACACTGCCTGCTTTTAACAACCTAAATTACAAGGTGCACTACAGCCAGAAGTAAAGTAAACTCTCACATCATATCACTGATTTAAACAGTTAGAGGGAACCAGGGGGAGACAACAGAAACTGAGACTTACCAATATCTGGTCACCACTTGACCGCACAGTGGCTCCAAACCACTGGCTGGATTTGAATTCCATTGGAGAGCCATCGATTCCTTTCCTGTCATCTAAGAATGATTGACGGGCAGTTAAATTGAATCTAAACAGATAACCTATTTGAGATACACTGCCATGCAGAAAAGCCCACACGCTCTATATACAAAGAGAAAAATGCGTAGGCAAATACTGTAATTTACAACCAACAGAGAAAAAATAAAACATGAAAATTTTGAGCTGTTTAGAAACAACCACGAAGGTGAGCTCCCAAAAATCCTCAAGAAGGAAAACTGGAAGACATGAAGGAAAACTAAATACTTAAAGCTATTTCTACTTATAACTGGAATGTATAGGAAGATATCTGGAGGTAGAAATGCCGATAGTTTTGGATAAAGCCAGATTAAGGGTTGAAATCTCAAACTTTGATCATACAGTATAATTAGCAGAGTACATCAGGAGTCTATATTAAGGCCACTGACGCTGTTACTGTATATCAATGACCTAGACTCTGGTATATAAAGTAAACTAGTCAAGTTCACAGATGATCTCAAAATAAGATGAGGTGCAAAAGAAAAGGCAAGAACAACAGACAAAAAGCTGGCTAAACACCTGGTGCATGACATTTAATGTACAAAAATAGCAGAAACTAGAAACAAACTATATACTGTAAATAAAATGTGAAGTACCGAGTTGTAAAAAATAACCTATGGAAAAAGTATTTCTGATCAAGCGACATCATTTTCATCTTCCAGTTATGGTGAAGCAAGAACGACAAGATACATTTCTAGGCTTAAAATACGTTATTTTATCCCATCAACCATGTTGGTGAATGATATCCTGGCATCATTCAAGAAATGGCTGGATGAGAACCTTATCCTCATCAATTGGCCAATAACAATCAAACCTTTAGAGTTATAAAGGAGACGGCTATATATATGTACACTATATCCGAGCAAATAGCCTACCGAACATACTTCATATTTCAATGTAAATGTTAAGTATCACCCATTATTATATATCAGGTTTACAAACCAAAATAAGTTTATACTACTCAATATCAAAATATGATATTGCACATTAAAGCACACAATTCACCATTAATGAGAGTAGTCATTTTAATAATCCTTTGTGAGCTTGACAATTTGTAATTGATTATTTAGTTACAATCCTGGCTAAATTTCAAATAGTTTCAAAGAGATTTCATACATAGGAGTGAACCTTGCATCTAATGTGCAAAATACAAAGGCTTGTTCCAACAGAGCCCAGTTGTCTGGAGGTCTAGTTAAAGCAGGACAACTTTAAACATGCTGAGGCAACATTATTTGACAAAGCCCATAAAGCAAAACAGCATTATAAAACCCTTATCCAGTCAACATATCAGGAGGAGAAAATGTTGTAATTTATGTTACAAGTAGCTACTTTGTGATGTGCTACTGACCAAATTTTGTTAAATTATTCCTGACATAGCAAATAAAAACACAGCAATGCAAAATGCTACTTCCAGGTCACTGATGTGCTACCTGAACTGTTTTTTAGACAGCATGATAACAAAACACACAGCAAGCAACAGAAATATTTTCTAAAAAAATATACGGTACAATTACAGTTATTGTTAAGATGTTAGTGAGAATTGTTTTGAAACGATGGCCATCACAAGCTTAAACTTATACAAACACACATAAAATAACATTCAGGCTACAGCCATGTTTTTTTTAAAAGGTTTGTTGCAATAAAATGATAATTATCATTCACGTAAGCTGTTAACACAATGTAAATCAACTAGAACAGTAAAAAAAAGCCCAAAATAAACATTGACATGACAGTAATTTTTCCAAAATCCAGAGCACCTTACAGACCACATGAGAATAGTTTAAAGACAGGAAACATCTGCCTTGTCAACTTGCCTCTTCATCTGCAATATTACTTCCTTCCTTCAATGGGCCTGATTCTCTGCGTTTCTTATTGGCTTCCAAAGGAGATGTTTTTTAGAGGAGATCCAACTCTATAGTGTTTTGACGCATAATGTATCAGAAGACTCTTGGCAGCCTTTAAAGGCTTAAAAGCACAAATCACAACTATTTAAACTGTTTAAGACATTTTTGAGAACATTCCCTTTCTCTACTGCAGTCACGCATGCACTGCTCAACGCAGTGTCCTCCAACTACACAGCGACTTGACATGAAAAGCTACAGTATGTATGTCCCCTCTGGCAGGCATCACAGTTATGTTAAATACAACAGACGTCTAATCCTGGACCTTATAATGCAGAAGATGATAGTTCCTTTTAAGTTACATCTCATTTCCCTTTATAATGACACACTGAAATCACAGCTACATACTGCATACAGTCCTGACCTATTGTTTAAGAGGAAAGGACAGAGTACCAAGATGCTGTGATCATAAAATCAGTTACACAGAACTTGCAAATACTTGTCAGTAGGGAACCTCTTAAATTCTAAAGCATTTTTCAAAACTTCACTGGACCCCTTACGGCAGAATGAGTGCCATAAAATTCTGCCACTAACTGAAGAGTAAGAGAGTACCTAAAACATTCAAATAAGGTTCTTATTACAACTTACGGGTGCTACAATGCTTAATCAAAGTTTAGTCAGCCAATGCAAACTAGCTAACACCTGTTTTAAATCATGCATATTCCAAATTAGGTTATCAGTAACTGAATGCATGATTATGTCCATAAGAAAGGAAAAGAAAACATGTTTTTTCAGTGGGCATACACACCCACTCACAGCAATGGAATGGCTGCAGAAGAGGTAGCCAGAATAATAAATTGGCAATCTGCAATTAGCATGTCCACAACAAATGCATCACTCAAGTATTTACTTAAATTGGTGTTACAGACACCATCAAAACTTCATATCAGCAGTTCTATAGTTAAACATTTCCTTGAAGGGATTTATTAGTAGGATCCTGTGTGGACAGAAGTTTTTTTTTTACTTCAAGGAGCTTTTTCAAACTATTTTTTTTCTTTTTTAATCAAAGAGTTAAAGTTTGGGAAAATCTGGATGTCTGCATTGTTCAAAGTACAGTACATAGTATCCTTGTTCATCAGCTCAAAAGACAACATGCATCTGAGCCGACAGCACTTCATTTCTGGGGATTTTTAAAATCTTAAAAATAACAATCTTACTATACATTCTCTAATTATAGCGTGTCCTCCAGCCCACATCAACACGCAGCAGTAATCTAGATTGAGTCAGCCTCTGCACTGAAACCCAGGGTCTGCCATAACAAAGAAATCTACTGTGGGGATGAGGACGTGGTCATTTATCAAAACAGCAGAAGGTAGTGCAAAACAATCGCAGCTCAATAACCATGATTCAACAGTTTACGAAAGGAAACAACTGCTTTTCTGGGAATATCTTCTCACTTCTGTGAACACACACACTAGCAGCATTTAAAAAGTCATAAAAAAACATTTCTAAAGTTTTTCTAAAGGCGTGTATGACCTTTTCCTCCTTTTGTTCTAAAACACTTCTTCTGTCTTTCATTTCCTAGCTGACAGTTGCTCATACTGTCTGTATGCATTTGATATAGCAAACAAGAAAGTACGTTTTGTATAAGACTGGACCCAATTCAAGAGAGAAAGACCTTACTAAATTACATCTAAACGGTAATGTCAGACCTGGTGTGTTGAACAATGAAAGATTGAATGACAAGCAGCCTCTGAACTAAGTACAGTATAATCTAACATGTTCTACCTACACACAAAACTGAAACATGTTTTGAAGTTAAAAGGTTTCAAAGAAGACAGATGTTGACTTTAACCCCCCCCCAAAGAAAAATTATATAAATGAGGTTTGCTTAGCCTATGTAACAGAATGTTTTCTCATCAGAGGCTCTCACAGGACAACTCTCTAGAGATTATGTGGTAAGACACAAGCCTGAATAACTGGGATTCAATGGAGCATAACTCAGTGAACAACAGACGGTTTCCTAAGAAAAAACCATGTACAACTCATTTTAATGTACTAAATTAGTCAACTGAAATAAACAGGCCAAAATCTTCAATTCAAGAGACTAAGAGGAAGCAATGACAATAAAGTGAATAAAGAGAAAAGCTAGAAGATTTTTTTGTGGTGGGAACTAGGCTCAGTGAGTTAATCAGCGGTTTCTGCCACTGGCTGTTGAGAGGAGCTGGGCTTGTCCTGTATTATTTAGTCTAGGTTAGGCCAATGTGTGATAACTGAAAAATGAAAACAGCATGGAGGCTAAGAAAAAAATCACCATCAAATCTTCTTGAAGTGATCTGAAGTGGTGTGCTTGTAGGATTGATGTAAAAAACATCTGGGGTTTTTTTTTAGAACTGTCTGTGAGGTACACAGCACATTGCTTGTTTAATCTGGGTGTTTACCTAATAGAAGTATAAGTCTAAAATTACTTCATCGCCCTGTAATAAAACGTCAAATGATAGACGTGTTCAGATGTGTTCTAAGTAGCTTCAGTAGAGGGAACACACAGTCAAGGGTGAATCTCTCTCTAGACACCTCCCAGGTTTTTGTAGGTACCCCAGAGAATACTGAACCAACAATTCAAAAAGAGATATTTTGTACTTCTTGAACATTCTTTAACTCACTTCTGACAGAGTGCATTTCTTTTCAGTATTTAAACATGGTGTGTAACAATGCCACTGTTTCAGGCTACACTTTTAAAAGTTATTTTCATTGGAGTTCTTACATTGTAAGAAAAATGTGTATATATATATGCAAGAAGGTTAAGATAGGCCTATTCATAAATCAATTTTAAGGATATCTTACTCTTTAAATTGTGAACCACAATGATCTACTGTTCACATGATAATCTAACGGATACTGTACAGGCCAACCAAATGTACCATAAATCAAATCCCATACAAAAGGAATGAAGGAATGCTTGTGAAGTCGGAATGCTTATCAAAGCAGGGTAAAAACACCAGGGCAATGGCTATAAAAGGATTTAAATCTTAAAATGATGAGGTTATCAGAGGTCATGCCCTTTGAGGTTTCTTGTAAAGATTCCCACACACTATACTAATACAAGGCCAAAAATTAAACAAACTAACAATTCATGTAAGTTTGTAAAGTCACTCCTCTTGCTATTTCACCACTGTAGGCAGCAGTACACTGGAGTAAGATATGTCTGAAACATTCTCCTTCTGCATTCCAGTATGAGTTCTGACATGAGCACAAATCCTTGGTTCTTACTTCAGTGAAGTATTAGATTTAACACACCTATTGAAAACATGTGGAGCAAGCTGATCTGTATAACCTGCCATGCTTTTGTACATCCGGGGCAACTTATTGCTCTATATACAACATAACCCATATTCCTTTGACACTACCATTACTATATACTCTATTTTTATATATAAAGAGTACAACTGCTTTGTGCCAAATTAACAATTTACATTAAAATGCACTTGGTACTTAATGGAAAATACTGCTTTTTTGTCAGAAATTATTATGGATTTAATAATGCAGCCAATTTGAAAAACCACAAATGTATCATTTGGTTTTACCATCAATTCAGAGAATATGACTGGAACAGTTCTAGGAATGAAAACGTGCTGTCTCAAGATCTTAGTTCAAGTATTAAAATGGCAAACAAACGGCATTGCTACCACATTTCTTAATCTGCTATAATCATTATTTCTTATCTGTTTTAATTATCTGACTTTATGAGTGGGGCATCTTTGTATTTATTTATATAACCTGAAGTCCTTTGTGTAGTAGAAAAAAAGTAACATCTGAACTAGACACTGTAGCCATAGCATCTGGAATATAAGCATGCATTTAGTTCATAGGAGGTAATTCAAGGCAATTATAATTAAACTTACTTATTTTAGATATTTCATAATAGCTACTGTACTTAGGCAAGTGTTCTATACTACATCTCTTGAAAACACTTTTGAATTTTATTCACATTAACTACAGAAGTGGATAAAATCAAACAGTAAATAGTCCATTTGTAACCTTTCTCTCGCAGGAAGAATTGAGGACAATGATCTACTCCAAGTGAACGAGTGGTTCCATAAAACACCAGCATAATTATGTTCCATTTATTTTATTCAAATCAGGATAGCTGCCTTTGCAGAAAAGCACACTGAGACGACATGAGCTGGAAGACTAACATTGAGTTAGGGGATCAGTAGCACGGTCAGGCTCCAGTAAAGGTATAAGACACACAAATGGTATAGTAAATAACAAACCTTGAGAAGTCAAGGATGAAGCTCACCTGTATTGTCAAACTGTAATTCCTGACACGGTGTGTTTGTTTGCCAGGGACAGCTGTAAACTACTCCTCTCTCCACAAGCGTTGAAAAAGACGCATTTGCTTTAGGAGCGCCTATCAAGATGTTTAACCTAAAGATGAAGAAAATACAAAGAAGATATAAATAATTAAAATAAACCAAAAGAATCTTAAACCTTACAAGCTACTCAGCGTCCTGATGATCGTAACTGGTCTGACCAAAAATGTAATAGTTAATAATTTATATAATTTTAAAGTTGTTACAAACATACAGCACTAAGGAATTCGAAATTGCTGACAAGAACTCAAACCATTGTGAACTACTGTTTTTTTTATTGGATGAACTCACAGAATAAAAAGAAAGAACAGTACACAGCTGAATCCAATAGCTTAAATTCAAGTAAGTATGAAAATCCATTTGGAGTGTACAGAAATTTATTGAGAAACACAACAAAAACATTGAGATCCTGGAAACAAAATGTTTTCTTAAACAAATCTGTGTTACATTTTACTTATTTGACAATAACGTCCAATACTTCTAACGTGCCTAAACCAAATGTAACACAATACTGAGGAAGTTGGGGATTAGGAGATCGCACTACAACATCAAAAAGTTTTAAGGTTTCCTTTTTTATCAAAGAACTCGAATTACACCCTATTGCTGTAAACGATAGGTGTTCAAAACTGAATCGTTCATTTCTATCTTTAATTTGCCCTAGAAAACAGGCTACACTTACACAACAGTATTCTATATTTATACTATAAAGACAAGTTTATATCTACTTTGAACTTTTAGGTAACTTGATTAATGTCATAAGGTGTATTGTAGGGTTAAAAAAGGTAAATTCTGAAACTTACTGGCTGTCATCTGGCTTGAAGAAATCCACTGAAAATCCAAAGTAGCTCCTAGCAGGACCAGAGTAAACAGAAGGATCGTCTATATCCAGATTGAAAGAAACGCTGCTTTTAATTAAAGAACACAGCACTGCCAAAGATAAATACATTTTGCGAAAATATCCGTCCATCCACATTTAAAAAGTGTTTAAAAAGTCTGTACAGAAAATGAAGCGAGTGTTCAGCTCTTGTAAAGCTACAAAATACAAATGAGCCCCACTTTTCGATGTAGTCACTGTATCTGTCTGGGAGCGCATTTAGCAATGATTTCACACTCTCTGCCCACATATGATTAATTCTTTCTCCCAGACAGATAAACCACAAACAGCCATTTTGCATTAAACCATTTACATATTCGTCCCAGAAACAATTCGAAGAAAAATCGAAGATCCCTCTTTTCTCTCTTCGCAAGTTGATCTTTAACTGTGATTTGTTTATGTCAGTCTACAAAAAAAACTTGCACAGTACTGTCTGAGCAAACGTACGAAGCCCCATTCGTATTTAAAAAAAAAAGACTACAGGAAGTGAAACGGATCCTGAGCCGAGACTTCCGCAGTCCACATATTATCAATGGAAAACCAGTGAAGAAACTTTCATTTTCGTAGGATAGGTAGTTTTCAGATGGATGAGAACATGTTTACAGTATACAAAATTGTAACTTCGTATGTTTTTCTAGAGTGTATATTCTTTAGCAATTTTTGCTTGATGAAACAAGTAAGACATCCTTGCCATAAAAATACATATATTTATCTGGACCTCGGAATTCCCCTATATCGGACAGAAGAACTGCTACCCTAAGATCCGTTAGTTTATCTGTAACATTTTGGATTAATTTGTGGTATAATCGTACACATACAGTATGCTTATAATTATTCAATTTAAATGTTAATAGAAGTATGGCATGTTTTCCTATCCTGATACTTGAATTCTAAAAATATATGAGAAACAAACGCCTTAAGACCAGTTAAATTTTAGACAGGTAAAATAAAGGGCGTGGCCAACTGTTACATTTCTAGATGTAAAATATCGATTTAAGATGAATGAATAAAGGCGAGTATTTTACGCATAATATGTTTTTTTGAAGGGGCAGTTCAATTACTGTTAACCTTTGGTATATAATATCCAATTACGACTTAGGAAATTAGGAAAAATATAAATCCTTCCCTTTACATGATACAAACATTAATTATCTATATTAATTATTAATCATTATAACATTAATGCATTTGTGTTTTTGAATCTTGTTAAAATATGACTTGTTTTAAGCACAGTCCAATTAAAATAAACTGCTACAGATAATCCACTTTTTGACAACTTGGAGCGCATTGTCCCATTACTGTTCTAATTTAGCTGCTTAGATAGACCTGACATTATCATTATTAAACTTTTTGAGAACAACGTTTTGAGATTTACTCAAGATCTCTGAAAACAACACTAACATATGACTCACAAGGCATACGATTTGTCTAAAAGGCCTATGCTTACTAATTGGTTCAATTGGATCCATATGGCATGTGTGATGTTAACGTCTAAACGTGGTTATTGATACATGAAAAAAGGTTTTTGTTTGGTTTCCATGAAAAGGACAGAGACATTATTTAATTTGAACAAAATGAATGGTGTCTGTTATTGTACAAACATATTTGTTCCTTACTATTTTTCAGTCACAGACTTTTAACACTTTATACAGACGTTTAATGTGGCATCAGTCTTCCTCTTCATTTCTAGATGAAGACTAATGTAATGTAAATTAGATGAATTAATAATATGTGGCTTAGATCAAGGACAGGTCATTGTAATGCAATGTTTTTCTCTCACTACACTGTGTAAATGTACTGTATAGAAGTGCTAAGTTCTCCTTAAATCAAAGCTCCTTCTAAAAATTACCATGACATTTCACAAATGCTACACAGGACCTTATTTTAATCAGGGTTACGGTCTTCTGTTTAAAAAAAAAGACTGAACTGTAGTAAGTCAAAGTGGGCATTCCTTAATGACACCCTTTTGTACTAAATAATAAAAGAGTGAGCAATCAGAAGCATGCCAAAATTGTTAAAAAGGCAGAAGACTTTATTTTAGAAAATTTACCAGGTATGTTTCATAATGATAAATATTACACCTACTGTACCAGCACATAGGCAGCACCTTAAACTTACATATCTGCAAAAAAACTGTATACAGATCATATGAATGTTATGAGGCTAGTCTGTTTGAAAAAGTTAATCTGTATAATATTAGATGTATTATATGATCACAAATTGAAATTTGTTTTGCATAGCAAAGGCTTATGTAGTGTACTTTTAGAGTAAAGGGGACTGCTTCTTTCTGGTGTTTCTTCTGACTCAGCATTTAAACAGAACTAGACAGGAAACACCCTGCAGGTTTCAACATAATCACTTATCTCTAATGTGTATAGCTGGTCAGGAGCCACTGAATCATTCACTGTTGAGATTTTACTTAATAAAAGGGTCAGCATGAGTCATTGTTTTGGAGTTTGAAACAGCACCTTATCCTGAAAACTGAGAATTGTGAATTACTAATCAGAGCAGACAATGTTTTGTTCACATTTGACTTAGCTTGTGACTCTCAGCTTTCAGTACAGGAATGAAATATCTTCTAAAGAATGTTCGGCACAAATCTCATGGGCTCAGTGTACAAGACTGATAACTAGGATTGTCATTTAAAAAAGTCGTAGAATGCCCATGCTGTTACCTTCAGCTGACCTTAAAAGAAGAAAAAAAAAGAACAATGCTTACAATATTTTCAAAACCATATTAAACAAAACAACTAATCCAAATTTCTCCATGTGGAATAACTATTACACTTTGAAACTTGTATTAAACTTGTAGTAAAAATGTTCTCTTTCTGTTCAAAAACCTTCATTGGAAGAGGATTTAATTTTTAATTATTTTTTACACATCCTTACTAAAAACCACATTCAAGAAATTCAGTGCAGTGAATGATTTTTGCAGAACATTCAAGGTTTTATGGGTCTGAAACTGAAATTTCCTGGTGGAGCTATACTCTTATGCAGAAGCCATTTCTTTTGTTTTTGTAACTTTCTGTGATATTTTATCATAAAATGAAGGGCAGCGTGTACCAATACTCTCCAATTGAATTAACTGGAAGGTTAAGTATTCAGCTGCCCTCTTCTGTTTAGATTAGTAATACTGAGATCATCACAACCATGTACAGTATGTTCCACATAGTGTGTGGCTCACCTTCACATTGCTTGGAAAAAAATCTTTTTTGAGAAACAAATCTGATTAGAATTCCCATTGGAAACTTTACCTACTTTTCAGTATCATTCTAAATGATTTATTCAGCACATACAACATAGCCTAATGGTTGTGCCTTTGCTCCAAGATCATTATAAACAGAATTTTGAAAATGGAATTTGCACATCAAATGCTTTAACGTCAATAAAATGTTGTAATGACTGAGCCACAGAAAAACAGAACAACCTTGATTACACATGGGAACAAGTACACATAATTTTTATTGTTTTGTCCGGTTCTTCTTCAATTTCTTAAAACATTATACGACCGTTAACCTTGACAAATCTCAGGGTTACATAGTTAGTTTAGAAAAACAATGAGATAGTTAACGATCATGGTGCTCTAACCATAAACAAAGCCTTTGTTTAATCACTTATTCAGCTCAGAATGGCACTGACAACTCTAGAGAATTTCCAACTGGTCAGCTTTTGCAAAACTAAATGAATAATAAAAAAATAACATACCATGCTATTTATACAATGCCAGTGGATAAATGCCCAATAATGCCACTCAGAAGGAGTTCATCGACGAGCTAAACATGCATTTTGTTTTTATTTTTAGAATATTTTCAGTAAAATGGGAATAAGACATTTCTAATTAACAAGGAAATTGGTTGTCAGTACTGTATCAGTATGTCAGCTGAAAAGGAACAAAGGGAGGTTAATTCCATGCTGAATGGCAGAAAGACAAACTGGAAATAAATTACTTTTCAGCCTGTATTTACAATATTAGTGATTTATTTTCCCCTACTTATTACTTACAACAATAGTAGTAAGTTCATTGAGGGTGTTATGCCTTCTGCATAAAATGACATGCAAAGCATTTGATTCTTTATTTGCATCTGATAGCCCTCAGCTTGAGAGTTATCAAATATTCAGATATGCTCAGATACATACTTTATTTTTTGTTATTGAATGTTTAGAATTTTTCTATTAAATTTACACATGAAAGACAAACATATTGGAACAATTATTATATTCTTACCCACAATAAGTTTGACTTGAAACTAAAAAATAAAGTATTTTACATAGTTTTGTTTTTTTATTCAGCTCATAAAGTGGCTTACAAGGCTCCAGGGACATCTAACCCTGCTACTGTGTACAATTGGACTTTTATTTTATTAATTTGGAACTGGTTGTGGAAGGATTAACTTGGAGAATCTGAATGCCAGTGATAATTCAGACTTCTAATTGGAACACTTTTTCTTACAGGAACAATTGTTCTTTTGTATCTGCTTTTGGAAAGTCTTGCATGTGGTCGCTGAGGTTTGATACCATGTGACAGAACAAGCCGCTGAATAATTTAGCTTGAGCAAAGCTGACTGGGTTGGCTGTGAGTAATATCTTTGTTAAAAGATGGGAGGTAAATTCACTTTGAGTGACAGATCACAGATCACTAAAATGGAAATATAAATTTGAGGCATTAAATAAGAATCAGAATCAGTACAGACTTTAATTTATTAATATCCTGGAAATGTTAAAGTTATTATACAGCATCATTGTACTTATGCTTCTGTCAACACGAGTGCCTTTTGCTTACTGATAATCCAGCAATTGGAAGGGATTAATACTCTCAAGAGACTATGAGACATTCCAGTCTTGGAATGGAATCTGTAGGCCGAGTGGATAATATCACTCGGACAAATGTGGAGCCTTTTGATCCAGATTGTAATATATGGCGCCAGAATCAGATATCTCAAAGAGTGCAACAGTTGTTCAGTAAGGGGTACAGTATATATGTATGTGCCTAACCAAAAATATGTCAGAGTCTGCCAGGAGTTAGATTCATTAACCACAAAGGAAATAGAAACTAGGAGAGGATGTCATCAAAAAAGTGATTTGCACTACTTTGTATTTCATTATTTCCTGTTTAATTGGATACCCTTGGCATTGAATTTAGGTTACAGAATCCTCATCAACTATGAAAGGAAATTCACATTCGGGCGGGTTAAATGTCTAAAAAAAGGGACCTCATGAACTGCACCAGCAAGTCAATACCTGGAGTTTTCTTACTTTGCAGTTGACATTGTTCCTAAAGTTAGTCAAAATGCAGATAGACGACCTTTGAAACATGTGGTACAAAAAAAGCAAAGAGAATGCCCTTATCTTTTAACTGTAAAGTTTAATAAAATTTAGAAAAGGTCATCTTTTAAAGTATATAGACCATCTATCTAAGTCTTTCTAGAGCTCCAGGACCCTGGAATAGACCGGGTGGAACCTATTAATTCATCTGTTGATTATTTTCAAACCTACAGCTCAGTTTTTTTAGACAAAGCACCACTTATTCAATACAGTTATGCGTCTACTACAATTAGAGGATTAGCTCAATGTAATGTATAGATTCAAGGATGAATAATTATCTTTTTGCAGAAAACAGGAAGTGCTTACAAAAAAGATGGGAACTGGCTATAAAAATAAACAGAAATATCCAAAGATTATGGAAGATTGAGAAGCACATGGAAAAATGGCAAAGCAGGAAACCTGAGTCATTTAACTTCTCAGACTACTGGCGGGAGAGGCTAGCAAATTTGGTTAGAAGGTGATCAATATTGAGATTTCCTTACAAGTTGGCTTTGATTAGGAGGTCTTACAAACATTTACAATCTGCCCTGTCTAATTGTAGAAATGGTTTCTACTCTGACAGAAGTTTTTGAATAAACATGGAAAAACAGGCAAGAGTCACTGCTATGACTCTATGAAACTGCTATGAAAACTGCTATATCACTGCTATGAAAGAAAAGCGGCCCCCTTTTCTGTGAGGCCCAGGGTAACCCAGCATCTTTCTATCTAATCAATCAGTCATCTGTTATTTTTTATACCACTACTTCAGATTTTCATGTGTCTAAGCAAGTTTGGGAAAAGCAATTGTTCTTTTTTTCTGTTGTTTGAAAAAGGAAAATAAAAACTAAAAACAAACGATAATCACTTATCTACAGAATTGCCAAAGAATGAGGTTTTCTGGCATTGACATTTTTTTAAATTAAATCAAAAACGGTGTATAGGAATAATCAGAAGTTTTTATTTTAAAGTCATGGCATTTCATTCTTTTAAAGAGGCCAGCACTGTTTTTTATTTCTTATATAAGTAGTGATATTTTTAACACACTACCTGAAATAGGATTAAGTCTATTTTCTTTTTCTTTGATACCATCCAGTTCCAGTTACTGCAGTATTATTGACTCAAAATAGTAAAAGTGTAGATCTTGTCTGGAGAATGCATGAACATTGCACAAAAAATAAACTCAAATAAAACTGAAACGGGCAGTGCAGTGATTAGCATTGCTGCCTGGCAGACCTGGATTCAATTTCTGGGGTGCAATCTGTGTGGAGTTTGTATGCTCTCCCTGTATTTGTGTAGGTTTCCTTTGGGTGCTCTGGCTTCCTCCCACAGTCCAAAGAGATTTCTTTTCCTAGCTAAATAAACGTAATTTCACAATAAACCTCTTTCAGTAAATATAGTACATATTCTAGCAAGACATGCAAATTCTACAATAATCCCACAATCCAAAGAGATACTGGAAGGTAAATTGGCTTCTGGTAAAAATGGCCCTGGTGTGAGTGTGTTTGTGTCTGTGTGTGCCCTGTGATGCCATCCCATCCATGGAGTATCCCACCAGTGCCCTTTACTGGTCAGCATAGGCTCTGGCTCCCCAGCCTCCCTTTATTGGATAAAGTGGTTAGAAAATGTATGGATGAAGATTGTAAAATAGTTTTTGTGCTTGGCTAAGGATCATAACATAGGACAACCAACGTAGGAGAACTAGCAGAAAACAGTTTCAGACATACAAATGTCTGCTTTGTGAATTGAAAGCACAGACAGCACAAAACAATATATAGTCATGAAATAAACTGATAACTCAAATGATACAATCATTATGAGTTCAGCATTCCATATTGTATTTTCTGCAGAATAATTAAAAATGACAGGCAATGCAATAAGACTTTAAATGGTATTGTTGTAATCCATTACTTATGGCAAGTTTTGTTCACTAGAGAGGTCCCAGAGGAAAGAACTGCCCTGCTTTCCCTACAGGAAAATAGCTAACATGCATTTCTTTTAATGCAGATCACAGGAAATTCCTGTTTAATGACATAAAATTCGACAAGCCAGGGGATATGTTATAACAAGGATATGTTAAAACACCCTTAAATAGAACATGTATCTTTAGAGAAGTGAAATATTTATGTTCTTGTTGCCATGGTCACTGTTACCATATACCCTAGAAGCACAGGAACCCAGTCAAAGTTTCATAAAGTGGTTTCAATCTGTTAACAAGAAACTGAAAATAGGAAGAAAAGTTTGGCCTTTGATAAAAAGATAGAAATTAACTATCCACCTTTCTATATTGAAAACACATCTCAGTGATTTCTGCATTTGTCTAAAGGTCATGTCAGTATTAAGAGGTATACCTATATACCACATGTAATGTGTGAATTCAAATCTCATACCAAAGGATAAGAGGCAAACAGAATTGTTGTTCATGACAGACAACAATGTTATCTATATGCTATTGATTTTCTTGGGATGGACAACTACTGTATATAAGTCACAAGGTAAGCAAAAGAGGTGTGTTCTGTGTATTGTCTTTGTACAGCTGAATACAAATGGCTAAGTAAATTTTAATGTTAATGTTATATGCAGCAAATGATAAGATTTTCACTTATATGAGGAGGGGTGGTGGAACAATACCAATGTTTTTTTTTATACAATCCATATTTAACCATATAAAAGAATTAAGACAAAGTCTTATTTGCAAAGGCAACTGAAGAATGTTCATTTATACAGCACAGCATTTACATCTAGTTCAAGGGTAAAACCCCCTAACCACTACCCTCCTCAGTACTGCCCAACAAAGATCAACTTCAATTGAAAGTATCCAGTCTATGAGAGAAGTTGCTAAGAGAGGAAAACACTCATAAAAGATCAGCATTCATTTACTACTGGATATCTATAATCCTAGAAGGCAAATGATACATTGATAAGGAAGTACAGTGAACAGCACTTCCATTCCTGCAAGGCTGATCAGATGTTACATTTCTATTAGCATGTTGATCCATTAAACTGACTGAGGTTATATCTGATATAAAAGGAAACAATACTTTGAGCATCAGTGTATTTGCATTGTTGTTTTATGTACATTTAGATTTATGTTGTTTTTGTTATACCCATGATTTGGAAGCCAGTTGCCATATTGTTTTTCTGATCGCAGCTACAAACCCCACGACCACACCCACAGGAGAATGAGGAAGTGTAGGTACACTCTTTTGACCTGCCCACTTTCATGCCCATTCATCTTTCAACACCTACCGAGCACAACAGAACAGCACTGCAGGTGAGGCACGTCCTTCAACAATACTGCAATGCCTGCAAGAGCTGAATAAGCGGCAGGGGTCAAAATGAAGATGAAAGGTGCGACTGTCCCACCCTACACATGGCGGTGCTCAGTCAATTGTGCGACACCGATTGGGTAATCCTGCATTCAACTCACTCGATCGTGTCCACTAAACCATAACTCGTGATCGAAGATCGGAATCAGAGCACCTTTATCAGATGAACTGTTCAGTAGGCCCTAAGTGCAGAGAAAAAAACTTCTAACTCTGTGCATCTGAAGTGGGACATGTACTGTATACATCTCACTTATCCAGCATCGCGAATATCACCACTTAAGCACATCGTGAGAGGTGTTGCTGGGGTCTGTTAATTTAGCCTTCAACAAAAGTCACGCTAAGATACCATAAAGCTGACTTGCTTTAGCAGCTCCAATGACTTAACGCTACATAATAAAAGACAGGAACACCACCCACAAACAGGACAAAGCAGACCAATGTCTTCTGCATATCAAAGGACAGAACCTAGAGCAAGACATAGTAGGACAAGAAGTAATTACATATCAAAGAACAGGACAAGCATTTAGATTGTGAAATAAACTTTCTTCTGACTAGATACAAGAAATGGGAAACCCTAGCAGTTTGTCTGTTCTGTGGGGAAGACCCACTGCACGTTGTTGGACTTATTGAGTGCAATAAAACTGAATCTGCACAAGACTGTCCTGCTCCTCTGATGAAGAACTCCCCCCCACCCCCAACACATCTTTTCACAGATGCTCAACATTTGCAACTACCGTGGGAAGAATCTAAAATAAGAACCAAAATATACTGATTGCAGTCTTTTGAAAAGGTTGCATTTCATATGGAAATCACCAAACTCACCCACTGTTGGCATAAATCGTAGGTACTGTAGGTAGCCTAAGAAATCTTTGCATTGATATATATGTATAATACAGCAAGTCTTCCATTTACAAAAAAAAATTGAGTTTCTACTGTTAAACAAGAATTCAATACACACACCAGTTATCTGACAAAGGTCTGCAGTCATTTACAGAAAAGTGTCCTTTGATATTAAGAATTACAAAAGGCATCTTAATATTTTATGACCTACTTAAAATGAAGTTCTCAGTTTTAATGTTTAAAAATACTGACTCTTGCTAAAACACATTAAGAGGTAGAAATACTTGTTGACAATGGTCTTGCCTCCAGAAAAGAATTAAGAAATTGTGATATAGTTTTCTTTCTAAGAACCTATCTGTAAATTAAACTTGATCCTAAAGTGAGGTTTCTTTTAAACAGTAAAGACTGAAACAAAACTTTAAACCTGGTAACCTTTATTTACAATTTTTCTTGGCATAATGATGAAAGGGAAGTTTAAAACAATTTAATACAAGAGGAGACAAATGTATTACACATTTCAATTATCTGCTTATTTCACATTTTTAAAATGTTCTGCTTGCAGTGGAAGAATAGTCAGGCTGAAACTAAGCAACAATGGTCTTTATTTTCCCTTTATTACCTACACATTTTTGTATACTGATACGGTCCATCACAATTTCTTAATTAATCCAAAAGAAAAATAGATTTCTACAGCATTTGGGTAATTCAACAAGCCAACAAAATGTTGCTGTGTACATGCTTTAGTTTATAATTTTTAGGACCCGTTTAATGTACAATTACAGAAATACCTACATGTAATCATCATGATAGAGGTATGTACTTCTGTGATTCAAAAAACACGTATGCAGTTGTACCGCTGAAACAGTCCTTTGGCCTCCAGAATGAACAATCAAACTTCAATTTTATGTCAGCAAAAATAAGAATTACTATTCAGCTGTATTACTGTAAACATTCCCCTTACAATAACTTGTTTTAGGCTTTTATCAAAGATCTTTCAAACATAGTTTAATCAATTTTGCTAACATAACTAAGGCACAACACTTTCAAACTTCCCCGTTCAAGAAATAAAAACTTCTACACTTTAGGTAGAATTGCTCTAGCTTCAATACAAAACCATTCGCATTTTAAGATAATTATATATTTTAAGATCTTGGATCAGAATCGTCATTAATAAGAAATGATATATATACCAATTGATCAAACTCTAACAGTGCCTTAGAAACCATAATCTTAGACTGCTTTTAAAATAAGGAATTGCTCATGTGTAAAATTATTAATATGAATAAGCTAAAGGGGGGAAAAAAAAGACTAGAAATTGCAAAAGTTCTCATTATCTACTCCTCTTTAATTCCAAAACTTCCAGATTGTAGGGAAAATGACTGCAGAATTCCAACATGAAGATGTTTGTTGTGAAACACTGACATTCCAAGCAATAGGTTGTCCATGAAATGCAGCCAGAAGTCCTATTCTTATTCTTCCAGATCCAGTGTGTTCAACTCTTCTTCAAGTTCATCTAAGTCCTCTCCTGTGAAAAGATTTTCATCTACAGGCACTGCTTCCGTTTCCTCCTCTTCCTGGCTCTCTCCTTCAGAAAGGGAGTGTTCCCCATTTTCTTCACCACCGCCTGAAGCCTCGCTTAACTTATTGTCTGAAAAAACAAACCATATGAGACCAACAATGACCAACAATACAACTGCTGAAACAAGAAATTAAGTTTGTTCTGCTTTAATGTGTTTATCAAGACCATGGAGCCGAGTTATAAAAACTCTGTACTGCATCTAGGTTTAAGCAATGTTACACATTTATGACCTTTCCTTATCAAGCCATTTAAGGTTGGTACTGTAAAACCACAGTACTGACTTCATTCCACTCACACCTGCTTTGTATTACAACCTACTTCATAAATGCCAAAACACTTTATTTTTTTTCAACACACATAAAAAAACCGTATGCTCTTAATATTCTTAATCTTAATTTACATGAATATTTCTGGAATTCTAAAAACAGTTTGCTTACCTTTCCTTCTCATAGGAATGATTCTTATAGTCAGTTTTAGCAGAAAATTGCACTGTGACCATGATCAATTTAGAACACTTATATAAAAAAACTGGAGCAAAACACTGCTTAACCACATGTACTCACCATCTGTTTCCTTTAATGGCTTAGAGAGTGCTGTAAATCTGTCTGTGGAGGCCACGGTGATTCCAGTGTTATCTACTTCTTTTGGAATAAACCTGGTCAGGTCAATGTCATTCACTTCCTGGGTGTCTTCAGCCTATGGAGGAAAAAAACAAGGATGGAAAGATACATTATGAAAAATTCTGTAGAGATCTTAATCCACCAGAGAATCAAAGGGTGTATTACCTTAGGTTTGTGAATAATGTCTTTAGGAAGTATTTGGTTGAACAAATGGCATTAAGTCCAATTAAACACAATCATCTCATTCCAAATTGGAAAAAAACGCCTTTTGGCTATATGCTATATGCCATGCATATTTTGGATAACAGCTTCAAGCTTTGATTTACCGAGCATTACGAACATATACTACCACAACTAACCAAAATGGTACCAAAAAACTAAACACACATATACAACCAACAGGCATTCAAACTCCATAAAGGGCAGAGCACCTGCACTGATCTAACATTAGTCTGACATACAAAAAGACACTAAAACCTCTAAAAAAAACACAGCTTTCAAAACTCATTTGTGATGTTTTTAGTATATCAACAATTAACTGGAAATATTCCCCCTCCGTTTCACTATTTGAAAGTAGATTTGATCACAGTTTTGGCTGATATGATTCGATCTGAATTTTGGAAGAATTCTGCAGAATATGTCCCATTCGCAGACGAGTACACTACAGCTTGAGCGGGCATTAACAGCAACGACATAAATGACAATAAAATAAAATACATTTTACCTCTTGATCATCACCATCAGCCTTTGAATATTTAGTATCATCAGCTTCTTCATCATCATCATCTACCAGCTCAGGTCGGAATTCAAACACTTCACGACCACTGACCTGCATGAACAGAACGATTCATAAATAGTGGTTAAAATCTTCTCAAAGGTAAAATTTCATATATTGTTTAACTTTATTAAAAACAATATTTTAACATCTGAGGTATCAAGTACAATATTCAAGACTTTCATTATTTTATTTCAGCAAATGGTACCTATGCAGGCCACTTATCCTAAAGTGGAAATACAGCACACAAGACAGGACGAGAGCACATGAGTGCCCTCCACTGGTCAATAAGAATCTCAGTGAAAGAATTTAAAACAGCCTTTCAAATCTAGCTAGTACACTTCTTGGGAGGAGGATGAAACCCATTTAATCTTGGGAAGAATATGTCAACTCCACATGGTAAAGTAAATATTTATTATATAATATGCCAATACAATCCTTATTATAAAACACTGTGGGTGAGTTCCATCTAATAAACATATTAAGACAGCTCTAATGTCTTTAAATTTAATAACTGGGATTATGCCTTAAATCTGATTGCCCAATTTTGTAAAACACCAAAAAATAAGATTTTAATGGATCATATTTTCTGACATTTCATCACAACCTTCTTGAAGAAAAAAGTAATTGACAGTGGAAAAGAAAATAAATTACAACATTATAATATTTAACACCTGACAAATCAGAAAGAGTGTTGGTACAAATATCACAAAACTATATCACTAACACAAAGCCAAGACCCGTATGACCATTTAATGTGTTACAAGAATAAACTCTTTTGAATGGACTATAATTCATTACACATCATTTGTCAATTTCAGTGATGTTATGTTTAAGTTTCTTAAGGGCGATGATTAACGACAGTTCTCTTGGAAACCCATTAGGTAATTAGTAAATTAATTACCTCAGAAACAACAGCAAAACCTGCTGAAAATTAATCTTAAGAGAAAAAGTTCCTCACCCCAAGTGATTTTCCAGCTTTGAAGTCGGCTCTTCTTTTCTCCATCTCCATCTCTGCCTTATCCACCTTTTCTTGCCTTTTCCTTTTCTTCCAAGCCAAAAATGTTTCAAGAGTGATACGCGTAACATTTGGTCCCAGGGCAGATCGCTAGAAGAATACAAATCTCTATTAATCCTGAACCTGCAGATGTAGCACCTTGAAGATATTGTTCCCTGCTGTTATTTCAGAAAGTCAATTACCATTCAATCAGATCTACGTCTACAGCATCTGGAAAAAATAAAGCCACACAGCTTTCACTGGGGAGTATGCAGTGGTAAGTCATCAGCGCTTTACCCATATGAGTCAAGAATACGACTAGCAGCTCTACCTAATGACACTGTAAGGGCTTTAGTATAGCTCACTCCGTGCCACACACAGGAAGTCCCTAAATGTAGACTTGTGACAGTCTACATTTGAACTAGGCCTGACAGGCCTTTTTTACTGGTGCCTAACTGGGACTAGGCACCACGTTAATGACTTTTGTTCTGCCTGGTCGTACAAGTACAAGCTCATTACTAGTCTGACATTCAAAAAGAGCCAAATCTTCACTGGAAAAATGAGACGTCTATACCTTTGTTTGGAATTAACGAATAAGGACTTAAGTTGCACATAAGAAAATAAGAAGTGAAGTGACACTTCACTCTCCTGTCATTTTTCACATACTCTGCATGTGACTTCATGGATTACAGCTCAGGTATTGCAGTAGACAAACATCTGAGCCACATCACGCAGGCTCGGTTAGGTTCATCATCAGCTTGGCGCCACTGGAAAAAGTGGCAGATTTGACTGTCACACATAGCTGCCACACAGATTTAAGCACATGAAGATCCATTATAGCCACAGTCACATACAATACTAACCTCATATTTTACATATCGTATTTGAGAAATAATATAAAGATAACTAAAGACCTAGTCTTTCAGATGTTTTCTGTGAAACTGAACAAAATGAAAAAAACTCCAACACACCTCATTTTCGATCAGCTCTTCTAATGAAATCTCCTCCTCCTTTTCTTCCTTCTTTTTGTCTTTCTTGAGCACAAAGCCAGGTGGGAGAGCGTGGCGGTACATACAGCCGTCACCTCCTCCAGGACAAACCCAAAACCAGCCGTATTTATTGCTCTCAATAGCATCAAGAAAGTATTTGCACACCTGCAGGATTAAACAAGATTAGATATAAACTAAAAATAATTAGAAACCTCATAAGAACAGGTGATCTTTAGTTTAAGAAACAAATCCGAATGGAACTGGTCTCTTTTACATGCATCCCCCTAAAGATTATATCAATGTCTACAGTATGGACTTCGGTCTTGCACCACATTTTATGTAGACAAACAGAAAGTGTAATAACTTTTGAATGACTCTCAGTATATTAGGAATGGTCATACAATATTATGAATTTCATTACACTTTAAAGGA